TTACTAATAAATAAATAAACAAATGTGCTACATCGCTGTGTTTTTCTTCACCAGTTTCGAGATACAAATAATGTGGTAGGTACTTGAATTTATTTAATAATTTTGAGATCACCATTAAATCATAAGAAGCATGGATAATAACATTCCTAGAATAAATCCATAGACTAGAGTAATGTCTATTAAGCTACAGCCATTCCCGCTTTAATATTAGAAAAATATTTGCGATACCTTAACTATAGCCACGTTTTGCAAACGTCTATCGGCTGAGTGCCTGAGCCGGTTTGAGAGGTCATCACTTTCACGTGCCATCTGACGAGTGTATTTTACTTAAACAATACTAAAATTAATCGGCATATTCGCATATTAAAAAACCAACCTATAACAATTTAAAATTTATTTTAAAACTGATGGAAATTAATTCGAATGTTAAAAACCTTTAGAAAAGATCTATGGTCTAGGGTTTATGGAGGGAAAAAAAGAAATTACAAGATCGACATAATTAATAAAAGTTTAGTTTTAAATAAGTAAAAGACAGTTTGCACCACAGAAGCTTAAACGCATAAAAACTTATCCCTTCTCAGTAGATTATAGATGTTGTCTATGCTTTTGATGTAGACTATACTTTGAGCAGATATACCTAGGTTATAAGGTATTTGAGAAGTCGATTTAATATTTTTAAACATAAGCAAATCTGTGAAGTATGATTGTTTAATCACCACATTTATCCTTGCGGTAAAGTTCATCCTGATTATTCTCCGACTTACAAAATCTAATATATTTTTGACATACGGAAATATTTTCCGCTTACTCCCAAGTCTCAATCTCACCCTATAAGTTTGTTAAATATTAAGTTGAGTTTGAGCATTTCTTTATTAGAAAACGAAACAACGCGTCGTGTGTTAGAGAACGTGAATTATGAATTTACAAGTAAGCGTTAATTGACTTTCAGTTTGACCGGAGCGTGACGACAGATATTTGTATAATCTATTTCTCAACAGATAAAGTAACATTTTATTTTCTAGAATAGAACGTCAAGTTGTCTTTGAAATAAAAAAAACAAAAATGCGATTATAAATGGTAACATTAAAAATATACCTTATTCATAAATTATTCAGTCTCTTTTCACAAATCAGAGTAAACACAATTTCACAGAAATATTGTAATTAAAAACGAGTAATACTTAATACTGATTTATTTTTAATTAACTGACTAAGAAATTACAACACAAATTAATTACTAGATCAAAAGACGGAAAATCACTTAACTTGAAGTACCTACTCATAAAGCAGTGACTATTTATATTGTATGTAAGCATTGTTGGATTAGTGACTCTCTTCCTAAAGTCGCAGGTTCGAACCCGGCCGTGCACCAATGGACTTTCTGTCTATGTGCGCATTTAACGCTCGAACAGTGAAGGAAAACATCGTGAGGGGACCGGCTTGCCTTAGACCTAAAAAATTGCCGGCGTGTGTCACAGGAGGCTAATCACCTACTTGCCTATTAGATTGCCAAATGATTATGAAGCAGATACAGAAATCGAAGGCCCAGACCTAAAAAGGTTGTAGATTTTTTATATTGTATTAAATGCCTCTGAAACCTAACTTTTTCGGTTTTATTAAATTACACAGTGTTTATACCTTATTTAACGCGTTCACCACATGCATAAATCAAAGCGATCCATCAAACAGGTATTTTTCGCAATTACAATACTGTTTAGTACTCCAGGGCTGTCAACGAACGCGGTATTTTTTTTTCTAAATATGACCGAAGATTGTTATGATCTGTTGTCGATATTTTTTTCCATTTACATTTGATTGCATCGCAGTCTTAAGAGAATATGACAGAGAGAGACGAAATAGTACTTTAAGAGAAATTCCACAAATTAAGCTATCAGCATAATATAAGGCGATTAAAGTATAAAACTATACTTACTATAAGTACAACTAGAACGGGACATTGGTGAAATCTTTTCATTCGAAGTTGTATTTTTATATGAGCAAACGATCTTACGAAAGCCATGTTAGTGGGTGAGTCGCCGGCCTTTAAAAAGAGAGTATGCGATTGTGAAGCCCTCCCTGGAAGTCAATTCTCCTCAACTCGCTAGTTCATCAAAAACATTGATTTTTTAATAATAATTGTAATTTCCAATGTTCCATTTACATCATATGAAAGAATACTCCCAAAAAAAACGTGTGTGTACTTAAGTACACGCGTTAGAAGTTATACTTCTTTGGTTTTACTTCTTCGTAACAAGATAAAAATGTTTTCAAAAATTTTATCTTTCGCCTTATTCAACGTTTGTTGAAAAAACACTAACAATAGAAACAAATTTACTCTCATCATTTTTCGCCAAAAGTATAACTTAAAATTTTTTTTTGGAGCTTCATAACTTTAAATCAACAACCCTATATTCTGCCTACATAACCGCAAAGAATGGCAAAAATGACGAATCATAACTGATAACTTATCATTGACCGCAATAGAACTGCATAATTCGCCAATAATATTAATTATACCTGTCACTAAGTGATTTTTAATCACTGGTATTCCAAAACATTAAATTCTAATTATTGCAACAGATATCTAGCTTTCATACGGCACAAACTGAAATGTTTAAATTAATCTAATTTATGAAGTTAATATGTTTTAAAACAAGTTCGAAATGTAAAACGAATGAAAAAAACAAATGAGTAACGAAGATGACAAGTGGACGTATGGGGAGGCCTTCGCTCCTTCGGAGGTTGCGGAGTATTTAATATAATAATAACAACTTAATGTAATTTAAAATTATAGTGCTCGAATAAAGGATAAAGAAAGATTTAATTATTTTATTTTATTGACCAAAAAAGTATGAAGGCGTTTTTTCTTGACATTTACAGTCATGTCACATTTGATTACATATTTGCAAAATGACACAAGGGCAAGAATGAGAGACGTTTCTGTTTTTAAGTATAACCTATATAAAATAATGATTTATTGAAATATTCATAAAAATCATTCAATGTTACCTTATGAGTTATATAAGGAGTAAGGTCGTTTAATTAATTATAACGTAATATATTTTATTTTCGTAACCTTATGTTCTGTGTAGGAGTGAGGAATATTAACACTTCCTATCAAACAATTTGGAAACTGAAAACCCTCTAACACAAAAATGAGTTACACGAAGTTAAAAAATATCGATTTTAAGCAATAAGAATAGCTAAAACCAACATTTAAATGGTTCACTTGATCTGTCGAATATCGCTATAAAATGTATTACAATTGCAGTATTATACAAACCACAACTGAAATACGCTCGTTAAAAATTATAATCAAAGAGAAATAGAGTCGAATATTGGCTGAAAATAAATTCAAATACCGGTAAAAAAAACTTGGGTACTAAATATAAATGAATATAAGTTAAACTATATTTTGAGGAAAAAATAGAGCGATATTTGCAATTGTGAAATAAGAATACAAATTGAACTGGATAGAATTCCACTGCCTCTCAAATCTTTTTATCACAGATTATAAAAACAAATAATTATTGTATAATAAATAATAAACATGGGTAAATAAAAAATAATACCTTTTACGGAAGTGAGCTGGGGGACTTTTGACCTGATCCCACTTTTCACAGACACTTAAAAACTTTCAGCTTCAAATAGTTACTCCTATCAACACTTAATCCATCCTCCACGAACAACACTAGCAAACTATATTATTGTTAAGATTCGAAATCGTAAAGTAATCGTAAAGGTGCGTAGACGAACACACGTGCACACCGCAAAGAGGTTGTTTATCCACTAAATACGCGGTGTAGGTGCGACGTGAATGTGCTTTTCAATTTGCAGCCGGTTTTCCCGCCGCGAGATGCAGGTGGATATTTCAAGATGCCTAGGACAGTGCGACACTTAATTTTCGTAGTGCATCATCATAGATAATATCTAATTAAAATATTTATATTTTAATTAGGAACTTAAGAATTTATTGCAAAGAAATTAGTGTACTTTTATTCACTAAGATTTTTCTCCGACAATCAATGTTTCCTTATGGTTTCGATTACGCTGAGCGCTGTCGGCTGTCGATTATTTCGGAATTCAGGTGATATTCCCAGTATATTTGCGATGTTTTCATTACTTTAACTTTTTAGAATTGCGCATATAGAAAGAAAATATTATATTATATCGTATAGAAAATCCAATTTTGATCAGCTAGTGCCTGAATCCACGGGTGGTTTACCCGAAATAAACTCAAACTGTCGTATAAAATATTTGGATATAAAAGTAAAGTTTTAATTGGGATTCTATAAAAATTTACATAGTTTCCACGATTTTATAACATCAAATAATATGATTTAGCTGAGAGTCGAAAGATTCAGTCAAACTTAATATTATACATAATATATTTCTACGTCTATTTTAATTTTCCATATCTTATGGTAATGATAAAATAATCGAGTAAATTAATTGTAATTATACTTGCAGTATATTTTTTTAATAACTTAATTTTCGGCATGTCTACTTATTGTTAATTTTCATTTTGTATAGTAATGAAAATTAACAATAAGCAGACGAGAAACCATAATCAAAATTATACATTTATATTAATTTCTCGTAATATTAAACATAAAATACAAGAATTTTCTTGCTTTAAAAGCTTTAAACATTGGGACTATATTGATATTTTTTTTAATACATATTTGTTTTTATAATATCAGTTTTATAATTAATAAGAGCATTTAATTTATATTGTTCAACTTCGTAGCGCCATCTTTTAAAAATTTAATAAACCTATGAACGTCTTAGTCAATTTTCAAATCAATATTTTGTGACAATTGACAACTAAACACTGTATGTGACACTGACATATGTCCAACATCTCGAAACAAGTTAAAATCAGAAATGAAACAAGAAAACAATAATTAATAAGTGCTTTAATAAATTTAACTAATTAGTTATTTTATTACTACTTTAGAACTTGAGTTATTACGTCTAAATTCAATAATTTATGCAAAAATGGCAGACCGTTTGACTCAATTACAAGACACAATTAATCAGGTAGTGGCAGTGTAGTAGTCTAATACTAAATAATTTGAGTGTATTTGGCTTGAGTAAAATCTGAACGCTATAATTTTTTTTATTACAGCAAGCAGAGTACTTTTGCAACAGTATTGGTGTCTTACAACAGTTTTCGACTCCAAGCAAATTCCCTGGTTTTGATCGCAGCGGTTCACAAACTCCACAGCAACAACAGAGTCAAGAAGACTATGCTGTTCTATTTGCAACATTGATCTCACGTTGTGCTAAAGATATTGACACTCTTATTGAATCGCTTCCAAGTGAAGAAAGTTCAACAGAACTACAGGTTCAAAGTTTGAGGCGTTTAGAGGCTGAGAATAAAGAAGCTGCAGAACAATTAGAAGAGGTAAATACATTTTAGTTGGTTCTTTTTTATCTTGAGAAATTTGAAAAACATTAGGTGCTAATCACCTTGTTTAGCTCTTACTGATTGCTCTAAAACCAATAGAAATATTATATATTTTAAACCTCTAATCCATTATTTTGTTGCAGGTGGTCCGCCAAGGAGAAATATTGTTAGAAAAAATTCAAGGTGCTCTTAGTGATATTGCCCAATGTCAACTGGATATGCAGAATCCAGCACAAATTTTAGAGAAAGACGCAAAACCTCAGTTATAGGAGATAAATTATGACGGATAGTACCGTCAATGATAAAAATACCATTTTGTTATGATAAAAGAAGTAACACTCAATTTAACAAATACACTTTTAAAATAGAAAAATAAATATTTTTAGGAATAAACATTGTCCATGTGTGGTATGTGCCTACATAAAACTGGCATAGTATACAAAACAAAAGATGGTTATTGGGTATTGTCATAAATAAAGTAAAACAACAATTTGATTTTTTTTTCTTATTTAATAAGCAATAGAACTCATTACATAGGTGAGAAAAAATATCACAATATTTTCTAAATAGTTTGATGATCTATTATAATAAAACAATTCTTAAATATTTAATAGCGCAATAAAAACAGTATAGCTTTTGTGACTAGTTGTATATTTATTCTAAATTACATTGTTACTATGATACTTTCATTTTAATAGTATGTAAAATATTGATTGTAAATTAATAGAGATACAAAAATGTGCATGTTAAACCATTTTATTTTATATCCGCTTAACCATGTCATCTATTTAATGAGAGGTGAGTGATGATAATATTTAATAAATACAAAATTAAGATGAAAAGTTCTATTTACTCCAAGAATCAGGAGTTTTTGGGCCTGTGCTATTTTTAGTTGTTATTCAAATACAAGAATATAGTTTTTAAGCTTGATAATCATGGTGCGCACACAACCTAGACATGCAAGATAAGGCCAACAAGGAACACAAAATGGTAGGTATTAACTAGATGCCTAGCTTATATTTAATCAAGCACTTAATTTTCAATTGTAAGAATCCTTATACTGATCTTAATATATTCAATCCACCTTACAAAAGAAAATTGAGCCCACAAGTGTAGTCAGATCTAATTATTGCATGACTACACTAAAAACATTTTCCTAACATGAATTACATAACTCCAGCTTATAAGTTTATGCCTACTTAACTTTGATGCAATTAACATTAAATATAAGTAACAATACTATAATCCAATTTAAATAATGGAATCAAATTATTATTGCATATTTTGTTGCAGTGCAAACTTACCACATATTGAATTTAAAAAATACTGGCAAGGTGCAAGCATTGTTTACATATACCATTTTAATATGATGGTAAATAAATATGTTTTTTGCATTATTAAAAAATTATGTCAAAATAAAGTATCATCATATAAAAGTTCCATCCTAAGTTAACAATGCAATACCTATTTACACTACAGTAATGATTTAATTTTGGTATAGGGATACATTCCATGTCTTACAATACAATTTTCATCATCCCATCGACACACTGCTTGTTAATTTAAACTATACATTGTGTTTATTTAACAGTCTTTGGAGTATTTTTTACTAGAGAACTTATAAGAATCATAACACATCAGTGATTTAAGAAATGAAACTTGTTAACAATATATAATAAACAAATTTGTTAAATTAGTTTAAACTAATTTATAATATCACTTCATGACTGACTAGAAGGAACTAAATTTAAAATTTTAAACATTATCTAGGCCTACAATCTATATACATACTTCAACTACTAAAATGGAACAACAATATGTTTATACTAAGGCTTCAAAAGACACCATTAGAATATGTAATTTTAATGTATGAAAAATATAAAGTATCAGAATATTTATTGTGCCAAAACTCCTAACATTTTTCTTAACTGTGACTCAGCTGGGAGGGCTAAAGCCCATTTACGTAAACCTACTAATAATACAGACAAAAGAACTAAGACAGCTCCACAAACTGAATATTTACTTGGTATTTCATCAAAAAACATTACTTGCCAAAGAAAAGCAAACACAATATCTGCAGATCTGGCAATAGCAACTGGGCCGGCTTGCTCCATTTGCAGAGACATAGTGAGTAGAATTTGTCCTAAATAACTAAATAAAGCTAGGCATACAACTAGAAGTCGTTCTGTACCACAATTTGGCATACACAAAGTGCCAAATACCACAGAAACAAATAATGTTTGTAATATAGCAATAGCACCAAAATTAGTCATAATAACAGAGAAATGTAAACCTTTAAGTACTCGTAACAATACATAAGCATTTGCCCCAAATATTGTGGAGACAAATGCTGCAATGGCACCTCGTAAACTATCATAATTTTCATTGCTTTCAACTTTTTCATCACCAAATATAAATGGAGGATGAGTGATTAGTATTACACCTACTAGAGTTAATATTATGGAAATTGTATTCCAAATACCGCATGGCTCTTTTAAAAATACTCGAGCGAACAATGCAACAAACACAGGTACTGAGAAAACTATCACTGAAGCATCCGCCAATGGCATATTCCGAAAAGCGTAGAAGCTTAACATTAGTCCTATGGTGCCAACAATAGATCGTAGTATAAGTAGTAATCGCTTGCCTTGTGGAAATATTGGTTGTTCAGTGTAAATAACAATGGGCACAGTCGGCAATAAGACACCAATAAAACGAAACATTGCCAGTTGGATTGGATCTATGTTAACTAGGCTTTTCACTATTACCGAACATAATGAAAAGAAAAGCGAAGATAATGTGGCCAAGAGTAAACCAATGTATGGACATCGCTTTATCAAAGGTCGTTTATTCTCGAGAAGGTTTGGCAAGGTTTCATCGCTTCCAACCGATAAATCTACAAGATGCTGAAGTTCCAAATGCTCCGGCATAGCTCTTTTTCTGAAAAAATATATTTTCAGTATTTTTAAGTTCTACTAATGTATTACTCGGTTTAAAACAATCATAATATGTACTTACGAAGGCGAAAAACGTTGTCGATTTATTTTAAAGATACTTTACAGGCTTCATATTATCTGAATTGATTCATTACTTAAATTTCTATTTTGTAGAAATTTTTAAATAATTCATAACACTCAAGTCCCAATTCCCAAAACCTATCGACAATAATCACAGATTACTTATGGCTCGTAATAAGTTAAGAACAATAATAACACCACAGACTAGAAAGATAACCGTAGAATAATTTTTATGATCACTTTTTAGACCGGTCAAACTGATGCCTTGATGGTCGATATTTTCAATGGTAGCCAAAGTTGATTCTTGAAAATTCGGGAATAAAATAATAAAAAATCAGTCATTTGTCAGCTTTATTAATTCTATGTTTAGCTAGATGATCTGAAATAAAAATATGATCAGCAAAAACCTATGAGAATATCAAGCAATATTTCAGTTAAGTCTGGGGGAAGCCCGGGCAAAACTATCAATTATCCGCCTCAAGGGTAAAAAGGACAATGTTGAATAAATTAATCAGTCTTCGTATTCATCTTAGAATTAGCTCCTACATAAGAATTGCAGTCTTCATGCGCCCAACTTCTGCATCGATTACACTGAATCCAATCTTGTATTTATTATTTTTACTCAGTGTATTTGTCAGCGCACATTTGTTCGGTTGTTTGACTGAGGGTTTTTTTTAGTTTTAGTCTTGCTCAGGCTTGCTAACTCTGAAATTTAGGACTTATTATTTGCGTTCTGAAATTTTAATGCTTGCTCAGTTTTGACGGGATTTGAGGTCTATACCTCTGATTTCTATACATTAATACCTATCCGTTTTGCCCAACACGCTAATATTAGAAAAAACTTGAAGACTTGAAACCATTTTAGTAGGTAAACAAAAAGTAACGATTACAAATAATACTTAGATAAACGTGCAATAGGCTAAATAAAACATTTCATAAGATAACTACTGACTAATACTAAAATTTAATGTACAAACCTTCACAAAAATCGAAACAAAACAATGATATTTATTATTTACTTTTTAACATTAAATGCACTCGCGTATTGTACCGGTTGCATGTGAAACGACTAAAAAAATTGCCAAAGCGATATCTATTTTAGATTTATGGAAAAAACAGTTATTCTTCTTGGCCGCACTATGCTCCTTGCCCGGGCTTCCCCTACATCTACTAAACTGAAATTAAAAATTTGTGGGTTAAATTGAAATTTTAATACGCAGTCGGAATTCGGAAAGTGGAAAGTGGAAACTATATAATATATAAGTGTGCTATGCTCTCGTGCTATGTATTAAGGATATAATTATTATAGATGCGATTTTGTAATATGTCGGACAAAATAATTGTTGAGTACCTATGTACTATATTATAACATTATAAAAGGTCCCAGATCATAAACCAAGAACTATGTTTTAACTTTTAACCATTATATTTTAATAGGCTGATAATATTACGTTATAAATAAAATGATAAAGGCTGATAAAATAAAATAATAAGCAGATATTATGAAACAAATAAAAAAAAAATAACTATACAAACATAAAGTCTTAAACCTAGGCCCCAGGTACCTACTTAAATGTTTATAAAAGCTAATCTAAAAGCACCTCAACAAAGTCTTCTATTATTTATTCATCCTTAGATATTAATGATTTTTTATAACGCAAGTCGAAAAGTAACAATAATTATTATTACGTAAGGAGCAAAAAGAATAAGACCGATATAGGTCGATAACACTATACCTGTCTTTGTTTCTCTCGCAGGTATTGACTACTAATGCTGTTTTGTTCGTTCAGCTTTTGTCCAATCGCCATTCCCCACCCGTTTCGATTACTTCGAGCATGTGTCTATCTTGCTTGCGTGCGAATTCATTTCTAAATATATTTGTAAAAAGTTTTATTTCAAATTAAAGTGTAATGTATATTCTTATGTTTATTACAATAAATGTATGGTGACATAGTAGGAATTTATTTGTGTGTTTTGTGAACCTTGAACAATAAGGACAAACCTTAACAATATGGCTGCTACGGAGAAAAAAGGGCAAAAATATAATTTTGATAAAATATGTCGTGCCTGTTTGCAAATTAAAAAGGATATGAGACCATTATTCGAGCAGCTGACGGCGACGATGTTGATGGGGATATCTAAAGTGCAGGTGAGATGACAAATTTAACAGTGATAGGCATTTTGGGGCATGATGTTGTCTCTTTCACACTTACTCAAAGGCATATCTTACTCGTTCGTACTCCTCGAGTCATCTTTGTTTAGAAATCATGGGATAGCGTCATTTCAAGTTTCTCTTTTGTGCATAATATTCTAGGAATTCGATTGTGAAATATTCATCTGTCCTCTTCCTACCTTAGGTACCTCATAAGGGGCGAGTGAGATAAAAAAATAATATTTGTACCTAGATATATTGAGGTGCAATGATGGGCGTTTTAAAAATAGCAGATTTTTCGATTCCCGGATTAAGCTTCCAACATGTATTGACTTTTCCATAATTGTTTAATGTTCTTGTACTCGATAGTTAGGTATAAGAAAGTTATATTTTGAAAGATTTCTCTATTAAAATAACTTTTATATTTCTAAATAGACATCATAGAAAACTGGTCCCAGAACCGACTTCGAATTAAATTAGGTTCTCTCTCTATTTAATTAATAATACATGAAATGAGCCCTTTTTGTCCGTTCTTTTCTTTAGGTTATCAAAATAGGTCAGTTATCTATTAAGTATAATTCATTTTCTTTAAGAATTTACAGTCAACTAAATAAATTTCACTGTATATATGCAGGTATTCAATAGGTCTTCGAAAAATGTCAACTATATTTGCTCTTAAATGCTTTTTAATTAACACTTGCACTAATGAAATTATTAAATATAGTAAATATTTTTTAATTAATTTTTTTCCGTATATTCAGTAAAAAAGAAGTGATCACAACGGCGAGTGAAAATATAAAAAATACTAAAAACATATACAAATCGCAGGTCGCGATCGACGATGGCTTACCAAAGCAATTATGTCTTCAATGTGTACATCAGATCTCAAGATGCTACACATTCAAGGAGTCGATAGAGAGGAATGACGCCATGCTCCAGGAACAGAAGAGGCAAGATGAAGGGGTGTTGCAAAAGGATCAGGTATTTTAATGACCTGCTTAGATAATAATTAATGCTCTGTAATTTTCGCGATATAATAAGGATCGCGTGGTACTTAAACTCAATATTGAAGTTGGAATTCCTATAGCAATTTGGAGGTATATAGTATTCAATTCAGAATCAAGTCAAAATATTACTTATTCATTTAAGTAACACAATGAACATGAATGTAAAAAATCCTTCTAAATTTTCACTTAGTGCTAGTATTACATTCAAGGCAGAAGAAGGGATAAGAGCTTTTTTCGTGACATCTTAAAAACTAATTAGGCTCGGCTCAGCAATTTATCACTAAAAAATCTTATCCACAGAGTACTTGTTAGGAGCTAGGTGGTACAATACTGTACTGCCTCCAAAAATAAGTAATATAATAGTGTACTTAACACACCTACAAGCATGCATATTAATGTCATCATGTAATAGTTACAGGATCATATGGAAACATCATCATACATACAATTCATCGAAGTGCCTAGCTTAAATAGTGGTCAGAATATTTTGGATGGATTCTTTGATAACACTGACACAAATACTGATGTAACACAGGAAATACTGCAGAAAGAGGATTTTGATATAGATAAGGTACACAATTTTTTATATTGTTCACGGTTTTGTGGTGAACGGGGTGAGTTTTGGATTTGTTGACAAAGGGTATGAGGAATTACCCTAACCCCTTTAATTATAAAAATAAATTAGTCTCATTTTAACTATTGTTTCTACTAAAGTAAACTGGCTTCATCATAGGGTAAACACAATTTGAAAGACACACTTTAGTACTTAAAGAGCAGTGGCGTAACTATACCGTCTGGGGCCCTTGGCAAATTCTTTAGATGTGAGGAAATATCTATATATCAGGAAAAATCGTCACGTTGTACTCGACTTAATTTTAATAAAGCATACTCAATTACACGTTGTATATGTCCCACTATTATAATATTAGGCTTATGGTTATTATTATAATAACCATAAGCCTCCTCTCTTAGGCGAGAGGGAATGGTCTGTAGTCCACACGCTAGCCCAAAGCGTATTGGAAACTTCACATTCATCCATAGAACATAATGTCTCGGGTAGGGGCTCTCTTGGGTCGGAGGCCCGTGGCATTTAGCCAGCCCTGCCACCCTATTGTTACGCCACTGTTAAAGAGTGTAATATTTTCTAATAAATGATGAGACAGCTTCCATATGTAGGGGTAGAAGGACTCCTTTCTCCGCAATTAGACTCGTGGTTGGTCCGTTGTGCGTACGCTTCCATATGTATATAGAGACTACAATTGGCTGTCAAAACATACATAGGGTCAATGTATTAATAGTTGACCGGTTAAGCGCTTTTTACTGCTTCGAAATGTACAGCAGACTTGGTTTATTACTTACATCAAATTTAAATATAGTAAATGATTGTGTGAACTTTAGTGTGTTTAGAGATATAAATATTACTATTTAACTGGAACCATTTTTCAGAATATCAAAAAATAAAATAAAAATATATAAATGCGCCACTAGTTGACCAGCAAACTCCAAAGTCTGACCGTGAATGTACCATAAGTTGACCATACAGTGAAATGTAAATAAAACGAAATTTACAAAGAAAATTATGATTTTTAATAGTCAAATTTAAATTAACAAAACCTTGAGAAGAAAATCAACATAATATTACATGTTTTAAACAGTAAATGGAAGGTATTTGTCCATTTCCTTTACGACATAAAAACCTCTCTTGTTAGAGAGCACAGGTGCATCTATTACTTCCACTACATCTTTTTGATGGTACCAGATTTTATCAGGCTTTTCTGGCCATTTAAATGTATTTGCCACGGAAAAGCTCATAGTGCTTATTTCAAAAAATTGTTCGTCGACATTTTCAACAAGCCCAGGAAAATATTGTCCTTCATATATGAGGATGACATAATTTCCTTTACATATTCCTTTTTTCTTCGCAGATAAAACGCTTAACAATTCTTCTTCGGAATCTGGTTCAGATCCTAATGTTTGTATATTTTCATTTTCTTTGTTTATATTTCTTGTATCAATTATGTTACTATCGTCTGATTCACTATCACTCCGTATAATGAGACTGTTTGTTTTCTTTTTCATTCTTTTGCCTTGGACTTTACATTTTTTTATATCTATTTCTGAGACACAGGAGAGCGAGCGTATCACTGCTCTCTTTACTTTTGGTTTCTTTACTTGACTTTTACTTATTTTCTTCTCATCTCGCTCTCTTTTTCTGTTTTCTATATATTCTAACTTCTTTTGCTTTTCTTCTTCTTTTTTTTTAAAATAATCTATGAAATATTTTGATGTCACCGCAAGTGGCAGGCGTTCCTTAGTTTTTTTCTTTATTGGGGAGTCTGATGGCCACAAAATATGGTTACCAAAAGCAGGGCTTATTAGTTTTTGTTTTTTGGCCATAAGCTGAAATAGTTTATCTTTAGAAGTGTTAACTGTGTTGCTTCCTTGTTGATTTATTGCAATCTCTGCCTCTGGAGTAATTTGATAACAAAAAAAAACTTTACATTCTTAAATATATGTTTAAGCCAAAGCTTGACCACCATGGACAGCTTTAGGAGCACGATTAAAATTTCGGAGCCAATGGATAACCACCCCACAAAAATCAGTTATCCACAAAAAACAGCATAAATATTACATTCAGCACTTTAACAAACTATTACCCTTAAACCCTATCGCATTAAATCAAAAAATGCACGAGAAAATACTCAGATGAAATAAGATTTACCAAGAAACTCATAAAAAACATTCTTACTAAATCAGATGTGTACTTACCGGGCGCCATCTTCACTTGCAAAGAACTCGGATTGGTCAACCAATAGCGAACTTACTCGTGTACCACGTGACAGTAATAGTGTTGTCAACATGAACGACAAAAAACTGCTATCAAAACCTGCCATTTTACGTTAAAAAAGGCTAAAGTGTGTGTTTTGGTCAACTATTGGTGCATGGTCAGCTAATAGCACATTGACCCTAGTTTTTTATGACATTTAAATAATTACTACAGTAGAACTCCAATTATCCGAATTAATGGGGACCGGGACCCATTCGGATAATCAAATATTCGGATAGTCGGATTTTTTTAAAAAAATTGCCATTGGAGAGAATAAAAGCTACGTTTTGATATTGCACTATTTTTTTATTGAATAAAATGAAAGAAACATGAAATTTTCACATGTTTTAAATATAAATAAAATGTACTTATGTACAAGTTTAGAAATAAAAATCATTGTTTTTTAAACATCTCCGTCAATGTAAGCTGTTTTGCGGTCTTCAACCGTTTTCGGGCAGCCAGGTCACGGATCGGATAATCGGCGATTCGGATAGTCGGAGTTCGAATAATTGGAGTTCTACTGTAATATAATTAGAATGGTAAAAAATTATTAAGGCGTCGCTTGTTTGTGATCTAAAATGTAGGTTCATATCTCAGTAAGCGATAAACCACATAATTTATTGAAAGAGGAGGATATATATCTTCAAATTTTGTACTCACCGAAGGTGAAATTGTGTATTTCAGAAACTAAACACATGTTTGATCTTAAAATATATTTATTTATTGTACACACTAGAACAAAATAAACTAAAAAACCATAAGATGCTGTAATGGGTGGCATAATCACTACTTAGTGATTTCTTCCAGGCAAGCGTAATGAATTTTAAAAAAAGGTCTAAGAGTACATACTTATTTTATTTTGAAAAAAAATTTTTTTTTAATTACATTATCTTTAATTCTGTTTTTTTTTATTTTGTTTGCATGTATGTATGTAAATTGTTTCTTTTTTATTGTCACTATGTTATATATTTCTTTCTTTTCTTCCTTATTATTTATTATTTCTTTGTTATTGTAATGTTTTCAGCTGCAAACAATCCCAGACCAGCCAAAAGAAGATGAAGCTCTCAACTCTGACGAGGAGAACTATCTCCAAATGGTGGTGTTCCAGTCCACCACGACGGCAGCTGGTCGCCACGTGTGTAACCTCTGTCACAAGGAATTTAAACACGCGAGATGGCTGAAGCAGCACCTGAAATCACATACAAATTGGATCAAGGCGAACTGCAAGAAGCCGCCAAAGTGCCTCATTTGTGATAGGACTTTTAAGGTGATTAAATCAATTTAAAGGTCGCCAACGCACTCGGGTCTGGCAGCGTGTGTCCATAGGCGGTAAAAAATAAAATTTATTAATGTAGGTAACTTACTGTACACTTATGAACGTCAGAAAAAAAAATGTTTCTAAATTTACATTTATTGCCAGTTCTCAAATCCAGGGCATAGAAGGGATGAGAAGAACTGGCAATAAAGTCTTCGTCACTCAAAAAATTCATTCAAATCGGTCCAGTCGTTTAAGACGAGTTCAGTGACATACACACGTTCATCGTAGAATTATATATATAAATATTACCTTAAAATATATTTACATTATTTTGGTACAAGAAAAAGTAATCTTGGAAGTTAAATGTAATTAAATCCTACTTATATAAACGCGAAAGTTTGTATGAATGGACGTTTTTTACTCTTTCACGTGGAAACAACTGAATGGATTTTATTGAAACTTTACAATAATATAGCTTATACATCAGAATAACACATAGGCTACAATTTATAAAGATATTGTGTGAATTGTCCAAAATACCAAGTAAGCAGGACAAAATATACATAAGTAATGTATGATGGAAATGTTTATCCTTAATATTCCTACAAAAAAGCCCGCCACAGTATATATCTATGTCTTATGTGTATTATAGCCAAAATAGTGAACCATAACTATAATAAAAATTGATAATTTATTTCAAATGCACTGGTGGTAATAAACTTTTATCGCTTCTGTTATTTAAAGTAGATAAAATATGTCTTTCATGCTACATCATTTGGGCAAATATTATTAAGCTATTGCATAGATTTTATCGCGGGCTTTGAGCGCGGCGACCGAATCAAGAAATTCCGTAACGAAATAAACCTAACACACGACGTAATATAGGTGCGGCCAATACGCGTTAGAGCGTGACAGAACGCATACTGCGTCTCACATCGGTTTAGCGTGATCGGATAGGCGTGTTAGTCTGAGTCTGTTTGAGTAGATTGAATTAATATCAAAGAAAACACTTGAATTAATATCAAAGAAAAAAAAATACTGCAAAAATAAATAAATAATTATATTGCATAAGTTTATAAAACTGCTATGCAAATAGCTTTACCGCGGCAGTGTCCGAGTGCCACACGTATTTATAATAAATTCTAAATTCTAAGATTCATTGATCATTATAATAATAATTAATTTAATTAATAATTAATAATATTTAATTTTAAGCAAGAATAACAAGGGCATTATTAATAAAAGATACCAGAGTTTTTTAAATTATTTTTTAACCTTTTTAGTTACATTAAATATATCTATTTAATAAATAAATATATTTAATCCATTGTCAATAGTGAAAGAGTACTTATTGATTGAAACATGACAGGGTCCAGGGATGTTGAAAATGCACATGCGCACACACGAACAGCGCCCACCTAAGCAGCCAACTTGCTCTGTCTGCCAACGGACCTTCCCAACAAAGACATTACTATACAGACACAGGCAGACACACTTTGAGCAGAAGAGCCATCAGTGTACGGTGTGCGAGAAGCGGTTCTTCAGCGGTTACGCCTTGAGGTCCCACATGGCCCGACATAGGGGGGAAAGGCCATTTACCTGCGCTGTGTGTTCCAAGACATTCTATAATCCTACTGATTTGAAGGTAAGGATGTTATGCTATTTACGATAATCGAATTGAAAATATCCAAGGCCAGAATTTGGAGTAGGCCAAGGTGTAAACATTTTCATATTTTATTTATTTAAAGTTCTAAAATAATGCGTATGTCTAAAAAATAGAAGAAAATATGATATACATATCAATTATAATAGATCATAAGTACCTAATCTATCAAAGGAAAAAAAATATAATAACTAAAACTAAAAAGATAAAAAATAAAATAACAATAATAACCTAAACTAAATGAAAACTTAAACTTTAAAGAGCGTGATAAACAAGGTTACGGTAACTTGGCAGACTGTTGTAAAACACATCAATATTTTCATCGATGTTAATAATAAAGTTGCTTATTCACTGGACCAGTCAAAGTAGCAATGTATGCTACAATTGTCATTACGACGTGATATTGCGAACACTGTCTACCTAATGATAATAGCTACCGGTACAGTCGATTGTACCGAGCTGTTAAGCAAAAAATCGGTTATCTGTAATGTCGGTTTACTGACGATAGTTGAACGTGACAACGTCATAAGAAAATACTGATGGAATGGTTGCATTTTTCAAAAGAAAATTTTAATTTTATTAGTTTGATAGATATTTTGTATGGTTATAGAGGAGGTAAATGAAAATCACAATTGAATTGATCGATTACAATATAATCGATATAATACGATTTATACTTTATACACAATAAAGATGTCGAACGCTGCCGAACGCGGAGGTCGATTGTGCCTCTTTGTCGCTCGTTCCGCGCTCTCGCTTGCACTTCAAGCCTTAAATGGAACGCTTCAGAGCGAGGTAACGCCGCATGCGTCATGTTTTTTCGTGCGTGCAGCTGGCTCCATCGAATTATAAGACGTTGTCACGTCAAAAAAATCTACGTACATATAACAAAACTCTAAGAGATGAACCTGAACAGAAATTGTAGAGGGAGCAACTTTATGGTTAGAGCAGCGAACAGATTTATGAGTTAACTATTGACATTGATACGTTCGCCACGAGTGTGGTGACAGCAACTCTGACACAACATTATTTCGATTATGATGAATGTTCTTCGTAACCTTTCATTGACAACTAAACTAAATTCTGTTTCTTTTTTGTTGTACAATCAAAATATTTGGCATGTTTCCCTTCTTATATAAGAAAAACTATATCTGAAGATTTATAATTGGCCCACAATATTATATTTCTGTATTGTCCTGTAAATCTTCTGAATAAAAAAAAAGTTTGACTCCCGAGGATAGAAATTTGTTCAGCTAAGCTCTAAACTTTTTTGGGTACAATGATGATTTCTGGTTGGAAGATAAGAAATCAATTTTTATTAAATAATCAAAATTGATTCAGCTGTTAAGGGTTAACAAAAATCAAAGAAATAAAACTGTATGATCATAGTTTATAGAAAGAAGTCGTAGACAAAGTACCACATTTCAATTTAGCAAATTTCTCATCTTCCTCCTCCCTGACTCTAAATGCTTCCTCAAATGCCTTCTTAGTACGTTTGGACAAGTAATCTGGGAACACTATTTGAAAACGTATTATCAAATTACCCTTCGCTTTGTTGGGGCATACGGGTACAGGCAAGCCTTCGTCTTCCAAGATCTTCTCATACGCAGGTGTTACCACATCGGAGATTTTTACGTGCAAGATTCTGTCATCCAAAGTTCTGATGTCTATCATAAAACCGCACAATGCTTCCTGCAATGTAACAGTACGAACCATTAGGAGGTCGCTCAGCCCTGACCTGACAAAGCGCTCATGAGGTCTATCTTCTGTTATGAAAATGACATCTGCTGGAATCCTTGTTGGCCCCTGATCGCCTTCCTCCTTAAAACGGACCTCAGTGTTTGGGTATATGCCTGGTTTTATGGGAATTGATAGGACTTTTTCTCGCAGCTTCAGCTCGGAACATGTCTCGTCTGTGAAAACTAGGCGTTGTATTTTCATCTTCTTCAAGCCGCCTTTGTAGACCTCCTCAAGGGATAAAGCAAGAGGTCTGACTATTGTAGGGTCTTTTTCTTTGTAACCCTTACCTAGGGGGGAATCGAACATTGGTGGGGGGTCTTCATAGTAGTCTAGAAGATCTGCGTATGGATTTGTTGTGCCGAAGAACTCTTCGAAGGTCCGTATAGGTTCTCCATGATAGGAGTAAGGCTGGATGTATTCGTGGGGCCCTGGTACTCCCTTCTTCAGGCCTTCTTCTCCGTACTGGTCGTAAACTGCTCTGTGTTTATGGTCAACTAATACCTCGTAAGCTTCGCCGATGAGGGCGAATATTCGGCGCATGTTTTCGTCATTGTCGTATCTTTCGGGATTGTATTTTAAGGCGAGCCTTCGGTATGCCTTTTTGATCTCCAATTGGCTGCATGAACGCTTCACGCCTAGTATACCATAATAATCGAATCCCATTTTTGCTATAAAATTATTATTAAATAAATGATTGACTATTTGACGTTGTCATCAAAGATGTGTATAGATGTCATCTATTGAAAAAGTATTTAATTTATTCCTAAAGTAAAATGTTTTTTAATTTTTTTTAGGATCACTTTATTTTATAGCGCCACATAGTTTTCTTGGCCGGTAAGAGAGTCGCTGTTATGGTTATTAGTATTGGCCAGTAAATAAAAATTAACCATTATTAGGGGAATAAATTGAAGTCATGCAGGCTAACTTAATAATTTATTTAGTATCTAGAAAATACAGTTCTAGGCTTAAAAAAATGTGACGCAAACTTAGGAACAACTTATATGAAAGGTTTTGTTTCCTATTAATATAATATCTTTTAAGATACCTAGCAATCAGAACCGTTCGATAATTAAAACTTTGCCATTGTAATTAATAATACAAGGAATAAAAATAAATCCATTTTAGTTCGATTTTTATTAGTTTTCGTAGATAGTAAAATTATGCGATGGTAATACCAATTTCAGCCGCCGGCCAAGAAAACTATATAGCACTGTAACATGCGTTGTAATGGGCTATTTGATAAGATTAAAAACAAATAATTTATATTTATTAATTAATTTAGGCTTTCATAAATCATTCAGAATTTCAAGAAGCCCCTAACACTTCTCTAAGCAAAGATGGCGCACCAGTACGTATGACATACCATACCTGTAAACAAACTATTTTTTTTTACATGTTAGTTACGATTGTTTAATTACACAAATACACATTATACATTGATCAAAATCAGTCTCTGAGGAAATTAGGATGAGACTTCTTTTTCTTCGTAGTCTTCATTTCTGAAGGTCGTGCCTGTCTTGCAAAGCCCTAACCGATACGTCGACTTGCTGCCTCCACACCAGTCTATCCTCAGCTGGTCTCAGGGCATTAGGGATGTTAAGACCCATAATTGTCTTAATTTGGTCACACCAACGGGTAGGCGGGCCCCGACTTCTTCTGCCGTGACTCCTCCCTGCCATTACCAGCTTGTCGAGACTATTCGGTTCTCTCCCAGCAATATGGCCAAAGTAGATAAGCACCCGTTTGTAAACGATAGTCGACAGTCTTGTGGTGATCTTTGGTTGGTTGAGAATGGACTTATTGGTTCTTTTTGCAGTCCATGGTATTCGCAACATTCTCCTCCAACACCACATCTCGAATGCCTCTATCTCTGTTCGGTCCGCTATACAAATTGACCAAGATTGAACCGTACAGCGGATTATTCAAAGACATTTACAAACATGCGTCATCGTCGAACAATATGTGATCGTTTTTTGTCGTGAGACATTTCAAAATTATAATTATGTATTTTTGGATTAATCAATGATTATTTACAAGTTATTGCTATAATGTTTTTTCAAGCCACGTTCTACTAAGTCAATAATACAACAGAAATTGTTATATGTAAGGCTCAGTGTGTAAGCTGGTTCTGCGACCCAAAAAGTGTCTTGGTCTCCGAACCGAAAATATTCCTGTTCTGTGCCTCTTCTTCCCAATTGGCTTTCACTTACAATAGGCCCTTTTTTATACAACGGGGCAATCGGGTAGGAGGCTCATCGAATTTTAAGTGATACCGCCGTCCATGGACACTCAATGCCAGAGGGCTCGCGAGTGTGTTGCCGGCTTTTTAAAATTAGTACGCGCTGTTCTTGACGTACCCTAAGTCGATTTGCTTCGGAAATACTTCCTTCTCTACTCTGTCGATCTAGCGGTACCTAGGCCTACTGGTCGACCGCCAGGCCGGCTTCTTTCCTACAAAAATCGGAGAAAGCATTGTCTAATTTCTCTCTCTTTTACAGGTACATTTCCGCCTACACACCGGTGAAAAACCACTAAAGTGTTCAGAATGTAACAAGGCATTCCGTCGCCATTCAACGTTATGCCAGCACATGAAGAAACATCGCGGTATAAAAAATCACGTGTGCAATATTTGCAACAAAGCCTTCTATGAAGTGTCGAAGCTTAATGCGCACATGCGCATACACACAGGTAGGTTTATTTTATTTGCATAATTAAATAAAAATTTAAATTAATAATTTTATTTGACGGTGTAATGTACACAAAACAAGTTTTTAAATTGCTTTAATTCACTTTACGCGTATTAATGTACACGAGTCCTCGTACTTACGCCATGTTAGATTTTCGAAATACGCAACGTAAATCGAAACGACGTAAGTCGAGACATATTTTTTCGTATGTTTACATGTAAAACTCAAGGGTTAGGTTCCTCACGGACTCTAAATTAAACAAAAACTGCATTTTTAACAAAGGATATACATACTTTATTATCAAAAGTAAGTTCTTAAAATAATTATATATGCACTTATGAAATTGCTAGTTATATTTTGGTATTTGTGTGTTATTAATTTTAATAATAATTATAAAACTTTAATATGTAATCAAAATATGTACTGAGAAATAATAAATTAATTTTGGCTTAAAGAAACTATCAATTCTAGATTGCTTCGCTGCTTTCTTCTTGCTATACAGATCTTGGTAACACTGATAGGCTGCACAAATTTTGTTATTAACGTTGAAACTTCTCTCAAAATTAGGATCATTTTCTTCAAAAAATTTCATGGCATTCTCCAAATTTGCACAAGACAAGTGAAGTCTCCTATGCCGGAAATCGAAACAAATGACGTATGCTTGAGGAATAGTGTCAAAACATTGTTCGACGTAACTTGAAACGACGTAAGTCGAGGACTACCTGTATCACTGTTTTTTGTACATGATTTCCCTGATCGTGACTTTTTAATACTTTAGATATTTTAATATTTTTTTTATTTTAGTATAAATACTAATAGTATATTCAGTGAAAAAATACCTGGTCCTTCTGACAAGGAGTTTCCAATTCCTCTGTTTCTTCTTCTTTCTTTTCGTCTTTTCCATCAGTCTTCTCTGCTTCGATGGTCCACCACCATGTCGCGCCATCTAGTTAAATTAGCCGTTCAATCACCAGCCTAGTCTCTTAACTAGCAGCGCGAAGCATTTTTGATAAATTGGGTTAATTCGCGTTTTTTTTGTACATTTACAAATACATGTATGTAACTATCGGTCCAAAGAAGATGTCTATAGAATTTTTCATATTTTTAAAAACACTTGAAAAAAAACAAACTTGTTTTGGGTGCTTTAACGGATTTGACATTTCAATTAGTTTCAATGGGGAAAATTGCGTTGTGGTACGAGAAATTAAACTCTTAAAATATGTAAAAATAAAAATAAAATAAAATATATAATAATAAAAATATCTTTAGAAGTGAAACTTCTTAAGGCACGTGAAGGTAAAATTTATGCGGATGAAACGCAATAATAATAATATTTGCGTCACGAAGATGTGCAGCGTTTTTTTTCGAAAATAAGGGAGAGAGCGATTGAGCCCGATGGAGAGAGAGTGAGAAAGAGCGAACGTAGAAATAAGCAAATATCCATGGAGCGAGAGTAGGGTGCAAGCAAGTGAGAAAGATCGAGAGATCGAGTAAGGGAGATCGAGAAAAATACACGCTATTGGTTGATGTATTCGTTTAGTAGTTACATATTAGAACTTTAGATGACAATTATGTTGCATAACGTCTTGTGCAGTAAACGCAGATTTTTTATTTATTTATATTACCATTAGCACGTATATTGTATAAACAGTCTGAATAGAAATATACAAATAACATGGAGTGATCATTTACAGGTACATGATCATCTATTGGGGCTTTCACCTTTGTAATAATTAATTTACTTTTTTTCAGGTGAAAGACCCTTCGAATGTCAATATTGTGATCGAAGATTTGCCCAGCAATCGGCCCTAATATACCACCGTAGAACGCACACGGGCGAGAAGCCGTACAGTTGTAAATTGTGTTCAGCGAGGTTCACAACGTCATCTGCGAGAAATAATCACTTGCTGATACATACGGGGCATAAAAAGTAAGTTTTACTTATTCGTAAAATGTATAGACCAATTATATTTTATTTATTCAAGGATTTTTATTTAAAAAAATTATAGAATTTCTTTGTTTGTGCGAAAAGTAAGCAATTCTTGTCATTACATTCTCTAAAAATATTATGTAATAAGTGGTTTTACGGGCGACAATTTAACGTCATAAGAAAACATTGATGAAAAGTTCCATACGTTAATGAATTGAATTGAATTATTAACACTTAATTATCATTATTTTGTATAGTACAAAGGATTTAATTGAACATTTTTTTTTAGATATAATAACTTATACTCGTTAATGCAAGAAGTATTTATCTTTTATGTTGCAATTTTTTTTATGACTCTAGCACGGTTTGTGCATTAGCCAGCGTCAAGTATAAGATTTTTAAAATTCGTGCTTTTTGCCTTAGAATTCGACCATGTCCTCCATGTACGGTTTAGGCACTCGCCCGGTACCGCACAACCCTCCCAAAGGCCGAGAACAAATTTAAATTAAAACTTGCCCTCGCACCGGGAATCGAACCCGGTACCCCTCACCTAGCTGCCACTTAATAAGACCGCTAGGCTATGAGGCCTTCCATTTTGTTGCAATTGTTGTTGTAATAAACAATGGAATTCCGCTCTAACACTCGTTTGTTCGATAAAAAACAAAACGCGCCAATACAAAGCTGACGCAACCACAGATATGAAGCAAAGACTCCATAGAGTAAAGAATTGGCGCGCTTTCTAGCAAAATATTTTTATGGCGTCAATAAAACCTAGGTTAAAAACGCGTGAGAATATTTTTGAAATATTATTTTAATTGTATTTATTATTACAGATTAGTGTGTCCCATCTGTCTCAAAACCTGCAAGTCTCGGACGGAACTTCGATTACACACAAACAAACATGCCGGTAATTGATTTAATTTATTTATTATTGAATGACTATCTTAAGTGAAAAATGCTCTGTCTTCGATTGTCCATTGGTTTAGTATGAATAACCTTCTACTTAATGCAAAAAAGACAAAATGCATTAAATTTTGTGCAAAAAATGCAAGGGTTATGGATACTAGACCAATTATAAACGGTGAGGAATTGAATCTGGATGATACAACTGTATTTCTCGGAATCACCATGGATTCAAAACTTCAGTGGTCCCCTCATATTAACGGATTGGCGAAGAGACTTAGTTCTGCAGCCTACGCGGTTAAAAAAATTCGCTCACTAACTGATGTCGATACAGCTAGACTTGTTTATTTTAGTTACTTTCATAGCTTAATGACTTATGGCTTATTATTATGGGGTCATGCTGCTGATGTCGAAACTATTTTCATCCTGCAGAAGAGGGCTATTCGTGCAATCTATAATTTAAAATGTAGGGAATCTCTTAGAGATAAATTCAAGGAAATTAATATACTTACCTTTCCCTCGCAATATATTTATGAAAATATTATGTATGTATACAAAAATAGTGATAAGTTTACTAGAATAGAACATACGCACAATGTTAATACACGGAACAAACGCAGGCTGCAATTTTCCCGTACTAGACTATCTAAAGTTAGTAATTCTTTTTTGGGGAAAGGGATACTCTTCTTTAATAAAATCCCAGAGGCTCTTTTATCACTGCCTTTCAATAAATTTAAGAAATGTATTAAAGAAAAGCTGTGTAAAAAGGCTTACTATAAAGTCAACGATTATCTAGTTGATAAAAGGGCCTGGGACTAGTGCTAGACAGGCTACTTTTAATCAATTTGCGATATTTGTTTTAAATAAGTGTTGTTTGATGATTTGCTGTTTTAAAAGAGTACCGAGAGTTTTTTACGCCGGCTTTTTCTCTCGGCCTACACCCTCTGTCTTCTTTGCCGATGAGTAGGGATGCCTTCAAATTTAATGACGTGGAATAAGTGATACATGTATCTTATGTTCCATAATAAACATATTTTATTTTATTTTATTTTATCTTAAGTGAAAAATGCGATCTTAAAAGGATACAATCTTTAAAAAAAAAGTGAGGCATATGCACACAATTATACAAATTTCAAAATACAGTGTAAACTCTTTATAACGAGTCCGAGCATTTTTGTTCCTTATAGGCATCATTATAGGGTGAGAAGAAGTAATGTATGGGTATGCCAATAGCTCTTTTTGCGTTATAGAGAGTTTTCGGTTATAACGACTGACGTTATAAAGAGTTTATATTGCAGTTAAATTCTTTTTATCGATTCAAAATAGTGACTGTACATATCTGGTCCCTGTATTCAAGTCCCGGGGAATTCAAAATTGTTTCATTAAAAATGCAGAATTATTAATTACATATTTAAATTTTATACAACATAGAATCTGGTGCATTAAAGAAAAATGTGAAAGCGCAAGAGAGTAAGTCAGAAGAGCCCATCGAAGCAGAGAAGACTGATGAAAAAGACGAAAAGAATGAAGAAGAAACAGAGGAATTGGAAACTCCTTGTCAGAAGGACCAGGTATTTTTTTCACTGAATATACTATGAGTATTTATACTAAAATAAAAAAGTATTAAAATGTCTAAAGTATTAAAAAGTCAGAATCAGGGAAGTCATGTACAAAAAAACAGTGATACAGGCAGTCCTCGACTTACGTCGTTTCAAGTTACGTCGAACAATGTTTTGACACTATTCCTCAAGCATACGTCATTTGTTTCTATTTCCGGCATACGAGAATTCACTTGTGTTGTGCAAATTTGGAGAATGCCGTGAAATTAAAAAAAAAATGATCCTAATTATGAGAGGTTTCAACGTTAATAACAAAATTTGTGCAGCCTATCAGTGTTACCAAGATCCGTATAGCAAGAAGAAAGAAGCGAAGCAATCTAGAATTGATAGTTTCTTTAAGGCAAAAGTTTAATTTATTATTTGTCATTACATATTAAAGTTTTATAATTATTATCAAAATTAATAACACACAAATAACTAGCAATTTCATAAGTGCATATATAAGAACAAATTTAACTCATTTGTGAGTTACTTGTTCGTTATAACGAATGACATTATAAAGAGTTAACTCTGTATAGGAAACGCAAGCCCTTATACAAACTGATAGTGGTCAGCGGCGCTTCAAGTGCGGCCTATGTGTGAAGAGTTACAGGTACTTGCATAGTTTGAAGAAGCACTTGCTGAGTCATGTGCAAATGTGCGTCTTCAATCCCGACGGATCGGAGAAATTGTATGCGTTTAGGGTGAGTTTTTTTAATGTTTTAATGACTTTGTGATTTTTCCTAAATGCCCTAGCATGTTTTGCAATATTATAAAAAAACTATCTGACCCGGCAAACGTTTGTTTTGCCATGTATATTATTTCTAGGAAACATTTTTTTAGTTCAGTAAAAATAACTATCTACATAAAAAATAGGGGATCAACCCCTAGAGGGGTGAAAATTAGGAGTTGTATGTATTTTTGTTTGATGTATCATAAAAAAATAAAAACAAAAAACATTGTCTAAAAATAAAAATAAAAGCTTTGTGTTGGACCCCTTGTTACTTAGGGGTTTGATGAGGGGATTGAAAGATATATAGTAGCCAATTCTCAAACTTACTGAATATGCATTAAAAATTTCATAAGAATCGGTCAAGCCGTTTCGGAGGAGTATGGGAACGAACATAGTGACACGAGAATTTTATATATAAAATAATGTACGCGAACTTTCTAACTACTGCACGAAATTTGATGTTTTTGTGCCGATTTCAAACATCTGTAGTATTTTTATTTTATCTTGTATTTTTTTGTAACATTTATGTTATCTTAATTGTCATACATTTTATATAAAAGAGTTACATATACCGTAGATATAGTATTATGTATGATGTGTTAAACTTGAATTAACAAAAATAAGTGCAATGTAGTAATTGATTACAAATATCTTGAATTATTTACATAAAAATACAACTTGTGATAGGTATTTAAGTTTTTTACAGTATCTAGCCGATAGATTTTAGCCCCCTTGTTCAAAATAGTTTAACATTTTAAATATTTAGTTTATACACAAATTCATATAATTATTAATAAAAAGTAATATTTATTTAAGTTTTATTGGTTCTCTTTGAATCTCAGCAACAGCAACAACAGCAGCAGCAGCAGCAACAGCAACAACAGCAGCAGCAACAACAGCAGCAACAACAACAGCAACAACAGCAGCAACAACAACAGCAACCGCAGATACAGCAACTGTTACAAGTTCAGCCGCAGCAGGTACAGCAGCAAGTCGTTCAACAACTCACTCTCCCGATTCATCAACACATACAGGTATTTACAAATCACTCAAAGCTGTAGTACAAGTATTATTAAGTGTGCTAATCTCAATTCCAAGGTCCAGGGTTAAAGCCTAGTGTAATAAAAAATATAATACAGTGTAAACTCTATATAACGACACTCAAGGGACCATGTTTATTTTGACGTTATAAAGAATTACCGTTAAATGGAAAGAAAAATCTATATTAGAAAAATAAATTTTATTTCAGACTAGTGTTAGTAATTTCATAAAAACAATTCGTATTTGAACGTTATTGCGTTGTCTGTTATTTTTGTACTGTACCAGTTGTTAGGTTGTATTTTTTATTATTTAATTCATATCTTGCTATTTTGAGGCATCGTCGTGATAAAGCACATGCAAGCATGCGCAATTTGTAAAATAAAGGAACGGATTTCTTGGAAAGTTCGGTACGTATGACGAGTACCGACAGTCGAGTTTATTTCTCGCTAGAACAATAAAGCGACACAACAACGTACACAGCTCCGCAGTTTTAACTAATTTCGGCAACTTAAACAATACTTTTAAGTATTTAATGGCTGTCGTTATTGAGGGGGGTGTAATGCTATGTAGAGTGTATCATTGTACGGAAGACAAGCTAAACCAACCAAAGTCGAGTGATTTGGACGCTTTAAGGGCTTGATCGTTAAAACGAGTGCCGTTACATGGAGTTTACACTGTATATAAAGAAAAATTAATTAAAGAAAGAAGTGTCTGTAAGAGATTACGATTTTTCTAATAATTTTAATAAAAAATGATTACAAAAACATTTTTTTCCAGTCAGGCAGTCTTCTGATATAGGCCGCCATTTCTCTCTCTTGATACAATATATTTTTTACAGAATGTCCAACAGCCTTATCCAGTAATATCGTCCGTCCAATCTCTTCAATTGCAACAAACACACCAACATATCAACACTGTAAGTTTATTAATGTGATATACGGTAATTTCCCTATAACGCGTTTTTGTATAATGCGATTTCCGTCCCTCATATAACGCGGATATTTCTCAAGTTATATTTCTGTGGTGGGTAAATTATGATTTGTCTAGTTCGTGATTAGTTTTGCGTACCTTTGCACCTGATTAAATCGCGTTAACGCGATTTCCTATAACGCGGATCGGGTCTACCACGTTATAGAAGGGATTACTGTTTTAATTATCTGAGCCACGATTTTTTTTAAATCAAAGTTTTGAGGTAAGCCCGTCCAAACATCATCAGGATTAGAGTTTTTTATTAGTGAATAATACTATGTGTGACGAAACTTTTCCATTACCTATTATTAAAAAAAATACAATAAAACAGACTCAAAAATGTGTCTTTTCCGTTTTTTTTTTTTTTTTTTGATTGGACAATTCACACCAATTGACCTAGTCCCATGCTAAGCTGGTGAAGCTTGTGTTATGCGTACTAGGCATAAGGCAACGGATATACATACATATTATAGATAGACATATAATAAATACATATTTAAACACCCAAGACCTAAGCACAACACCAAATGCTCATCACATCGATGTTTGTCTCAGCCGGGGATCGAACCCGGGACCCATGGATCCGCAGTCAGGTGTACTAACCACTAGACCAATGAGCCATCAAAATTGTTTTGTGTTTTTAAAGTTTTTAATAATATAATAAGAACCTTTAAAGAAACACATACATTTTAACTATATTTATTTTTTATAATTCAGTTATTTTTTTGTTATAGCAACCCCAGCAACTTCAGGTACAAACAATACAATTACAACCCCATCAGCAGCCCATTCAAATACATGTAAGTATACTGGATTCCCATATCCAAATACGACTTGTTTTGTGTTGATCTTTACAAAAGATACACTTAAAATTTTATAGAATATTCCTTCAACTGGCTCCATCTCTCTATCTTGAGCATGTTCCTTCCAATCTTCTCCGCTATCCTTTTTTAAGCTCGTCAGGCAAGAGACATCTCTTTCTCTTCCCTGGTGTAACTTTTGGTTTTGCGATTTTAGCGTAGCAAAATGTTTTTTTTTAGAAATAATCTCTTCATTTTTTAATAGTATACTAAGGGTCTGTTTCACAATGTATGGATAAAGTACCAAATAGCTATGCAACAGATAAATTATTTGGAAGATAAATTGTGCTATTTGACACTTCATCGGACTCATAACTTATGATAGACTTTATGTGACGAATAGCGCTATCTGACAGTCGTGAAACGCATCAATAGTGTTTATCCTACCAATAAGTAATAAATAGCTATTTTGGAACTTATGTAGAACTTATCCGTACATTGTGAAACAGACCCTAAATCTCTCGTTTGATTATAATTGGCCTTCAAATGGTTTGTCTAGATATAACATAAATATGTATAAAATTAAATAACAATATTTCATAATTCAAACACACAAATACGATACAAACACACAGTACGATATTCTTAATCTACATAGTAATAATAATGTTAATTAAAAATTGATTTATATAAAAATTCATCAAATTTATTAAGTTTGGTCCCTGTGGCAGCATTTCCTCGCTGTATATTTATTCCTTGTGCGAGAAAAGCACCAGCTCTTGTGGATTTCTTAATTGTATTAATACGAGTACTATGATTACATTTATTACATTAGTTTGTTTAAATTAGGCTAATTTTGGAAGTAAATATTTATTATACCAACAAATTAATAACAAAATTAGTTTCTGGTGAAATAATTTGATTTTTTTGTCACTAAAAGGCGGTGGGAATGCAACAAGAGCAGTTGCACGTGGCGTCATCTTCTTGTCAAACGATGTTACCAAACATATTACAGGTAATTAAAATGAAATCTATATTTAAATGAAAATGTATCGCAAAACTCGACCAATTCGAGTAATTTTATTTAAATTTATTCTTCGAACTCTTACGGAAAATATAAAGAATAATTAAAAAATTAGGTTTTCATTCTGGAAAAATAAACAGCCTTTATGGGGTAGCATAGCTAAATGTTTCTAAGGTATGTAGCTACTAAAAAGGTAGGCTAAGTAAAAAAAAGTGTGTTCGCACAAAGTACAAATGTCAGAAGTGAAACTTCTTTGGCAAACTAATTTTTAAGTCTTGAGACTTAGAGGGAGGGAAAAAGGAAGATATGTTAGGAATTTAATTATCATTAAAATATTAACAGTGTCGAAAATTAATACAAATTATAAATTTATTTCTTCGATACTAAAAACACGTGTCATTTTAATTTACAATTCGTCATTTAAGATTTCAATTAATTATTTTGCATAAAATACCTACTAATGTTTCATAAATTGTATTTACGGAATTTTAATTTTAAAAATATAATTTCTATAAGGTAATTCACCCTTCTCACTCTCTCTCAATCGCTCTCTCCCATTTCTTCGACAAAAACGCTGCACATCTTCGTGTCACTAATATTATTATTATTTCTGTATGCAACGAAGTGTTAGCAAATAAATAAATATATCACGCCTCCATCGTACAAGTCGTCGGAAATATCTGCGAACCTGGCTTAATGACGTCATACAAACTGGAGAGATAGCAAAAAAATTGAAGATGTAAAAATAAAAAATATTTTATTTGTGTACTTATTTTTATTGATACTCGTACCTACTTGAAATTTACAAATACTTATTATTTACATATTTTTTTAAATATTTTGCTCTCCAGGCTGCTATTTCAGGTCTTTGCACCAAAAAATCGCGATTACGAAAGCAAGAATAATACACGTGCGTCGGCGATTGCGTTGGCAACGGTACTGGATAGGCGAAAACGGGGCGGGGTGCGGGGAAGCGCCAGGGGAAGCGCATTCCAGCGAGGTTCGCAGATATTTCCGACGGCTTGTACGCTGTTACTCAATAAGAGTCCATCTACCACAAAACTTCGTAGGCGATATTCAAAAGGGGTCCACTGCTACTATTTCCCGTATATTTTTTCGACCGTATTCGGATTTATTCGAAAATAAAAAAACACATTTTGCGGTTACATACTGTGCGATGATATGAGGAAGTATTTTGCATACGTAGAAAGAAAAAAAATATTGCTTAGGTTTTTTATGGATACACGAGCAGTGTTGGTCTAGTGGCTTCAGCGTGCGTCTCTCATACCTGAGGTTATAGGTTCGATCCCCGGCTGTGCACCAATGGACTTTCTTTCTATGTGTGCATTTAACATTTGCTCGAACGGTGAAGGAAAACATCGTGAGGAAACCGACATGTTTTAGACCCAAAAAGTCGACGGCGTGTGTCAGGCACTGGAGGCTGATCACTTACTTGCCTATTAGATTTAAAAATGATCATGAAAGAGAATTAGAAATCTGAGGCCAAGAACTAAAGAAGTTGTTCCACCACTGATTTATTTTATTTTTTTATGTATACTAACTTATGGCATATTTTTCAGTTGCAAAATGGCACGGTTGTGTCAGGCCTGTCTGCGCAGGAGTTGAGTGGCGTCGCGCATCGAATTATTTTACAACAACCCCCTCCTCACCCGGCTGTTTACACCATACACCATTAGTTCTAAATAGATTTTATATATTTAAACTGCGTTTTATTTGAAGTGGGCCGGATACAAAAAAAAATTAGTCACCATAGATAAAGATGTCAGTGTCAAGTCGACGGCGTGTGTCAGGCATAGGCTGACCAACTACTTGCCTATTAGATCGACGAATGATCATGAAACAGATATCTGAGGCCCAGACCTAAAAAAAGCGCGACTGATTTATTTTTAATCTCCCAAAACAGTCAAAATAAATAATGGGTACGCTGATACAAGTATGGTTCTATGTAACAGCTCCACCAAAGTTTTTAGAAAATACCCTCAGTATTTGGAGATACATACATATAACGGGTAAGCGCTCTCTCACTCGCACCCGCTTGAACAGTTGCTACCTCGCGCTCGCACCTGCATCGGGGTCTCCCAATGTTTCTAGCAAGATGAGGGTGACTAGTGAGGAAACTATTTTTTATAGGCCCCCAAGAAACATACAATTTGGCTTTGGGAGCGTTCAAGTATTACGTCACGCAATTTTTGGAGATTATTGACCCCCAAAATGTCGTAACGTTTTTCTGTACCCAAGTATAATAAAACGTTTCGTAACCACTTAGTGACTCTTTATACTTAAAAGTTACCATTATGTGGTGTAAAGTACTGGAAAGTCGAAAATAATATTAATAATAACGCGTTATTCAATCCCCGCCCCGCACCGTAACGTTTTACAAAAGGAACCCCCGCCCTCCAAATTTCTTACGTAATACTTGACCGCTCCCTTTTATACTAAAACGATATTATAATTTATTATAGTTTATTATTGTCTGTCAATAGGTAGAAACTGTAAAATGTGTCTGGCAGTTGATAACGTGATTTCTAATGTTATCCTAAGGGGGCGTCCATAAATTACGTGAGGTGTTTAAGGGGGAGGGGGTCGAGTCAAATCTCATTTAATCTTACGTTGGAGAGAGGGGGGTCTTGGCAAATATCACGCAATTTTTTTCTGATTAAAAAAAAAATTAGAAAAACGGTTGACCCTAAAGGCCATCACTGCAACTTCCCGCTAACTCCATACCTAAACGCTCAACATTTCACATATTTTGTTTTTGAGCTCTTTGAGCTCAATAGTACGAATTCTGTGTTATTTTGAGTTATCCGAGCTCAAAAGATAGCTTCTTACGCGTTTACGTAAGAAACCGACATTTTGAAAAATCTCACGTGAGGTTGGAGGATGGGGGAGGGGGTTGAATAAAATCTCACGACATCTCACCAGGGGGGAGGGAGGTACAGAAAATTTAAAAAAACACCTCACGTAATTTATGGACGCCCCCTAAGGAAAATATATAAAAAAAGAACTTTATACTATAAGGAAGTCATGGTACTTTTTGACACACCCTTACTATCTGTCGCTGTTCGTTCTTACCTGTGTTGGATATACACAGAAACTTTCAGCAACAAAATAAAGGTCTGGCCATCGTGGGTGGTCTTATTAAGAATTTAGATTGCCTGCGTTCACCCTTAGTAATACGTGCAGTGGTATATTAATGTAGAATCTAGGTTTAATACCTTATGTACATAAATCTTATGGCTCTTTCTAATTGCATTTATGTTGTAATGGAAGCAGTAGTGAGGGGGCCTCATAGCCTAGCGGTCTTATTAAGTGGCAGCTAGGTGAGGGGTACCGGGTTCGATTCCAGGGCAAGTTTTAGATTTAATTTAAATTTGTTCTCGGCCTTTGGGAGGGTTGTGCGGTACCGGGCGAGTGCTTAAACCGTACATGGAGGACACGGTCGAATTTCTACGGCAAGCACGAATTATAAAAATCTTATACTTGACGCTGGCTAATGCACAAACCATGCCAGAGCCATTAAAAAAAAAGCAGTAGTGAGTACTTAAAGTGTGTTTCAACTGGTTTGTTTTTCAATAAGGGAGAAAGTTCCTTAAAATTCAGCAACAGCCAACCAATTTCTAAGTTCAGAGGTGCAATAAAACATCTTTGTAAATATTAAATTATAATTAAAATCATTAATTACTTACAATCATTAAAAATAAAAAGTCAAAACTATAATCCTAATCGTCAAATGCCATTAAAAGCTATTCGGTAATTAATATTAAGAAAATATATAAACAATGAATAATTTGCGCAAACATTTTCATATCAAATTATGCAAATTTCCACAACTTTGCTGTCTAAAACAATGTGATTTTATATGGCCCGCCTTAGTATTTGTCTAAAACTGTTTTAAAGTCTACATGCATTTTAATATAACATATCGTCTGTATACATAGAAGCCATTCTGTCATCATACTAAACTAAAAATAAAGGCAGATAAAGGACCTCTAAAGGTAAAAACGGGACTTATGACTTCTATATGTCAAATCCTATTAGTTTCTAACATACGGGAGACATATATATATATATATATATGCGCTAAAGGACTTTGGTCAAGGGTCATATAGTCTGTGTGAATGCATTTTAAATAGCTTGTAAACACTTGTAAAACGTAATATTATTCTGGGATTTTCGTTCCTTCCGGACTTTTAAACGAGTTTTTATTAATGAATTTGACTTTATGAAAGTCAAATGATAAATCGGAAATGACGGTACTATCGAAAGTCAAAATAAATATATCTCTCTCATCTACTATATTATAAACAGAGATAGCATCAGTTTCGCAACTCTTGGCAGTGAATTGTGGTTCAAGAATTTTAAAAAAATGCTATCAAAGTATACTAGGATGTCCAGCATATTTTATTTTATACCAAACGAATTAGATTTAATGCATGTCAAATGCTACCTACAAAAATTTCCATACATTACATACAAAAGCACCAAGCGATTTTTTTTCTTAACCCATAATTTTTCAATAATAGAGGCTCAGTTGGCGCTAAGTTGACCTTAATTAAACAATATTCACACACCATTTTAAAAATTGTTTGTACTAGCTTTTGTCGTTATCAATTTGACAACCCACATTTTTGTTTACGGTAAGGAATTGTATTGACTTCCGTTAAAAAACTGTCATAAATGTATTCGGATTTTGATAATATTTTAGAAAACTAGTATTAGACATTCTTCATCTAGGAATTAGGGGTGCGTAATTCCTAGTTAAAGAAACAACTCAATATTTCAACTGATTATGTCATATAAAACCTACGTTAATCTAACACGTGGCACGAAATGATGCGCAGGAGTCTCTTTTTAGGTATTTTGCTACAGTACATGGTCAAAACTTCCCCACGCAATTTTGTATGTAAACTTGTCACCCTATATTTAACCCGGGTACATTAAAGGCTTTTACAATAGTCTATGTAGCCTTCGTCGAGCTATAGACTATTGATCACAAATAACTTCTATGCGAACCGGCAGTTCCTGAGGTACAGGCGTTCAAAGAAAAATTTGTGGAGTATTTGTATGTTTAGCATTCTTTTAGAATGGGAACATCAAATCAATGAGAAGCCCGCGTTATATAAGGCAGACTCTGTTTTAAGAATATCGAAGGACCAACACGTAAGGATTCTACAAAATACCAGCTGTAATTGCAACTACAGTCAAAACCGTTTACGACGACATCGTTACGAACAACATATCGGTTATATTGACCAAAATCAAAGGCCCCGACTGAATTCTATTGTATTAGATATTTAATAAAAACGTCATTGGCTGTTACGACTATCGGTTTTTACGACCAAATATAAGTAGTCCATTCGTTGTCGTTATAACAGATTTTGAATGTAGTTCATTTTTCTACAAATAAATACATTTACACAAGAAAATTAATTACACTTGGAAATCAATCTGTAGAAATTACAACTGGTATTTTATAGAATCCGGCAGTTAAATACCTTTGCGCGGCCTGTTCGTTATTTACTTGGATTTTATTAATATTTTGGAAACAATTCTCATGCATTCCGACGGATTTTTTTTTGGAATCGGACAAATCAATTTCTTGTTATTTCCTAAACTTCTTTGACATCTTCATTCTTGATGTACGCGTTTGTGCGAGTTAATTCCGGGGGCAGTTTCACATCACGGAAATATCTGTGCCTTTGTGTGTCCTTCGCGGTGATCCTCTTAGCTGGGTCATATACGAGGAAACTTTGAAGCAAATCCATGCCTGCCTCGTCTAGGTTTTGGACCTACAATTAGATAAAATTTAGACAATCCAAAAATTTACGAATTGTCCAGTTGCCAAAACCAGCCTTGCGATTCTGTAACTCACTTTTCGAATTCTCACAGCGGTTTTCTCTTTATGATTTGGCATTCTGATAAACAATAAAATAAACAATAAACTACAAGCTCCCTCCTTATCAAAATGCCCAATCATAAAATGACTGGTTCACGACTGATTTATGCGCGACCGCCGCTGAGAAAACCGCTGTGAGAATTCGAAGCGTGAGTTACAGAATCGCAAGGCTGGTCGCTAATAATATATAGGTATTACTAAAATTACATTGTGCAATAGTGGAAATAAATAATGAAGCAAATAACATTCTGGTAATAATTGACTATTTTTGTATTAAACGCTGAGTAATCTTGCAGTCGAAATTATTATATGGGCAGTTTTTACTGTTTTGTAAAACAAACTAATACACCAAATTTGTTTAAATTATTTGTGATAAACATCATTTCAGAAGACACAAAGTTGTTAATATTCCTTAATTATAATGCTTTTTACAATAATAAGAAAACAAGAAGTAATAATTAATACGGGCATATTAAATTATTCAATATTTAAAAAAAAAGGGTTGGCCCTTTTTTTTTAGCCTAATGAAAAAACACCAGCAGGAAAAAGAACATATGTTTGAGGCATGGGATAAAAATATAAGGCCACTTACATTATTGTGTAGATTGTAAGTAGACCAATTGGGGAATGTTGGCTTATAATCTGGTAGCGATGACACTCCAGGCCAAGTCTCCTCTGTCGGAGTCCGGAGCATTCTGTTAAACAAATTATAATACAATAAAAGTACAAACAGCAGTTTTAGCCTACTCTAGAACCCTTAGGTCATCCGTTCGAGCCTCGGCTATGCAGTTGGATTCTACTATGTGCGGGCAGCATGCTTCACTTTAAGGTTCGGCCCGTATTTAAACTTGAATCTATTTTCAAGAGTCATCAAACATTTTTCTTTGTATAGTTCAACAGTTAAGGGCTCAAGACAAATTTCGTGTGATTTGAGATATGAGGCGGAGTCACAGAGCAAGGATTGCTCCCTATTTCTTAGCATTTTAACATTTATGTTAAAAAATTCAAATTCTCCAGCTCCAGCCGGAGGTGTTACCTCAGTGGCTTAGTGATTAAGGTTAGGCACCGAGTTCTAAGACCACTGTTAAACTGTCAGTGTCACAATTAAATTTTAGTTACAACTTTTAGTCTGTTTTGATTCAATACAGTCAAACCTGGGTAAGTGAGAGCTCAAGGGAGCGTGACCTCTTTTTCTCTTATAGAGGAAAAACCTCTAACCCGAGTTTCTAGCTTACAGAGTTACAGAAGGATTCTGTCTCTTATAGAGGTCTATAAAACTAAAGAAAACAATAACAGACGCATATTTTTTTTAAATAAAATAAGATTCCATCGAAATTTAAGAATGTGTCATAAATAGCAAAAGTAAACGCGTTCAACTGCTTATAGAGGTATAGGCAAGTATCAATCTTACTTATAGAGGGCCACGCGAGAAAAATGACTGTCACTTATGCATACCGGAATCTGTGGTTTGTGTTGCACACTCTCTATCGAGAGGGGTGAGCTTTGGCCCATTCGGGGCATATGCCCCCTTCGGGTGGTGTTTTATATTCACACCCTGCTGATACAGGGCGGTACGGGGATGTTCAGTATAGTCCTTGGTGAGGGCTGCAGCGCGTGGGGAGACGCGGTCTCTACTCCCTGCGCGCAGTCGATTGTCACTTATGCAGGTTTCATGTTTCTCACTTATAGGGGTTTTAGGAGGGCAAAATGATGGGACCCGGTAAATACTCTCATTAATAGAGTTTTCTCACTTACCCAGTTGTCACTCACTCAGGTTTGACTGTATTTCTGTTATTATTTCCGATGTTTTTATGTGGCTTAAAGCTTATTAAATAACACACATAAATTTACCTCACATTTGAGGGTTGTTTTCTAACAAAAATTGCCTATTCCCGACTATATTCTGTGGAATATATATAATTAATAAAAGGTATGCTTATTATTGGATAAAATATAGTCTTATAAGATGAGTTTATAACCTGAAGATTCTGAAAAGTTGATCAATCTCCGAGTCTCCTTGGAACAAAGGTTTCTTTGAAGACATCTCAGAGAAGATGCACCCCACAGCCCACATGTCAATAGGACAGGAATATCTGGAATTACATAATAAATCTCACTGTGACAATAGTAGGAAATATTAGTTTATTTTAAATTCAAATTGGAAATTATAACAAAATAATGTATTATTATAAAATATATAATGTAATATTCACTCATAGAGTAATGCTTACAAAAGTATAATCATAATTATAAGCACTGTCTAGTACTGTATATATTTCTTATTAATTAAATATATAAAGTATTTATGATATTACCTCTGTGAGCCAAGCAACACCTCAGGGGCTCTGTACCACAGTGTAACAACTTCATGAGTGTATACACGGACTGGCACTCCATACGCACGGCCCAAACCAAAGTCTGCTACCTGCGATATAGACATAAATGAACATAGTATTTAATAGATAATAATTAAAAAGCTTAATTAATAACATCTTTTTAATTGTTATCAGACACTAAGGTCTGTGCTCTTTACATTGTTTTTTTTTTGTTTAAGTTATTGTAAACTAATATTGGTTGCCTAAAAGCAATAATGCCCTCCTTATTATTTAAGTGTACATATCATACTGGTTTAATATTGGTGTATATTGGCAACAAAGTGTTAGGTCAGCAACTAACTTTAAGCATCTAAATAAAAGCTATTTGCTAACCATTGCTACAGATGCTAGTTTGTAAGTACCTTATTAAGCATCCACAATAAGTATATAAGAGAAGAGGTCGCCAAAAAAATGGTAGATAGAAGAAATAGCGGTAGCAGGAAACAAACGGAGAAAGAGAGCCATAGACAGAGTCAGTTGAAAAAAGCTGGAGGTGGCCTTTAACCGTGAAGGGGTTCCGATCAACAGTACTGAAGGAAGCTAGTATATAGGATAACAACAAAATAATTGTGTAATCAATACAAAAATATGTATCATAAGAAGTCTATCACGGCAACTTATGGTATTTAAAAATTCACATAACTATTAATACATACCTTAATTATACCGGTCTTGTTAATAAGTAAATTCTGCGGTTTGAGATCTCTGTGTAGAATCCTGCGTTGGTGGCAGTATAAAATAGCACTGTTAATTTGATATAGATAACTTTTAACCGTGGCAGGATCCATAAACTGAAAAAATATTCAATTTAAATTATAATATGACATTAATTAGCAAGGCGTAACAACTTAGTTGCTACAGTAAAATTATCATAAAACAACCAGACAACCAAACACCATAAATTCTCAGTCTCATAAATTAACTTTTAATAGCATTGTTTAAGATTTTAGAATAAAATAAATACCTTGCCAGATCCCAAGGAATCCATATATCTCTTCAGATCCATAGACAAAAACTCAAAAATTAAATAAAGTTTGTTTTCTTCCATTAGTACATCCTCCAGTTTAACAATGTTTGAGTGATTCAATTCCTTCAACAATGATATTTCCCTAAAGAGGAAATAAAATTTAATGAAAATATGTCCACAGAAGCAGTTTATTATATTAATAATATGTTAATTATTAAGTATGTTAGAAAATTACAATCATGCATAAAATTTGAGAGAAATAGAACCCTCCGAAGAGGCTGAAGTAGGACTGTGCAGAGTCTGTTAGCTATTGCAGTAGCCAATAATTTAAGCAAAAAGATCTCATTGACGAACTTTATATAAATACTATTATGTATTTAGATTTTTTAATTTAGAATTATTCACAATTAAGTCATTCATAAAGCAAAATAAATTCTCTGCCACATTATTTTAACAAATGTCTAAAAAATATACTATTGTGGTTTGTTGGCTATAATGGGAATAAAGCAATTACCGTATCGCTGTTGATGGAATGCCTTCATCTTCAGACTCCAATCTAATTTTCTTCATTGCAACATACTCTCCAGTGATTTTGTTTTTACCTTTATACACCACACCGTAAGTCCCTTCCCCAATCTTTTCTATCTTCAAAAAATCTTCCATTTTGTACTGTGGGAGCTTAATTTTGATATCTTTTAATAACTAACAGGTAAAAATTATTTTGCAACGTGCATGCAAAGGCCGCAGGCTTTAATAGTTTTTTTAGCAAATAGTAACAATGGTAATAGCATCTACGAACAAAATTCAGTCAGCTATAGATAAAACAGTACACACTTTAATAAAACGTTTAGAATAAATATTAAATACCGTCAATTATTTAAAATTAAAAGTTCAATTTCGACTTTCGAGGCAGATGCGTTGTCGCAAGACAAACGTTAAGATTTTGAAATTTTTGACATAAACTGTTAAGTGTTAACTGACGGTATACCACAGACTACAATATACTAACGTCACAGACCATATTGAGTCCAAGGGGGAAGCGCTAGCGGTTAGTTTAAATATAGCGAAAGTCTTCGATCAGGTGTGGCATAAAACGCTTCTCTCGAAGCTTCCAGCCTACGGGCTTCCCAAGAAATTATGCGACTGGATCTCAAGCTTTCTAGCCGATCGGATCATCAAGGTCGTCAACGACGGAGCATGTTCCGACCTTAAACCCGTGAACACCCCAGTGTTGTTGTCCCACAAGGCTATGTTTTGTCCTCGATTCTGTTTCTTCTGCATATCAATGATAATATGTTGCAACTTAGCAACATTCATTGTTATGCGGATGCCAGCACTGGGGATATTCTTTACGCTGGCCAGGCAGGTATATCTCGGGCAGTTGTCGATGGGTACCGGAACAAACTCGTGTCTGAAGTCGAAACTCTACTACGTGGAGTCTCGGACTGGGATAAACAAAATCTAGTCCAATTGAACCCCAAGAAGACACAAGTTTGCGCGATTACCGCTACAAAACACCCTTTGCCGCCACTCCTCTTTTCAAAAACGCTCTTCTTAAAGCCACAGCCATCATCGGAATACTTAGCGTTGACATATTGAACGACGTTCAGTTTCGCGGTCATTGGGAGGGAAAGACTATATCCGTGCTCAGCCACGCAAGACGGTACATCACTCCGGGTCACCGCTTGCAACTGTATAAAGCGCAAATTCGGCCCCACATGGAGTACTGTTCTCACCCCTGGGCTCCCCAGTGCCAGCTTCTTCCACTTGACCGTATTCAACGAAGAGCGGTTCGAATCGTCTATGACCAATCCGTTGAGTACCTTGATCCCTTGGCGTTGCGTTGAATTGTGGGGTCACTCTGCATCTTCTACCGCATTTATCATGGAGAGTGTTCATAGGAGTTGTACGGATTGATACCTGCAGTTGAGTTTCATCATCGGACGTCGAGGCAGAACACGAAATTCTACCCGTATCGCCTCGACGTCCATCATTCCACAACTGAGCGTTTTTACCGCAAACCAGCTGACCACTGTAGTATTTCCGAACCAATTCGATTTAGGGTCCTTCATCTTCGCTCTTTTAGCGTAAAAATTCTTAAAAGGCCGGCATCGCACTCTCGGTCCCTATGGCATTGAGTGCCCACGGGCGGTGGTATCACTTAACATCAAGTGAGCCTCCTGCCCGTTTGCCCCCTGTTGTATAAAAAAAATATATATATCTTAAAATTGTAATGAACGTTACATGGGCGTCAATTCGAATTTACTATAATATGTATATTATTGTTATGGATTTCATTACAATAGTTATTTCTGTATTTCAAAGCATATTATATTATATTATAAACATTGTAGTAACAAAATAAAGCGAATTCGATTTGTATTCTTAATAGAATATTTTGTTCTTATTTCGAAATAGGAATGTAAGATAAAGAAAAAGCGTTTAATTGACCATTTATATGATGAACTCGTATTGATGTAATCAGTTGAAATTTTTATAACATTTTAAATTATTACAGTTCATCCGCATCCTAGGTATATTTTATTTTGTATGGTCATCCGTGTCACTGTGTCAGATATCACAACGCACAGATATGTGTACAATCAACAATTTACAATGTACATCGTAATTCGTAGGTGTCAACGTGTCAATCACAAATTGAACTTAAGTTTGTATGAAACACCACACTAAAATAGTACCTTCTGTTCGATATTTTTATTTTATAAAAATAATTATTGTAAAATAACTTAGAGTTAAGCAAGTGAGAAGTTATAAATAATGCCTGAAATTGAAAAACTATCGCTTGGTATGCACTTTTACATAACCTATAATCAATAACGTACTGCGGTATTCTAGCATATTGATTTTTCAGAAGCGATTTACACGTCGGAAAAGAGTGGAAATGACGAAAGTGGAGATGGTACACAGGAGAGTCCATTTAAAACTATTCTGCAGGCAATGCGTCATGCAGGAAAGGAGCCATTTCCGACCATTTACGTGGATTCTAAAGAAGAGGGTAAATCTTACGACGTAGCGGCGAAATCCCAATTGAAGAAGATTCAAAAGATGTGGGTAAGGGAAAACTATAAAGCTGCTGACAAGGCGAAGGCTGAAGACGAGAGCAATGACAAACGGCAGCAGAACTTGGAAGACGCTAAGAAAGTTGTTATTAAGCAGGATTCTAGCCTTCCTGTTGCAGTAACAGTGAAGTTATGTCAGAGTGAGTATTTAGCATTACTAATCGCAATTTAAGCAATTTTATATTAATTACTTAATTTCATCACAAATCATCATAATTTTATTCTTTCTTAATTACAGAGAAACATAACTATTTCGTTCTTTCGTTATCTTTTATATTTTGTAAAGAACTATTTTATATTACTATTTTACTATTTTACTACAAGTTAAAAATCTCTATTTTTATGCTATGTAATAAGAAAGTGTATATTTCAAAATTTTGGCATTTGTTTATAAATGATGTAATACCCAGCCTTTTTTACATAATATTTGTGTAATACTGTAATTTTATTTTTGCTACAACAATCACAAAATAAAATTTTAAAATATTTAATCAATTTGTTCAGTAGTTTTTGTTTCCATATCTATAAAAAAAGAGGAATGAAATTTTATCTTCAAGGAAGAACATTTATAATATATAAATAAAATTATTGCTAATGTTTGAATTAATTTTATTTAACTATGGTATTTTTATTATTATTAAAAAAAAACTTGATTTTTAGCAAAGGATCACAGAGGCAAAAGAATACAAGTGTCTGGATGGGTGCACAGGTTAAGACGTCAAGGAAAATCACTAGCATTCATAACATTGCGAGATGGTACAGGTTACCTACAATGTGTGCTTCATGGTGAACTTTGTCAGACTTATGACGCACTGGTATTATCAACGGAATCATCTGTGGTCCTTTATGGGAACTTGGAAGCGGTTCCAGAAGGAAAAACTGTACGTTAAATTTTTTTTTCAGATTTTCTATTAACTCAACTGATTTTTACCTCTTCCCACTAACTGCTATTAAAAGCAATTTTTAAAGTTTTACATGGAAAAGAAGTAAAGTAGAAGATATTTATTTAAATAAACTAAAAAAATTAATTTAAATTTAAAAAAATTAAATTAAATGTCGATTTTTATTTGATGTGTCAAATATTATTAGCATAAGGTCACAAATAAAATTAATACTATTACTATTGCAGGCACCAGGAGGCCATGAATTGACAGTAGACTACTGGGAGCTAATTGGTTTGGCCCCACCTGGAGGTGCTGATGCTATACTGAATGAGGAAGCGCATCCAGACGTCCAACTTGATAACAGGTTTGTTTAAGTATTTTGTGAGCATATAAATAAATAACTTATCATTTATTCATGTCGGTAATTCTACTGTTATGTATTATTATTATTATGTATATAAACACTCTAGCAGCTTAGTAAGCTGATGCGCGCGTATTTTGAGATTTGGAGAAACTATCCAATCTATTTTTAAAAGAGTTCAAAGATGGTGGTCCGGAAGCCTATTTCAGTCGGCCACTACTGAGTTTGGGAGAAAGTTGTATAGGGAATTTGTGTTATATTTTTGGAAACCTGGAACATTATAGTGGCCAGTGTAATTGTATAAAAAAAATACACACTCACTTCACTGACGTGACGTGACGGCCTCAGAAACGAGAAACTAAATTTACTACCAGTTCTAAAATCAGTGTGTAGAACGGACAAGAATAACTGGCAAAATACAGAAGTTGCAACCATAAAGCCTTTGTTGATTATGATTCAATAAACAAAGTAAAATTAACCCTGGGAAAATACAAACATTTTCATCCTGACATCACATCCACTTTTAACAGGATCTGAAGTGGTTCTGTTTTTGTCCTACTAATCTTAATTATGTGACCATAAATGAAGTGCTAAAATGAAATAAAATACAGCCATTATGTTATTTCAATTAATATTTTTTAATTTAATATTTGTTCAGATGTTAAAGTTTTACACATGTTTCAATATTAATAAATGTATCACCCTAATTGTGTTTGTTTCTGAACTGTAATAGTACTGTGATGTTAACATGTTTTGTTTTTCTTAAACTCTTAAGAAATTATTAGAAAACTAGCTGACTCGGCAAACATTGTTTAGCCATTTATATATTATTTCTAGGAAACATTTTTTTAGTTCAATAAAAATAACTATTAACTATCTACTATAATAAAAATAGGGGTTGGTCGTAGAGGACTGAAAATTAGGGGTTGTATGTATTTTTGTAGTATGCTGTATCTATCTCTATTTATTATCTATTATTATCTCTATTTTGTATCTTAAAAAAAAAAACAAAAAAATTGTCTAAATAATAAAAACAATATTTTTGGGGTGGACACCCCCCTTATCACTTAGGGGTTTGGAAGATTGTAAATGTATTTATGCTAGCAGTTACAATAAATGTCGACAAATAATTTTTTTTTAATATTGGTACACATTAACGTCAACATTATAAAGTAATCTAAACATTTAAGTAGAGCGAAGAGAGGGCGAGAAGAACTGGCAAGAAACTCTCTGCCAGTCATCGTAATCGCCATGTTTTTTGGATTGTAAGAAAACTAAAGAACTGCAACCATTACGTCATGCTTCACTTGACATATGCAAAGCAAATAGTCATAATAATAAAAAAATGTGTGTATGTACACGCTTTTGAAGCTAAAATAAAATAAAATATGTTTATTATGGAACATAAGATACATGTATCACTTATTGCACGTCATTAAATATGAATTTGTAGGCACCCCTACTCATCGGCAAATAAGACAGAGGGTGTAGGCCGAGAGAAAAAGCCGGCGTAAAAAACTCTCGGTACTCTTTTAAAATAGCAAATCATCAAACAACACTTATTTTAAAACAAATATCGCAAATTAATTAGAAGTCTGTCTAGCACTAGCCCCAGGCCCTTTTATCAACTAGATAATCGTTGACTAATGACTTTATAGTAAGCCTTTTTTTTACACAGCTTTTCTTTAATACATTTCTTAAATTTATTAAAAGGCAGAGATAAAAGAGTCTCTGTGATTTTATTAAAGAAGAGTTTCCCTTTTCCCAAAAAAAAAAGTTACACTTTTGCGTAACATGAAAAGTCTTTTTAAGTATTTTTTATCTTTCGCCTTATTCTACGTTTGTAGAAAAAGCGACACTAACAATAGAAAAAAGGTATTTAATACATTGAAAGTTTTATTATAACGCATTATCTAGTTAAATAAAGTTTATTTAAATACAGTGTAAACTCTATAACGTATAAATGAGTTAAATTTATTTGGTTTAACCCAATAACCATACATTAATTATTCCTCCCTATAACGAACCCTCTCTGTAATGCATAAAAATGCTCGGTCCCTTGAAATTCGGTGTAGAGTTTACACTGTATCACCAAAAAAACATTATTTTAAAAAGTTGACTATCCTAACGTGAGGGTGTCGGCTTTTTGTGACGGTGTGCGCGCGCATCGTAAAAATTTACTCTATTTTTCCCTAACGCGCCAAAAGAAGTATAACTTTAATAAATCTTTACATTTGTTATATTTATTTTATTCAGGCACATCATGATTCGTGGCGAGAACACGTCGAAAGTCCTACGTGCACGTGCGGCTGTGACGCGAGCTTTCCGCGAACATTTCAACGCTCGCAGCTACACAGAGGTGACTCCTCCCACACTCGTACAGACTCAGTGTGAGGGTGGCAGTACTCTGTTCAAATTTAGCTACTTCGGGTAAGTTATTTTGTATGTATACGGGCCCGTAGACACTTTTCTTGAAATTATTATGTATGCGAGAGGGTCATATAATACTTATAATACATAGTACGTTTACGTTGTGCCTTCCGAACGGAAATACACGTTATATATGAATTATCTTAATTAAACTTTGCACTTGGTCTGATTTATAGGATTAAAGGGTGTTATTTTTATTTATACATTTACGCCTTTTTCTCCAATGAATAGGCAAGGCAGAACTACTTCGTTCGTTCTTGACATACGTTTCTCGTTTAATCAACTCTCATGACATTCATTATGTATGTACAGTTATGGGTACTTTTTACTTCTTGTTCGTAATAAATGAATCGCAAAATATGTTGCTTAGCTCAAACTCGATGATGGCTGGACCAATTCGAGTAATTTAGAAAAATTTAATTTCTCTGAAAATTTTAAGGATATATAATAATTGGAAAGAGCATATATAATTGTTGACCTAGTGGCTTCAGCGTGCGATTCTCATCCCTGAGGTCGTAGGTTCGAGCCCCGGCTGTGCACTAATGGATTTTCTTTCTAAGTGCGCATTTAACATTCGCTCGAACGGTAAAGGAAAACTTCGTCAGGAAACCGGCTCACCTTAGACCCAAAAAGTCGACGGCGAGTGTCAGGCACTGGAGGCTAATCACCTACTTGCCTATTAGATTGAAAAATGATCATAAAACAGATTCAGAAATCTGAAGCCCGGACCTAAAAGAGGTTGTAGCGCCATTGATTTATTTTATTTTATTAATTGGAAAATATATAATAAAATGAAAAACTTTGTTTTATTTAATGCTTGGGTTTTTATTCTGGAAATGCGAACAGTCTCTATGGTTGGTTTATAGCTACAAAAAAGGATGGCGGAGTAGCTAGTTATTTTTTTATTAAAGTGTAAAATTAGTTTTATATTTCAGAGAGCAAGCGTACCTTACACAGAGTTCACAGTTGTATCTCGAAACTTGTCTTGCAACGTTGGGTGATGTGTATTGTATAGCGCAGTCGTACCGTGCCGAACAGTCACGCACCAGGAGACATCTTGCTGAGTAAGTCACTATAATATATCGAGAACCGCCGATTTTCATAATTTGTTGTATTTGTCTCCGACCCCAATTAAAAAGATTGAAAACTTTTTGAAAAATTGAAAAAGACAAAAGACCAATACAAATTTTTATGGGTTTAGTAACTGTCAAACATTTAATTTTCAGCCCGTCGATTCGGTAAACTCTCTCTTCTAATTTAAGAATAAATACGTTATTAAATTTGAAGGAAGAGTATTTTATCAATAATAATTTAGAATCGACAAGATATATCTGTCGCAGCCAACTTGCTTAATTAGCCGTTCAATTAACAGCCTAGCCGTTTAACTAGCGGCCTGAAAGATGTTTAACTAGCGGCCTGAAAGATGTTCAGCCAGTTAATCAAACAGCTAGGCAAATGACTTGGATCGATGACGTTTCATTACTTACTTAGCCTGTTGACTGTTAATTTTAATTTAATTCCAATTTCTGCCACTCTCAAAGTCGAAACGAAACTCATCAAACTGTCAATGTATTACTGGCAAACCACAACTTTGATGGTTTTTTCCAAATTTTCATGAAAAACAACAAGTACCTACATTGGAAGAGTATAGTGACAATAATAATGTGAATTTCACTTAAGCAATTTAATTTAAAAATAAATATTTATTATGTCATTTGTTTAATCTTTTTTTATTTCTGCCAAATAATGACTCTATCTTACGAAAGGCCTAAGCATTAGCCAGCCAGTTTATTAAATGTTGTAACAAACGCTACGGCTGAATATCTTTCAGGCCGTTAGATAAACGGCGCCGTTTTGTTAAAAGGCTAGGCTGTTAATTAAATGCCAGTTGGCTGCGACATAACTACAATATTCGGCGTATTTGTGACAGTGGCGTATTTTAGTTTAAATTTAGAATAAAGTCATTAATGAAAAGGACTGATGGATACATATATTGGTTGTCAAATATTTATGCGTTCATTAAACTTATTTTGTGTTAACTAGGGAAAATATATCAAGCTACTTAAATATACGACAATTTTTATTTCTTTTTGTGTTGTATTTGTATTACTTTCATAGAATCGTAATTTATTTATCAGCTAATCTGTAACACGACATTAAATGTGAGGCGGAACGAAGTTCGCCGGGTCAGTTAGTAAATGAATAAATCATGTATGTAAATCAATCAAAAGTTGTACATATTATGATGAATGAATTAAAAAACCGCTAAATGCCATATAAAATAGTATGCAATATTATTTCATATTCATATGTTAGAATCTCAAATAAAAAACATGTGTGTACGTGCAATATAAAAATCTTTTCAAAAATTTAATTCTACGTTTGTAGAAAAAACGACAACAACAATAGAAAAACGGTATTTAATACAATGAAAGTTTTATTATAACGCATTTTCTAGTTAAATAAAGTTTATTTAAATATTACAAAATAAAGTGTTAGCTATAGCTAACTTCAAGGTGTCGGTTTTTTGTGACGGTGTGCGTGCGCATCGTTAAAATTTACTCTCATCATTTTTCCCTAACGCGCCAAATGAAGTATAACTTCCAAAATGTAATCCTTTCTCTTGAAAGCATTATTTTTATCTAAAACAACTTTAAAGCTTACTAAACAATAATACAAAATATTTTTTTAATGAAAACGCCAATCAAAAGGTTCAGTCTAATAATAATATTTACACAGAGAATGCGAGTAGGGTGTGGGTGTGTATTTATGTGTGTAGCCTGTGTGTTAAAATTGACGTTAAATGTTGAATACAGATATATCTTTGAATCTTAGTTGAATTTGGTATGAGAATAGTTTCCAAAGTATAATTGTATAAACAGGTACAGCCACGTGGAAGCGGAGATCCCCTTCATCACGTTTGAGCAATTGCTGGACAGGATCGAGGATCTGGTGGTGGATGTGGTCGATCGGGTGCTGGCTTCACCCGAAGGCCAGTTGGTTTATGAACTTAACCCAGACTTTAAGGTAATTTGATAACGTTTTAGATGTCATATATGGATAAGTGCTCCGTGTTTTCAAATCTGGCTGTGATCCAAAATTTTCCTTGGTAAAGGCATCGTGAGCAAACCGGCCAGTCTAAGGGTACTATGTCTTCCGTACTTAGCGTTGAGATATACTTAAATAGTCCAATCAACGAAGACGCGCCACACTATTCCTCTTAACCGTTTATAGTATATGTGTGCTAGCTTCCGTCAATGTCGGTTCACACGCACACTACAATTAATAGATTTATCAGGAGAGTGTGTTCATGGTCAAAGTGAAAGATGCTCTCTCTACTTCAATTTTATATTTTTTAACTGTTGTAGAAAGGGTTCTCCATCGAGCATCAGTGAGTTTTTCTGCATAATTTTTACTTTTTCATAAAAAAGAATTATCATAAAATCAAATCTATCAATCAAATCATAAACTTTTGAAATAATTTCTCTTGCCTAAAATTAAAACATTTAAACGTTTTACTAAGGGTCGATTCGACCAAACTTCAATTTAAACACGAGTAACTATACCAAGAATAATCTATTCCATGATTTTAATCTCGAGTAAATCCATAGTCGTTTGTCCACGTAATCGATAGTATAATTGCGCTAGGAATAACAATACGCGAATAGCAAGAGAATGGTGAACGAAAATAAAACTCGGCAAATAAATGTTGTTCTACAACGGGACAGTGTAAGAGCATACATCATGTCAACTCGATTTTGCCGTATTATAGAGTGAAAAAGTAGCTTTTAACAGGTGTCAAACGACAACAAAAAGTTTTTATTTCTTGTTTGTTTGAGGCTTTCGTCTAAAAAGGAACTTCTGTTGAGCCTAGTTGAATTTCATTCTAATATTATAGAAAATAAAACTACTAAAAATAAATAAATAAATAATAAATTGTTTAAACGTTTCATTATACAATGCCAGACTATTAATTTAGTGCGTTGCGTTGACTTGAAATTAAAACACAGAATACATATTTGTGAAATGACAGAAATCAGCTGATTGGACTGACTGACGCCATTAAATTATTCTAGGAATAGCTGTTATTCCGTGCGAAACGGCGGTATAGTAGCTATTCCCGAATAAGCCACTATTCTTAGAATTTGTAGTTGGTAAAACGTAAAATTGATTTACTCTCGATTAACTGACGATTTATTCTAAGATTAAGATTTACTCTTGTTTGGTCGAATCGGCCCTTAATTTAGTAAAATTAGCTATTTTCAAAATTAAATTACTTTCCTTTGCTTATTTCATGTGTTTTAGTAACTATAAACTTCTAAACAATAATTTACTTACCCGGCTTTTAAGCACAACACGCTGAGATTTTCTCGACATTAAAAATATAAATAAATTAGAGCAACTTTGACGACTGACGCTCGGAGCAAAATCCCCTCAACCAAAAATTGGTGGGGCGCGTCTTCGTGAATTGCACTATCCATATCGAATCTTATTTACCCTTAAACCCCATAGGCTATTTGACAAAGGTTTAAAAACTATTTCAGATTATTAAGTAATAATTAAATAAGCTATACAAATTGATTTTTTTAAAATTCTGTTAAGTATTATGTTTAAAAATTTAAATTAATAATAATTTCATGAACCTGCCAAAACGTTTGCTAAGGCAAAACGGCGTAGCACCAGTGCCTTACGGCCGCTTTCTATACTCAATCCCAATCCAATTTATATTACTAGAGATTGATGTTTTATTCCATTTCTCATAAAATACTTTTCAATAACCGATCGATGGATCGTTTTTGTAAAATTAATTTGAATTCGACAGTTAGAATTTTGACATTATCAATCTAAATTTACGTAAATCTGGATTATAAATAATTTTAGTATATAGATTGAGTATAGAAAGCGGCCGTAAGACGTACCATGCTATTAAACTCGTGGAAAAATGTTTTCATGTTAATTCTAAAATTACACAACACATATATTTCGATTTACATTATCCATCGAAATTTAACTGTACGCTAATATTAGGATTCGACAGTCGAATTCAAATTGTACGCATCGTCATCTTTGATTTGAACTAGTGACCGTTGTGTCACGTGACTGCCGTATAAAAATCAATAACTATGTTTTTGATATACTCGTACATATATATTTTTAATAATGACAATAACTTTTTTAGTTTAACGTTGAAAGTTTTATACAGATTACACTTATTAACACCTAATTTTTCATTCTGCCAAATAAAATTAATTCCTTGAATCAATTATTAATTGTCTTTCAGAAACCTACAAGGCCATTCAAGCGAATGGCGTACACAGAGGCTTTGGAATATCTAAAAGAAAACAATATCACTAAAGACGACGGATCCTTCTACGAGTTCGGCGATGTAAGTATATGCGTCTGCGCACAATAGTGATTAACCATGGCCAAATCTTAAGAAACTCTAAATATAAGTTTAACCTTGCTAGTTTTGTTTTTATATATTACAATTAAATTTTTCCGCAAACAATTTTCTCATAAAATTCTTATATGGAATGCCGTTTCATAAAAGAGCAGTTTTCGCCTCAGCGTGCGACTTTTGTACGGTGAAGGAAAATATCGTTAGGAAACATGCCTTAGACCCAAAAAGTCTGCGTGTCGTCTGACCCACGTGCCTTTTAAGAACGCCATCTCTCCATCTCGTCACCTGGCGTTCCGTAACACAACTCTATTTAAGGCACTTTCTGCCGCGCTCCACCTCTTTGTGGAACTAATTGCCAGTAGAGGTATTTCCAACTTGGGGCCTTCAAGAAAAGAACGTACCATTTCCTGAAAAGTGGGCAAAACATACATGAGCGGTTATCATTCTGCTTAAAGCCGCCTGCTCTTACATCCTGTCCCATTTAAAAAATAATCACGTGACAGATACATTTTACATTTCAAATATTGTTGGTAATTACTTATAACTAAATGTTAGTAGTAATAAGTTGGTCGCCTGTGGATATATACCTATGTCGCAGCCAATTAGCCCAATTAGCCTTTCAATAAACAGCCTAGCTGTTTACTAAACAGAGCCGTTTAACTAATGGCCTGAATGATATTCAGCCATAGCATCTGTTACAATATTAAAATAAACTGGCTGGCTAATATGCCATTCGTACGATAGAAGATGAAACATCTGACTTAAAAAAATCTTTATTTAATATATTTAAAATTAATATTACTGTTCTTTGGAAATCGTGAGCGACGCCATACTGACAGTGGAACTAGGCTAGACAAGTAGTGAAACCACTAACATTCAAGTTGTTTAATATTTACCTAGCTGTTTGATCTAATGGCTGAATATCATTCAGACCGCTTGTCAAACAGCGCTGTTTAGTAATGAGACTAGGAAGTTGATTGAACGGCCAATTAAGCTAGTTAGGTGCGACATACAATTTTTTTATAGAATAATTTAATTTTAGGACATACCAGAGATGCCCGAACGTAAAATGACAGATGCGATTGGGGTGCCGATACTTCTATGCAAATTTCCAGCTGAAATAAAGTCCTTCTATATGCCCCGATGTGAAGATGACAAACGCTTGACTGAGTCTGTGGATGTGCTGATGCCGGGTGTTGGTGAGATTGTCGGTGGTTCTATGAGGATATGGGACTATGAACAATTGATGGAAGGTAAGATTCCGATTAACGTAGGGTATAAACTCAAACTCAAAATAACTTTATTCATATAGTTCGCAAGTCAAGAGCGTAGAGCGGGCAAGAATAACTGGCTATAGGATATATAATAAGTAGGGAATGAACACTTCGCTCATGTAATCTCTGGTCTGAATAAATAACCCTATCGTGTACGCTGAATAAACTATTGACATTAGAGAAAAGTGATATTTTACAATTTATAAAAGACAATATCTATAAAAATTTCTATTACATATTTAATTATAATTTTGACTAATTATACGATGATTTCCTTAATAACATTACTGTATAATGCCTGTACTGTATCAGGCTTGCTTTGACTGTCAGACTTACATAAAAGGAATATATACAGTTTGGAGAGGTACATATACAGGATGTTCAAAAAGTCGTGGATCAAACGCAAATAGGAGATAGATGAGGTCATCAGCTGCAAAAAATTGTTCTACGGGAGGTCTCTAAGCTCAACCCCTGCAGAGTTATAATTTATTTTGCGTTTTTATAACAAATGACCTTTTTACTAATTCTTATTAAAATTCGAAAATATCTACATCCTGTATGTTGTTAATAATATCCACTTCTTGTGTTAGACATACTATTTATAGTAGTTTATTGAGTGTATTGAAGATAAATAATAAGTTATACGATATACATTTTTTTCAAATCATAACTTTTTGTTTACTTCGGACCCCACTGTGAAAAAAAATTACTCTACCGAAATGTGACCCTGTATCACAAGTTTTGGCGCATTTAATAGGGATTCTGAAAAGGTATTACACATGGCCATGAGTCGCTCTAATATTTTTCTACGACGAAAAACCAACAACAACGATTCGATTTATGATAGATTATTTACCTACCTGTGACAACGCAAAAAAATTTTTTCTTATAAATAAATTATAACTGCAGCGGTTGAGCTTAGAGACCTCCCGTAGAACTATTCTTTGCAGCTGATGACCTCATCTATCCCCTATTTGCGTTTGATCCACGACTTTTTGGCCACCCTGTATATAGTGCTGTGTTTATTAAATGATCCGAAGTGAAAATTATTTTGAATTTTTGTCGAAGAAAATAGAGAGAGCGATTGAGAAGGGTGACGACATGAGTTGACCCCAAAATCTATCGATTATTACCTACCGTTACGTTAACGTATTCAGTATTCACGAACAACACAGCCGCCATGACCCAGCCACACTTCATTTTTTTAACGCGATTTTGTCCGCAGGTTACGCACGGGAAGGCATTGACCCTACACCATACTACTGGTATACGGACCAACGTAAATTCGGATCAGTACCACACGGAGGGTACGGGCTGGGGCTAGAACGATTCCTGTGCTGGTTGTTGGCCCGGCACCACATCCGCGATGTCTGCCTTTACCCACGATTCCTTGAGCGATGCACGCCCTAAGTATAGAATACCATTATGTGAGCTTTTCTTGGCCCTTCTCAGTGTTATTGATATTTACACAATTTATTAATCGTTGGAAAAAAATGTTTTTAGCAAAAACAAGTAATTTTTTGCATTTAAGCTCACAGTTGATTTAACTTTGCTTTTTTTTAATACATCAAAAAGTACGATCTTTGACGGTGATTTACAGTTTAAATTATTCGATTCGAGCTCACAAAATATATTTTTACGTAATTTTTGCAAAGCGAAAAAACATATTATCCTTGCAAAATTTGTATCTCATATTATATAACAAAAAACTTACAGAAAAAATCTCGCATTTAATCTTATCTTCAAAATATAATCTTCAATTAGCTAGAGATTCCGTCTGTCACTTGGAAAAGACATCAGATTGCATAGTAGAAGAGGGAAATAGTTCGTATAATATTATAGTATATACATATGTAATATATATGCCTTGAAGTTGGTTGAACTCAATGTATTGATATATAAGTTACTATGTTTTTAATACTTCAGTCGATTGCCTTGTTTCTAAGAGTAAAATTCAGAGTCCGGACTTAGACCAAACTCAGTGAGATGTTTAATACATTTATTTATGTTCCAGTTAAAATTGTAACTGATTTAATTTGTACTTATGGTAGTTATTTTTGATCTGTCTCGTTATTTTACTCTAACGCAAGGTGCGAATACAAATTGTGTACGCATTAAAGTGGGTATTAAAATTGTTCAAACTAAGAGTTTGTGTTTATTTATGTACTACAGGTGTAAAATAAAAGCTTTGTTTATACGTTTTGTTTTATTTACATATTTTCCTCGATAAATGCGTTACCGCCTACGCAGAAAATCAATATAATTCTCGCCTTTTCATTCCGATTATGGCATTCAACCAAAGTTTTATAATAACATTATAGATGCGTTGAATTCTTAGTCTAACTTAACAGAAGTAACGTATGTAAAATTAATAATACCTCCAAAGGTAGAACAATATGAAGAACAAAGTCTTACTTATTGTATCTTTTAAATAATAACACATTTTGCAGTGAAACTTCTAATGCGACTTCCAACAAGGTTGCGTTAAACGTTTAAGGCTACGATTTAGAGGGTATGAAAGAGATAGCGTCGCATCTGCGGCTCAGCCTTCGCAATGGACAGACACAAACGTCTTATTTTGTTGATTTTATTCCGCCACCGCCGAATTAAACTTAAAAACCATAGAAGATTCTAGATATCTCCTCTGATAGCATTAAGAAATAGTGATCACCCTTCCCCCTGCTTCGTCCCTTGTCCGTCGATACGTTTAAACGTCGCGCGCGACGACGTAACGGTGTAATGGGGCATGTATAAAAAATAATATGAGAAACGACGACGACGCAACGCAGTAGCGGGGCCTCGATCTTACAGGCCAGCGCGAGCGTTAGCAACGAGTAGCGTCCGAAATTCCAACGCAAGATCCCGGGAGTACAAAGAAAAATACACAAAGGAAAGTTGGAGAGAGAAAGAGAGTCATAATCCCATTGTAAATGTTATGGATATTTCTCCACTTGAAAATGATAATTAAAAGATGCGATCAATTGGGAATTGTAAACACTGCTAATAAAGTTTGTCTTAAAGAAACAATATGATTTCACTAAAAATCAATTTCTACGCCTTCCTATTTATCTCCACATTACGTACTAACGCAACGGCAAACGGGAGGTTCTCCTGATGTTAAGTGATACCGCCACCCATGGGCACTCTCAATGCCGGAGGGCTCGCGAGTGTATTGCCGGCCTTTTTAGAATTGGTACGCTCTTTTCTTGAAGGACCCTAAGTTGAATTGGTTCGGAAATATTTCAGTGGGCAGCTGGTTCCACATAGTGGTGGTAAGCAACAAAAACTGCCTTAAAAAACGTTCAGTTGTGAAACAAACAACATTAGGTATTACTACTAATACTGTCTAGGAGTTTAGTATCTAGTTTTTGATCGAAATATGTATGTAATTTCAGAATCAAAATTAACATTAATTAACTTGACGTTTATTTACGTGTTTACGTATTGTACGTCATTGACCTTGCGACGCCATCTTGCTCTCTGCCGGTTTGGCGGGCTCATAAAATTATGAATGTTTAAGAATTTTTTGCCATTACAGAATTAAAAATAACAGTCTGTGTAAATTCTATATTCACTAATAAATAATTTGAAACTGTTTTTAAAACCTTGTTAAATGACCTATTATTTAATTTTATATCAAATGCAAAATTACTTAACAATTTATTAATTACTTTAAAAAATTCGGTTTCAATGAAGGAACGTAGGTATTTGACCATGAACTTGTTGTATACAGAGTGTATTGTTAGGTACCCTATGGTAGGTTCTACAATTTACAGGCGGTTTTTCGGTTCCAGTGTAATGTTATATATTCTGACCCAATAAATTGTCTATTCACTATGTTCTCTTCCGTCTCGTTCACTTTCATATTGTGATAGTAAGAAAATAGATTCCATTAAAAAGAAGTTGTTGGCGAAAACAGTCTTTGTGAAAATATGAGCGTACATACGACTTTAATAGATAACCTAAATATAAAAAATAAACTAATTTTCATATTATTTTACTGTTTCGCAAATCAAAGCAACTTTAACACATAAATATGTTACATGAAATATTGTATATTGTGTGGGTAAAAAGTTCGTAGGCTAACAGAAAAAAGACTTTTTTTGAGTAAATTAGATTTGATTATTATTCAAGTTGCATTCGAGAGCGATTAAACGATTATAGCGGTCATACAATGTTTATGGTACGATTTGTCTTTAGGCTCACAAGAGGCTTCAGTTTCGGCGATTACCTCTTCATCAGCGAAAAATTTCTGTCCAACGAGCTTGTCTTGAGGTCTGAGAACAAAAAAGAGTTGCTCAATTCATTGATGAAACAGCACTTTCTTCTTCTTCGGTGAAAACGCATCTTAAAATGGGGGTGTTTTTCGCGATATTTTCCTTAATTGTTAAAAACCCCATACCTACCCGTGAATTAATCCAATCAAATGAAATCGGTTTAGTATTTCTAGAGATAATTAATACAAAGTGCTACAAATACCTACTATTACCTACTATAGATTATGACAATCGCTACCCTGTATATAAAAAAACAATCGTGCGCACCTTTTGACATTAATTAATTATAATTTTAAAACGAATTGAAAATTGTATAATTAAATGTTTATATAAGTTGTTGTTGGTAATTTTCCATTAGTTAGGTTATTGTTCTAGTGCCCTACAGTCATCCAACTTGCAAGGTAAGTGTTGCAAACCCCATAATGGGGATAATATATTTCTATACAATTTTGTATTGTTTCGTGAGGAATAGATTCTAGAACCTCTGAGCTGTTGGTTGGCTTGGAAGGAATGTTTTCCTGAAGAGTTTTCATATCTTGAGTTTTTAGGTAAGGAAGCTTTTAAAACTTTCGACGAAACGTACACCGGTTTGACGTGGAAAAAGGAACGACTTATTCTCAGAGATAGTTCATATTATTACTAAATTTTGGTGATTATTTTGTGTTAAGAAACGACTGTTAACATACTATATTTAGAAATATATAGCAATCGTCAGCAAAATTCAAAGTATTGCTGTTAGTTTTATTTTTTTTATAGTTAACTAGCGAACTATATGTTGTCCTGTACACAAGTCTTACATACAAAAAAATCTAAAAATCATTCTCGACTCCACTTGAACAAACAATTTCATCAAAATCTGTCCAGATGTTTAGGAGTTAAATTTCGAACACATGCACAGCAGATTACTATATATACCAGCTGTTTATTTGCTGTATAGATAACCTAGATACCGACTGCAGGGCTGATGTGTAAATCTAAACCATCCAGAGCGCCACCCAAATACAGAAAAAATCATTCAAATCGGTCCAGCCGTTTAAGCTCATATGTCACCATGCCTCCTGCTGATAGAGGACAAGTCTTTGTTTTTAATTTATGTTATTATTATTAATTACTTAAGATGTCATGTGGAACATGGTGTAATGGTTGCAGCTCCTTACAAACGTTGTGTAAAAAAAACCAAGGCGATTAAAAAGAGTGGCGGAGAAATTATTGCCAGTTCTTCTCTTCCGTTCTACGCCCTTGATTTGAGAACTGGCACTAAATGTAAAATTAGAAGCATTAATATGTATTATCTGACAAGTCATAAGTGTACAATGTGTAAACTATATGATTAAATGATTTTTGAATTTGAATAAGAGAAGTTCAGTGACATACACACGTACAGTAGAATGATATATATAAAGATAAATTATTACAGATGGCGCCAAAACCTCAAGAATTTGCCGCTACAAAGAAAGAAGACAATGGGGTCTGCCCACCTGGGGAAGAGATTGTCATCTCTGGAATGTCTGGACTCTATCCTGACTGCAACAATGTTAAAGAACTCTCAAATGTTCTTTACAATAAGGTAAGAAATATTGATCTTTGAATTAAGAACGTCATTGGCGTGGGCTTAAGCTTAGGTTTCCTAGAAAAGCGGTGCCGTTAACTAACGGCCGTCATTTTACGGTTGTTAATAACGGCCGTCTTTACTTTTTAATATAATGCTAAAAATAATCATTTTCACTCGTCCAAGTCACGTTTCCACTCATTGTATTAAATAAATATGTGCACCGCTACACGCGAAAAACGTTGAACGTCATGCAAATGACAGCACCGCTATTTGACGTTACTGTGACACTCAACGTTCTCTAGGAAATCTACTCCGATGTTATTTATAGACGACGTATGGGTGACGTCACCCAACGCTACGTTACGGCCGTTAGATAACGACACCGCTTTTTTAGGAAACCTAAGCTTAAGTGTCATATATTTCGCCGAGAAGTAAAAACGATTACTATATTGTAATATGCTTTTGTTTGTTAAGCCACGGTGAATAAATTAAACATTGGGGGGCCTCATAGCCTAGCGGTCTTATTAAGTGGCAGCTAGGTGAGGGGTACCGGGTTCGATTCCCGGTTCGAGGGCAAGTTTTAATTTAATTTAAATTTGTTCTCGGCCTTTGGGAGGGTTGTGCCGTTCCGGGCGAGTGCCTAAACCGTACATGGAGGACACGGTCGAATTTCTAAAGACAAGCACGTATTATAAAATAATCCTATACTTGACGCTGGCTAATGCACAAATCGTGCCAGAGCCATAAAAAAAAAATTATACAGTGAGAAGCTAAAATAATTAAGAATAACAAGTAGCGACGTTATAGTACTCTAATCTATATATATAAAAGAAAAATGGTCTTCGTTTGAGGCTCCTTCACGCCTAAACCACTGATCGTATCGACATGAAACTACCTATTTATTAAATATGTACTAACTATTTATTAAATTCCAACGTTCCTTCATTTTTTTATTGCTGTTTTACTTTTATGAAAATTTATCCATACGGACTTCACCGCGGAAACATTCGGGGAGGCTTCCTAGAACCTCTAAACGTCAACATCTGTTAAAAACTCGATTTTCGAAATATTTCAATTTTCTTAGCGGGAAGTTAAAAAGAAGAATAATAAAAATATGAAAAAAAATAAAATAATGAAACATAAAATTTATTTTAATTAAAACGGCTAGTTAATGTATATTAACAAGTTGTACCAACCAGGCTCCAGAAGATAAACCACTCCTTATATGGAAATTGTATTTGTTTTTACAACAAACTCCCAAGCGAAATTTGAGAATTATCACTGAATAAATTCAAAACTCTCGTTAAACGTAAATTAATCAATAAAGCTTTTTTATAAATTTGACGATTATTTAAATGATCCTAATCCTTGGGATTGATTTGCTCCATTTCAAACAATTTGTATGACTCAAAACTTGGCGATTAAAAAGAGTAGCGGAGAGTTTCTTGCCAGTACTTCTTGCCCACTCTACGCCCTTGGGCCTTGACTTGCGAACTGGTAGTAAATGTAAATTTAGAATCAATTTAACATCTTTTCCGTTGACGTTCATAAGTGTACTTGGTTACCTATATGAATAAAGTTATTTTGATATTGTAGCGACCTACTATTTTTGGTTACAAATCAGTACGATGACGACACACCTATGGGTAACAAACTTATTCCGCTAAGGATATAATATATACAGCTTTGAAAGGAACAACAGCCACTTCAGATCAGTCTGGTAAAAGTACGTCGGAGGAAGCGCATTTTTTTGCCGCGGAACCATCTGCTCACTGAAGTATTTCCGAACTAATTCGACTTAGGGTGCTTCAAGAAAAGACCGTACCAATTCTTAAAAGGCCGAAAACGCACTCGCGAACCCTCTGACATTGAAAGTGTCCATGGGCGGCGGTATCACTTGGAGGTGAGCCTTCTGCCCGTTTGCCCCCTGTTCTATAAAAAAAACTCCTTCCTCCACAAAATAGTCTATGTAAAATGTAACTGTGAAATAAAATCTATTAATTTCTTACATCAGATTAATCCAATAAACAACCAAAACCTCCGTTGGGAATTCAATCACCCAGAAGTAACTGACTGCACGGGCAAAGTACCCGGTCTAAGATTCTTCGACGCCCAATTCTTCAGGGTACACTACCGCCTGGCCAACTGCATGGACCCCGTGTCCAGGAAGACTTTGGAACAATCATACCAGGCCATTTATGATGCAGGTAATATTTGAATAGAATTCAGAAAGTAACACCACTTTGTTATTATTGCCGGTTCTTCTCTTTCGTTCTACGCCCTTGATTTGAGTACTGACAGTAAATGTAAAATTAGAAGCATTCTATATTTGTGTACATAGTGTACATTTTGTTACCTACATTAATAAATGATTTTGATTTCAACTTTTGACTTTGACTTTGTTACTCCTAGCCATTCTGACTTCAAACTGAGTGTTTGTAGCCCCAAATATTGCGGTTTTATAGTTATAACTAATTATGAAGAGTATTGGCTATAGATCTTTCCAGATGAATTCTTTTTTAATTTCTATACTTGACGACGTCTCTATTTGAAGACGGTCTCGTGATACGGTCTGTAGCTTTATAAATCATTCTATTTTATGTGTTTTTTGACCTCCAACTGTTTAAAGCAAGAGTGTACTTCAAAGGCCGGCAACGCACCCACTAAAATAGCATGGGCTGCGACGACTGCCCTTTTTTGGGCGTCTCGTAGACTCGTTTGCCGCCCTATTTTATAAAAAAACATTGTTCTAGTTTGTGTAATTCAGGACATTCGAATAAATTGCAGAAATAAATAACTAAAAACGTTGCGATAAACTTATTTATTGGTTATTATCTCATAACTGTTTTAGTGTATATTATAACCGTTCTTCTGTACAGAAAAAAAATAGGTTTGTTTTTACTTTGACATTAGTTAAGGATTGCTTTGTGAACTTGTATATTTCGTGTATAAAATTAAAGTAAAAGCGAGGCGTTATTCCTAAAGAATTTTTGGGAAATCCGTTCTAATGAAGTATGGGGTTTATAAAATGGATAGCGTATTTCTACACACAATAATGCATTATATCTCCTTCGAAATAGAAGAGATTAGCCGTAGCCTAGTCTTGAAATCTAATTGCAATCATGTCTAACACTAATTCTCAGAACATATTCTTCTATTTCTTCCAATCAAAACAAAGATAAACCACTCCTTATATGGAAATTGTATTCGTTTTTACAACAAACTCCCAAGCGAAATTAGAGAATTATCACTGAATAAATTCAAAACTCTCGTTAAACGAAAATTAATCAATAAAGCTTTTTATAAATTTGAGGAATACTTAAATGATCCTAAACCTTGGGATTGATTTCAAACAATTTGTATGACAATACTTGGCGATTAAAAATAATGGCGGAAAGGTTCTTGCCAGTTCTTCTTACCCGCTCTACGCCCTTGACTTGCGAACTGGTAGTAAATGTAAATTTACAATTAATTTAACTTCTTTCTGACAATTCATAAGTGTACTTGTTTACCTACATGAATAAAGATATTTTGAGTTTGAGTTTGAATCTTATACAATAATTATTGCAGGTATAAGCTGTGAATACCTTTCTGGTAAGAAAGTGGGGGTATACCTTGGAAACTGCTTCTCGGAGACTGAGAAGACTTGTTTTTACGTCAACACTATTAACGGCGGTTTTGGTATCGCGGGGTATGTCATTTTGCAACTTTTTCTTACAATTAATAATTCTTCATTTCTCCAATATAACATTTGCATCAAACAATACGATTACAGTTAATAAGGTATTGAAATTAAAACCAAATTGATTCCTCTGTTAACCATTTCCTGTCAAGCGGATCAATGCGGTGTCCATATCAACCTATGACTAAATTAAGAAGTTCTACAACCCTTTGTAATTGCTTCGGAATGTAGTTTGTCAATAGAAACCGTCACACGTTCCATGTCTTCTATCACAGTATCAGAGGGTGATAAATGTGTCATTTACCTACCAACATAACATTGTGATGATTCCAAATTTAAATTTCGAATTTCGAATTTCGACTGCTTTTTGCAAAGGGATTTTGTGTCAGCCCCTGGTACAGGAAATTTTTTTTACACATGTCATTTCTTTTGACTGCCTTTATGCTTATTGTGTCTTATAAATATTTAATTTTGCAGATGTAGTAAAGCTATGTTCGCGAACCGTATCTCCTATTGGTTGAACTCCAAGGGGCCATCAATGGTTGTGGACCAATCCTGCTGCAGTTCCTCTGTGGCTCTAGAACTTGCTTACCAAGCAATCAAACGTGGCGATTGTGAGGCCGCTCTCGTAGGGGGCTCTGCTCTATGTCTTCATCCACATTCTTTTATCCATTATGGAAGGTAGGTTCACAATTTAAAACTATATGTTTTCATAAGAAATATTGAAATTGTTATGGTCATTTGTATTAAATGTCTGCATTGTATGTAAATTCGTGTTCGGAATTTAAATTTGTGACGATTTTCAATGTATTAATTTTATACTAATGAATTATATGAATTGCAAAACGTTTTAGCCACCGCGTGCAAAATTAATTTATTCTAATGAATCGATTATTTTAATAAATACGTAAATTACGATTAACCCAAACCTTTCAAAAGGCAAAAAGCATTTATAATTTATTAAAATAATCGTAAACTAAAAAAAATATACATTCTAAAAGGTCGGCAACGCACTTTCTAGCCTTTTGGCTATGTCAGTGTCCATGGGCGGCGGTATCACTTAACATAAGGTGAACCTACTACCCGTTTGTTTATCTTCTATTACATTTAAAAAAACATTGAGTAATAAAAGGATGTATTTATATATGGACCCCACGCGTAAAAGTCACCTCCAAGCCATTCCACATTTTTCAATATTTTTCTATGCGAAATTCCTATTTTCGAATTCAAGACACCAAAAAAAATATTAAAAAATAAGTTGTCCTAAACGCTCGGTTTAAACAATGTTTGCAGAATCATGAGTTTGAGTAGGGACGGCAAGACAAGGTCATTCGATCAGAATGGATGCGGCTGCGCCAAATCTGATGCGATCAACGTGCTCCTCCTACAAAAATCCAAGGATGCAATTCGGTAACAGTTCCAAGTCTATTTACATATGATTCGCCGAAATTTAATATGTAGGGTTATAATAACTTTATTTCTCATAAGATTTGCATACATAATTCACCTACTGAGAAATAATATGTAAAACGAATATTAAAAGTTAGTGCGCACAGATGTAGGTATGTATATAAAATAACAAAACAAAACAGAAACAAAAACAAAAATGTGGGTAGACATAATAAACTTGATCAGACAACCAAGCAAAACATAGATGTTCGAATTTGATTTTTTTTTACTAGATGTGGGCATTGATGGCATAGTCTGATATAGCAAGTTTATATTAATTATTTTATTATTTTTCGTAACACTATTTTATTTTTAGTTTCTTGTTCTGTTTATATTTTTTGGGTACAGTGGTTTACAAACATTTTAAGTATTGGGTTTTATTTGTTTTTGTTTTATTTAATTACTAATGTATAATTTAAATTTAGAGGTGTATACTTAATTTTATGTAGATTAAGTACAAGGGTGTGTTATTTTATTTTTGTCAATATATATATATAATAGTATCAATCGCTTATACTGGTAATAAATAAGGCGCAAGTGCGTTTCTCTGTGAATACAAAAGAAACAAGATTTAAAGCCTATATTCTAGGTTTTATAAAGTAAAAGAAAATAATGAAAAAATTAAAATATCTTACATATATTATGTCAAGTGACATAAAATTAAACATCGTCGATCAGACGGCAAAGACAACAATACAAAAGAGTTTATATAAAATACAATATAGACAAGAGTTTGTATAGGAAAATATATTATGGTTTCCTTACAATATACATATTATATCTTTAATCACTTATTTGTATGTATTAACTAACGTGTGAGTTTTTAGTTTTTTAAACCGTATATGATATTTCGAAGCATTTAAATTTTCGTTTAACTTTGGCATTTCTATATTTTTTAAAAAGCTAGGGTATACAATGAAGCCTGGATAAGTGAGAATCCTATTATTGAGAATTGCAATGAGGTCCCGGTAGTTTCTGTTAGTGGGACTTTCGAATGGGAGATTTGATTCTAGGATTTTTCGATATTTACCTTTATAATTGAGACTGTCGCCCAATTTACAAGTGAGACACCTTTGTTGAACATTTGAATTTCTTTGTTTGCCAGTACCTTCCTACTATAAACAAGGTAATAAAACTGTACAAAATTTCAAAACGTAATTATTATCGACACTTAAAAAATTAAAGCTTTTATCAGAATTTAAACTGTCTAATTGGAAAACTGGATAATTGAAACCTACAAACTTACAATTTTTTTTCCTTTAACTAACCAAGTTTCACTGTAAATGAAAAAAAAAAATATAAATTATTAGCAATATTTTCGATAGTTTAGTAAGTTTTTGTATACTTCGACTTCGACTTGAACTGTCACATTATTCGATGTGTCCCTTCAGTTCCATCGGGGACGGCACGCCCTTATTTTTCCATATAACAATTTATTACTGTCATGTTATAAAAAAAAATGCCCTCAGATTTCTGTATCTGTTTCATGATCATTTGTTATCTAATAGGCAAGTAGGTGATCAGCTTCCTGTGCCTAACTGACGCCGTCGACTTTTTGGGTCTAAAGCCGGGTATCCACTATGTTCGCGAACCTCTTGCGCTCCGCGCACTTGCAACAGCTCCGCGTAGTGGATACGTTTGCGAACGTGGAACGTGAACGGTGCGCGCTCCGCGCTCAGCGCTCCAATGGGTGGTGGCGAACACAAAGGGGAGCTCAGTCTGTTTCTATGGAGATACGCGTTACCGTCTCCATCAGAGCGGTTACGGGAGCGCGGAGCGTTAAGACATGTCGGTTTCCTCACGATGTTTTCCTTCACCGTTCGAGCGAATGTAAATGCGCACATAGAAAGAAAGTCCATTAGTGCACAGCCGGGGATCAAACCTACGACCTCAGGAATGAGAGACGCACGCCGAAGCCACTAGGCTAACACTACTCATGTTATAATAAAATAAGATAGCGTGTGTGTCTTCGCTTAGTAACAGAGGCAACTGACATTTTCTTACTCAGAGACACATTACATTTAGTAGAACGAAACAAGTGGCGCTAGTATGTATATATTCTCATTTTGATATCTACAACACTCCAATAGAGACTGCTTGATAACAGAACAGTAAAATAATAAAACGAAAATTGTACTTTAACAATCCCTAAAGCATTCAAGTGTTTATGTTTTACAGTGCCTAGGCTCTTGGGGAGCGTTCAAGTATTACGTCACGCAATTTTTGGAGATTAATGACCCCCCTCCCCCATGTAACGCGCCGTAACGTTTTTCTATACCCAATAGTAAAACGTTTCGTGACCACCCAGTGACTCTTTATACTTAAAAGTTACCATTATGTGGTGTAATGTACTGGAAAGTCGAAAATAATATTAACAATAACGCGTAATTCAATCCCCGCCCCGCATCGTAACGTTTTACAAAAGGACAAAAATTCGTTAAGTACGTAATACTTTGTGTGTTACAATGTTTTCATTTATCAAATCCTATACAATCCTACAATAATGGTAGGAATCTATCATCAATAATAAAACGCGATTATATGTAATAAATGGTATCTCAATCAAAGACAACTTTACAGTGTGTACGCAGAACTGGTGCATGTAAAATCCGAATTCACGTCCCTATTGGAGGGAGATGAAGGGCCCAGATATGGTTTCTACCGTAACCCAACACATGTCGCTAACTTTTTGAAAGAGTTTTACAACGAAGCCAACATTCCGCCGAAGGATATTGAATATGTTGAAGCGTTTGGTTCAGGTATGACAACAAAAATTTTCCACATCTCTTGACCATAAAACAAAATCCTAAAAGACATTCGTGGTATTCGGATTAACAAAGTCACGATAAACTCAAAAAAAAAAATTTCCGTTTTCACGAATATCTCGAACGATACACGACGATAATTTTTCAAGTTTTCCCTGGTCACGGTTGCCCGTGCGAAACTGGGACAGCCCTGCGATTCTATAACTCACTTTTCAACCTCACACAGCGGTTTTCGCATCGGCGGTCGCTCGCATTTTATGCCAAATCATAAAATGACTGCTTCACGACTGATTTGAGAGCGACCGCCGATGCGAAAACCGCTGTGTGAGTTCGAAAAGTGAGTTACAGAATCGCAAGGCAGGTCTCTGATTGATTCGTTCCCTGTCTCCATGTTAAGACATGGAGACACATGTCTTATCCAGACATGTCTGTAACACACATGTTTTATCCAGATGTTTAATAAAATTAACTTTGCCTCTTTCTCGATTATGGGATTATTTCTAATAAATATTGTTTTTTATAACAGCGCGAGTTATGTAACCTAACATTAGTTAACTTACACTTATATATTTTAGTTAATAATTAAAAGCATTTACCACACTCATAAATTCTTATAGTATAAGATCCCGCTATACAACGACCTTCACCGAGATGCTTATTTAATGAAACTTATTTTATATTTAATTTAATATGTCAATAAATATAATCCATATGGGTTGCCTAGCAAATTTCAGTCCAGAGTATGTTTAATTAATATTAAAAAAAAAAAAAAAAATTATAATTTGCATGTAGTAAATAAACTTTTTGAACTTTTTTCAATCAATATTTTTAATCAGGGTAGTATTATATATGTATCACTATAACCTTCTTTTATACTAATGATGTATATATACTTTAGTGTCACATAAAAAATATACACATAAATAATTAATTGATTAAAAACAACCTAACGTTTGCATATTCTATGGGCTTCATACGTTCGATTGGTATAGAATTTATCTAATAATCATACCGGTGAAATGTTTAAAAAAATATTTTTTTTTTAAATTAATTAAACATACTCTGGACTGAAATTTGCTAGGCAACCCATATGGATTATATTTATTGACATATTAAATTATATATAAAATAAGTTTCATTAAATAAGCATCTCGGTGAAGGTCGTTGTATAGCGGGATCTTAGACCATTATTTAGCATTTTCGTTTCCGATGTGCAATAACATAAGTGTCAATTACATTTACGAACTCTTCAAAAAGTCACGTTAGTTTTTTGTTATCCAGCGACGCAACCCCACCCCTAATGTGATCTTAGTTATATGCTCATGTTTTCTATAAACATTTAAAACCAGTTATTACTCAGCTTCAAACAAAGTGTTTCATTTAAAATATATTTGAACATATACAACAACCGCCACCGAACTTAACTCACGATTTGAATTTTGTATAGGGGTGTTGGAAGCTGATGAGTCTGAACTTAAAGCGATCGATGAAGTGTTCTGCAAGGATCGACCAAATACACTACCTATTGGGAATGTTATGTCCAATATTGGTTATAGTGAAGCTGCGTCTGGGCTATCTTCTATTACTAAGGTCAGTTGTGAGACTAATAAAAATATAATTCTTCCTTCAAATACCTTTCAACGTTAAGCTACATACAACATTCTCGTGAAATGCAATGCAATCAAAACGAAATCGATTTCAGATTTCAGATCAGAATATATTCACCTTATATACAATATAAATAAAACTATAAATGTTATGTACACCATAGTAGAACTTTAATTAAAAAGAAGTGGAAAATAATATTTAATTAAACATTCCTACGAAAGAAGTATTTTTTAACTTTTGAGATAAAGTTTTACGAAGAAAAGTAAATTTTCTTACTTTTAAAGAAAAAACTTTTTACCGGATTAAAGCTATATATTATTATAAATTAACAATTATTTAACATAATTTTAAATTTATCCGACGTTTCGCGTGCTTTACAGCGTGCGTGGTCACGGTGACTGAAGACAAAAGGTATCACAGCTGTAGAGAAAGTTGCATTATCTGTATTTATTTCTCCGGGGAAATAAATACAGATAATGCAACTTTCTCCGGATAAATTTAAAATTATGTTAAATAATTGTAAATTGATAATAATACATAACTTTAATCCGGTAAAAAGTTTTTTCTTTAAATGTGTAAAGGTTTTATGTCAATCAAAGACAATACTAAATTTTCTTACTCCCCGGAATTCAGGCAGCTGGGTGAAATTGATGGTCGAGCTGCCTTGCGATTCTGTAACTCACTTTTCGAACTCACACAGCGGTTTTCACAGCGGCGGTCGCGCTTAAATCAGTCTTAAAGCAGTGATTTTACGATTTGGCATTCATTGGAAAAGTGAGTTACAGAATCGCAAGGCCAATCGCTAAGTATGTTCGTAGAATTTTTTTATTGAACATTGATCTACGGGTGTCATAGCTTGGCGCTCCCTTTGTATCTGTATTTTCTAAAACAATATTGCGATGAACTACACCAATAGCACAACGATTATGACATCTACGTATATATCTCAGGTGTTACTGGGTTTCGAAAGAGGTGAATTTGCTGGAAATATTAGCCTAGAAACGCCGCGGAATGACGTAGCAGCCATCCGGGACGGTCGTATCAAGGTGATCACGGATCATTTGCCAACAAACCACGGATATGTTGCAGTCAACACTTTCTCAGTTACGGGCTCAAACGCCCACGTACTTCTCAAAGGACGTTACAAACCAAAGGTAACTGAAACCATTGATATTGTAAAAGATCAATATTAAAAATTTAAAACTATGTTTAGGTGTCCTTTTTTTTTATTTGAATTTTTTTTAGCAGTGTTGGCCTAGTGGCTTAGCGTGTGGTATTTTGAAACTGTAAATTGCATTTATATTTGGATTATTTAATAAAAGAGGAATTTATTTATAAAAATCGATTTCGAATATAAAAATATACACAACTAAACTACATTATTTTGGCGACTCATTGGTCTAGTGGTTAGTACCCCTGACTGCGAATCCATGGGTCCCGGGTTCGATCCCCGGCTGAGACGAACATCGATGTGATGAGCATTTGGTGTTGTGCTTAGGTCTTGGGTGTTTAAATATGTATTTATATGTCTATCTATCTATAATATGTATGTATATCCGTTGCCTAGTACCCATAACACAAGCTTCACCAGCTTAGCATGGGACTAGGTCAATTGGTGTGAATTGTCGTTCAGCGACATCAAGCATCAATTAGAATCTAATCTAACACCATATTTTAATTTCAATAATTGGATATTTCAAAATCTCGCTCTAGGATCTTACCCGCTACAAGAGCAGCATCCCTCGCCTGGTGACGATATCAGCGAGACAGGATTCTGCCCTGCTTAACATCTTCGCAGACCTGAAGAGCCGTACCGTGGACCCTGAGGAACTGGCTCTGTTCCATAACATTCATCAGACCCCTGTCGCTGGACATTTGGGGCGTGGTTATTTGATTCTGGGTGAGCATTGTTGATTTATAGAATTCAAATTTAAACTCAAGCTCAAAATAACTTTATTCATATACCAAGTACAGTTAAAAAAATAAATTTACATTTACTACTAGTTCGCAAGTCAAGGGCGTAGAGCGCAAATTATATGTTTTTGTACATACAGCAAGGCTTCAAGAATATAATATTGACCTGATAGTGTCATAATATTTAATTCCTTAAACTTAAACTTCTGCAGCAGCACCCCATAGTAGAATACCGTAGGACGAAACGCTGTGAAAGTAGCTATGATATACAATTTTAGCCGTGTCCTGATCAATAGAGCTAGGCTAAAATATCACTCTGCTTTCCTTACCTTGACTTAAAATTTAGGATATATCTTATATAATAATGTAAAATTCTCGTGACACAATGTGCTCCGAAACGGCTCGACCGATTCTTATGAAACTTTTGATGCATATTCAGTAAGTCTGAGAATCGGCTACTATTTATCTTTCAAACCCCTAATTGATAAGTTAAAAATATATTTTTAAAATTTGTGTTTTTTTTATGATACAACATACAAAATACACAAAACCCTTAATGTTTACCCCTCTACGATCAACCCCTATTTTTTATTATAGCACATAGTTATTTTTATTGAACTAAAACAATGTTTCTTAGACAAAATATACATGGCAAAACGTTTGTCGGGTCAGCTAGTTAGGATATATGTGTGAGTAAAATTTATACTTGAATTCCCTGATCTTGACAGACACAAACGAAGCCAACGAAACGGTGGCTCTAAGTGAAAAGTGCGAGTACTTCGACAACGCGGTCCGTCCACTATGGTTTGTCTACAGTGGTATGGGATCGCAATGGGCCGGTATGGGCACTCAACTCATGCGTATACCAATTTTTGCTGCTGCTATTGAGAAGTACGTATTTTTTGAGTTTAACAAAATAGTAAAAAACACACGTGTGTGCTACTAATGTACCCGCGTTAGAAGTTATACGTAATAATTTTCTTCGAGCACTTTAGGGGGATGTTTCCCTCTTGTCCATTTTAATGGTCACTTCCAATCAAAATGATATAATATGTACTAATCATGATATACAATAAATACTGTTTTTTCTCACATTGGAATAGGTTTTCTCGTATAGAAATCATTATTTTGGTTTAATAAACACGACTCTGAAAAAACACTACGCCATGATAGACAATGCAACTTGTCGATAAAACAGAGTAAGCGCCAACTAGCGTCCCAGACTGTTTTACCGACGTTTGAACAGATATTCAGGGTGTCGGTTTTATGCGACGGTGTGCGCGCGCATCGTTAAAATTTACTCTTATCATTTTTCCCTAACGCGCCAAAAGAAGTATTACTTCGAAAAGTGGGATTTGGGAAGTTGAATACATTATATGTTAACAGATGTCACCGCGTGTTAGAGCCCAAAGGCGTGGATATTGTGAGCATAATCACGTCACCAGATAAAACAACCTTCGATAACATCTTACACTCCTTCGTCGGTATTGCCGCTGTACAAATTGGTCTCACAGATATACTGCACTCTATAGGCATCTTCCCGGATAAAATTATCGGTATGTATAGCAAGTATGTATTGGAGGCAAGAAAAAATTGTAAAGTCTGTTTTATATGAATAAAAAATAAATGATTTGTCGTTCCCAGGTCACAGTGTAGGCGAGTTGGGGTGCGCATACGCAGATGGCTGCTTCACTGCCGAAGAGATGATCCTGTCTGCATACAGCCGTGGTCTTGTCTCCGTTCAAACGCCTTTTATTCGAGGCTCCATGGCTGCTGTTGGTATGGGATTCACTGAGGTACAGTATTATAAATAAATTTATTAACGTATTTATTGTTTAAAATCCACGAATGGCTCAGGATAGACATGTGTCTGTTTCATTGACAATTTTTAGAGTAGGTGATCCAGCTGTTTGTGTCTACTAACGCCCGAACCCAATAACCTATCTCAATCCATCTGAGATAGAAATCTAAATCCAAATGTTGTAAAAAGTGTGCCAATAACCAATCGACGGATTGTAATTGCCATCTGTCGATACAAGCTATCCATGGGAGGTCGTATCGGTGTCTGTGGATAGATAAAATGACAGTTGACGAAATCTTGATTCCAACAGTTAATTATTTTAACAGATTTTAACTTACAGCAATTTTTAAAATAATTAAAAAGCTGTTTGTTATGTTTTAAACAAAGACATGTATATTTTAATGTTATGTACGGTTTTATTTACTTTATTTGGTTTACATTGATTATCAAATATGAGTGTAAACTCGGTAAAATGGAACGACAAAGAGCATTTTATTCGGCGCCAAAAATGGATTGTCTTCATAGGGTTTGGTTATCGGGATGCAGATATGAGATCGATGGACTGTCACGGTCTGATCTCAGATTGTTTTCAATCTGAGATTATGGATTAATTATCGGGTTCGAGCGTTAGTTTAGTTCCTCGGGAAACAAAGTCTCTACACTTTCTTCTTTATAGTAACTAAGCAAGTAATAGCAATTAAGATACAGGCATCCCATCATTTCATTTGTGAGGGACAAACAAACCGGAGAACGCGTTTTAGCCAAAATTCACTGATGTCCAGTTTGAGCGTTCTGATAAACGAGCTGGGGGTTTATGTACATGTACTGTCATTTTCATACAAATTTAGTTTTTGACTTCCTACATACACTACTGTTAAGGCATCTTGACTAAACCCATGGGACTGGATATCCATAGTTGCTACCCTCACGCTTTAAATCGATTTTCGTTTAGTTTTTAAAATTCAATTGTTTTATTTAATTTATTTTTATTATCTCTTCATGTATGTAATGTTTGCCTATAAGTGCTTGTCACATTAAAAATTGTATTTTTTTCTTGTACCAACGTATCAGTGTTCCGAGCGTTGGCAAGCTTTTATAAATAAACTAGCAGACCTGCCAAGCGTTGCTGTGGCTAAGGGTTTTTTATATTACATAGTAAACTATTCAAGGTAAACTTTAGCCATAGCAACGCTTGGCCCAGTCTGCTAGTAGTTAAATATTACGTTCTCAGTAAAAACAGCTCTTGAAGTATTAATGTGTCATTCTAGAAAACAGGCAGGAATGATATCGTTCCCCAGATGACCTAGAATTAAAAATATTAATTAAAAAAATACACTTCTCAGATCTCCAAATTGTGCCCACCTGAAATTGAAGTAGCGTGCCACAATGCATCGGAATCCAGTACAATCTCAGGTCCAGCTGAAGTCATGAAAGAGTTCGTTGCGTCTTTAACAGCTAAGAACATCTTCGCTAAGGAGGTTCCCTGCTCCAACATCGCCTATCACTCACGTTATATCGCAGAAGCAGGTAATTTAATTTTCTTTTCAATAATTTTTGATTTATCAAAAAAACATATTTTTTAATCGTTTTACATAAATTTGTATAGGTACCTCAGAGTTTATGATAGTTTAATTATGCTTTCCTACTTGAACCACACCAGAAGTGCCTACATTACGCTTCTATTATTATTGAAGTGGAACTTCTTTATCGACGTATGGGAGAAATTTTGTAGCAAATCGTCACGTTTTTCGGTTACGCATCATGTTGCTGTTTAAAGTCAAACTTCTTTATCGGCGTTGTAAAAAAAAATTACCGTCACCTTTTTCGGTTACGCGCCATCTTTTTCATGTCCCTACCACGGTTGATCCGAAGAGATTCGAAGCCATTAATACCAAAAGTATATAATAACGATAACAATGATAGTAATAATTCTATTACAATTAATGAAATTCTGTAATAATCTTAGTAGTAATAAGGTAAAATGAAATAATTGTATTTGTATTCATGTCTATTATGATAATAAAAGCCTTTTGTTAAACTTTATCTAATCTAACTTTATTTAACCAATTTCTGTAAAGTTGCATATAGTAGATTATTTTTCGAAAAATAAGGTCATAAAGAAGTTTCAGTTCTTACGTGTGTACACCTAGTACACGCACACATTTTTTTATATATTTAGAGCTTACAACAGAAGTCATAATAACAAATTACTACAAGCGATAAAGGAGCTTATTGTGTAAAGAATAAGTACAATAGCGAAAGCAGTGATCTCTCTTCATCACAGCGTAAATACAATTTGATAGAAAGAGACCAATGATAAGTAAAACAGTATACTTGGCCTAATAATGACTAAGATTGCAAAGTGAAGTTCGCGCATACACTCAGTAGGAATGTGAAGGAAAAATGGAGCCCATAAAGGATTAAGGAAGATCCTCGATCAGTCTAACCACCGACTGGTCCGATAGCTCCAGTGGGTAAGGTATAAAGTTTTATTTGCAGTGGTTTTACAAACTTATCTTCTTCAGGTCCCGCTTTACGCCAGTACTTAAGTGAAGTTATCAAAGACCCGAAGCCACGCAGTGAACGTTGGCTTTCAACCTCGGTTCCAGAAAATAGATGGGAAGAGGATCTAGCTAAATACTCTTCTGCCGAATACCACACCAACAATCTACTGGTAATTTATTTTTATTAATTGTAATTAATTTTATAGTTGTATTCCTTCGACTTTTCTACAAAATTCAAAATACAATGGAAATGAAATCTTGCTGGATCGACTTAAGGTATGGATTTCAAAAGTTTTCTTTCTCCAAAATTTTGATTTATTCCACGAAACTTCCACTAAAGCTTGTATACATATAAACACGTCAAAGAAAATTCTCATTTACTGCCAGTTCCCAAATCAAGACCGTAGAGTAAATTACTAACAAATGTTAAAACAGTATTGCAATAATATTACATATGACTAGTGGACCCCACAGACGTTGTCCTGCATGATATTTAAAGCGATTAGGATATTAAGCAAAGTATGAAAGTACCGACTGCAGTGCCATCTGCCGGGCTGATTTGTGAATCTAAACCATTCCCAGATCCCCTTGAACACACACAAAAAATTTCATCAAAATCGGTCCAGTCGTTTGAGAGAAGTTCAGTCACATGCACACGCACACAAGAAATATATATATTAAGATAGAGACCTTTAAGGTAGAAAGTTTTATTTTAACAATATTTTGCATCAGTCCCGGGGTGTTCTGAGAAGGGTTTAACTGAACAGAATATCATAATTATCATTCGATCTTCTTCAACAGAATCCAGTTCTTTTCGAAGAGACATCTCGCCACATTCCTGCTGACGCTGTGCTTATTGAAATAGCTCCCCATGGACTACTCCAAGCTATTCTCAAGAGATCCCTACCCGAAAGCTGCAAGAACATTCCTCTTACACGCCGAGGACACCTTGACAATGCAAGATTTGTGTTGGAAGCTATTGGACAGTGAGTATATTATATACCCTTTATAGTGTATAGAATATTATATTCCAAATATCCAACTGTCCGTGGTTTATAAAAACATCGGAGATTCATGAGCACCTCAAAATCAGGACTGTTAAAGAGGAGATCAAGACCTGGAGTATGAAATACAGAAAAAGGCTAGAATTGCATCCTAATAAGCTTGCCACGAAACTAATCATACCGGACCTAATAAATAGGCTTAAAAGGCGACAAATCCTAAGTCTTGATAGACACGGTTGAAAGAGAGGAGCAGTCTCGATGGAGATTTTGCTCTGAACACATCTGCTCATAGTCTAGCTGACTGATTGCAAATTAAAGACTTATATAAAAAAAAATATATATTGTATAGAATACTATCTTCTTTAATATTAACACTACTAATTACGATTCTACAATGTAATACACGCTCTAGTGCTTAAATGGAAATGGGTAGGTCATATTGCTAGAGCGCGGAATAAAAGATGGACACTAGAAATAACAAAATGGACTGGACCTACTGGAAAAAGAAACTATGGACAGAAGACATTATAGAACTAGCGAAAAGGAACTAAGGAATGTAAACTAACCAGTTTGGAATAATAAAGTTTTAATAATAATAATGATTATATTATTAGTAGTATTAACTAATAATAGTAGAATCGTATTATTAGGAGTATTTTCTACTATAATGAAATAATCATTATAATCGGATCCAAATCTGAAGCACTTATAGGTTGCTGCGATATTAAGTATTCAATAGATTTGTGATCTTGCAACTTTATTTTGTGGCTTAATTTTTTAGAAGTACCTACTCGTTCTAACTACTATTTCGTCTCTTTCTGTCAAATTGTTTACGATGATAAGTGACAGATGAGTACTTTAGTTCAGTGATTAAAATGTATGAATATTTTTGGAGTAGGTCAGAAGACCAACCACCACGGTTGGTCATCAGATATGTTATTGCCTCTTTTATATAAAACAGGGGACAAATGGGCAGGAGGCTCATCTGACAGTCAGTGATACCGCCGCCCATGGACACTCTTAATGCTGCGTTGCCAGACTTTTAAGAATTCGATAACTGCCCGAGAAATATCTACATTTTAAAACTTCGCATTGAAGCATTGTTATTTTTTCACAGATTGTTCATGGAAGGCTACAACCCTAAGATACAAGCGTTGTACCCCAAAGTCGAATTTCCGGTGTCAACTGGTACCCCAATGTTGGCACATCATGTTGAATGGGCACATACGGAGTCTTGGTAAGTTTACCCATAAAAAAATGATATAGCTTTTACGTATTTTTTTCCCGAGGAGGTGGTCACGAAACGTTTTACTATACTTGGGTACTGAATAACGTTACGGCGTTACATAGATTGGTCCAATAATCTCCAAAAATTGCGTTACGTAATACTTGAACGCTCCCTAATTTGATTATGTAATAATTTATTTTAATAATATTATGATGTAGTGATAAAATAATATAAGAATTAACTAGGTATAATGGTATGACTCATAATGTAAATCGAAACTTCTATTCTACATTTTAAGACAAATTTTCACGCCATTATGTGTTGCAGAATATGCGAACTTTAGATTGTACCACCATAACATTTTTGTAGCATATTCTTGCAAATAAATTATGGTTATTATTAGTGAAACAAGTTCCGCGTGCCGACCAAATAAAAAGGACAAAGAACACGTGAAACGCATTCTTCTTTTGTTATTGTTAGTTCATCTTCACCCTTCCTAGTTTCACACTGGTTTCACAAACACTTTATTTTTTTTTATGGCTCTGGCACGATTTGTGCATTAGCCAGCGTCAAGTATAGGATTTTTTATAATTAGTGCTTGTCTTTAGAAATTCGACCGTGTCCTCCATGTACGGTTTAGGCACTCGCCCGGTACCGCACAACCCTCCCAAAGGCCGAGAACAAATTTAAATTAAATTAAAACTTGCCCTCGAACCGGAAATCGAACCCGGTACCCCTCACCTAGCTGCCACTTAATAAGACCGCTAGGCTATGAGGCCCCTCACAAACACTTTTGCCTAAGTAAAACTGGTTTGCGTCTGTACAGGAACGATATGTGCTTATCCGATCTAAAGGGATGATCTTCTACGGTCTAACCACTGACTGTCCTGCCCGGAGGCACTATCTATCTATATATACTAATATCCTTAGCGATTCATGACGTCATCATAGTCTGTATGTTATGAAGGATTTTTGTTTCAGGATACTTCCGCTATTCAAAGCGGATGGTATTAAGATTGCCGCTGCATGTAAATTCATTATATCTGTGCACGATGACGAACACAAATATCTTCGAGGACACGTCGTGAAAGGTACCTATTTTTGATAGTATCTTGTATGATAAGCAAAATGCTATTACATAAGCATAATTGAATGAAATATAACCATAATCCCCCAAAGCTCTTTTCATATTTGTAAATAAGTAATGGCCGTTTATTTAGATTACTGTGATGTGCTTCCCTTTAATAGAGACTGTAAGTAGTGTTATTGGACACTTTCTTATGTAAAAATCCTTATTAGTAAATTAGGTTAGACTTAAATTACTTATTAGTCTTAAGTTAGGCTAGATTGTAATGTTCCATGATGTCTTAGTAAAGACACATGTATATAAAAAAATAAAAAAAGTGGGGATAAAAAACATTTTTAATTGAACAGAAAAAGTAAACGCCCAATTTGCAAATTCCACACTGAGAATAGAGTATGATAAATAGAATAATAACACTGAAAATCATAACCGGTTAATATCCGCTGTCAATGGACACAACAATATTATGGTTAATAATAATTTATTTATTTGCCAAAAAGAAGAGGCTCCAAAACAATAGACGGTTAATAACCCATTTGTTAAAAAAACTTGTATTTAGTTTGCATTCACCTATTTATAGTTGTATGGTAATTGAGCATTGAGAAATTAAACACTAAAGTTAATGTTTAATAATAATAATCCACTGTGTAGTCATTCTTCTTTTCTTCTTTTCCATACACGTAGGTGATCAGTTTCTGTGTTTTCTCACGATGTTTGCCTTCATCAAAGACAAAGTCAAAATCATTTATTAGGTAACACAATGTACACTTATGAACGTCAAAAAACAAATACGATGAACTAAATTGTCTTTTAAAAATTGTCTTCAAAAACTGTCTTGATAATTGCGTACCTTTATTTAGAAGCTCTTTTTTAAGAAGCTCAAAATTTTATCTCTTCCATGTATTTATATTTTAGAAATATCCTTATTCGTGCACAGAAACATACATATTTTTAAGTCGAATGTAGAAGTTGAAGTAAGAAGTAGACATGGGAAGAATTTGGCTGTGCCAAAAATCAATCTGAAACTGTTTCGGAAAAACAGCTTTTATATGGGCAATTAAAGTCTACAATAAATTACCAAAAGAATTAAAAGATCTTCCGTCTAGATTCTTTAAAAAGCGACTTAGTGAATTGCTTTTGGATAAAGTTTACTATTCAATAAATGATTATTTGCGTGAAACACCGCAATTGATATAAAGTTAATGATGTAATGTATATAGTATAATAGACTAGATAATATAAGAATTGACTTTGACTAATAATGTAAAATTCCTTAAGACAAATTTGCGCGCCATTGCGTGTGGCAGAATACGCGAACGATTTACGATTGTATCACCTTAACATTTTATACCATATTCTTGCAATAAATAAATTATTATTATTATTATTAAAACAAATGCTTCTAATTTTACATTTACTGCCAGTTCTCAAATCAAGGGCGTACAACGGAAGAGAAGAACTGGCAATAACCGTAGGAGCAAATGTTAGTTGCGCACATAGAAAGAAAATTCCATTGGTGCATAACCGTGATAGTGACACACGTTAAAGCGACTGGGCCAACACTGTTATTAAAAAAATAAAATATAATTTAAATTTTCAGGCGTGAATGCTTACCCATTCGCGGGTGCACTCACGTGTGTATGGGATACGTATAGTATGGTGTGTGGGGTGGGTCGTCGCAGCCAGTCAGTACGTTTCCGTGACGTGCGCTTTACCGTGCAACCTTTGATCTGCGACCAACAACTGCTAAGCCTGAATGTCACCATACATCGCGGCACAGGGCGGTTTGAGGTATCGTTAACGTTTATTACAATAGCTTGGTTGAGACATAATCTTAATATAGTTATAGGTCTACCAGAATCTGATGGCAATTTTTTTTTTTTAAATTAGCGATTTTCATATGGCAATAAAAGAAAAATTTCATCTGTCAACTGAAATTTCGAGGAATTGTTTTTGGTTTGGCTTCAAATTTCCTTTAAAAAGTGATGAAAATGTCGAAGAAACCTCTTCGATCGCAAGCAAGACATATTGTTTTCAATGTTTATCAAAGAATACTTGATCAACAAGATGCAGAACATACACAATCATCGATATTGAGCCATGTGCAAGCGTTGACTGGTTAGTAGGAATGACACGTCTTGATACTTTGGTTTATGGGATTCTTCGTGTGTATTATATTATGTACTTATACTAAATTTTGGTTTATTTCAGGGGTTTCTTATACCACAAATAAACTTGGATAGTTTTGATTTAGAATTGATCAGAAACAAGATAAATGAGTTTTACATTGTTTCTTTCTCTCAAATAGGGATCGATGAATAGCGAAAATCTTGTGAACATGTAATAAAAATTTAAAATAAGTTCATAGAACAAGATCGGTTAATTGAGATGCAGGAGGAAAGGTTTATTATAAATACTGCGTTGAAGACTTTTTTATGGATGTGCAGTATTTGAAACCATTTTAAAGTTCTTAATTAATTAATAAACTCATGAACAGAGTAATTGGAGTTTTCATCTAAATTTCAAACCCCACATTCGCCACATTTTCAAAAATTATCATTGGATAAATTTTTATATATTTTGCATATATCACACACAGAATCAGCCGCTATAAGGAAAAAAAAAGTATCAAAACGTTTTACTCCAATTTCCCCAGTATTGCTAGCGTCAATTTCTTTTTTCCCTTTTTGCCATCAGATCCTGGTAGACCTATAAAATCTGTTTTAACGACATCGAAGGGACTACTCATATTTAGTCGTAACAGCCGATGACGTTGTTATTAAGAACCTAATACAATATAATTCAGCCAGGACCTTTGATTTTGGTCAATATAACCGGTACGGTTTTGACTGTATATGTTAACTAGCTGAACTGGCAAACGTCGTTTTGACATGTATATATTTTTTTTAAATTTTTTAATATATTTATTATATTTATTTTTCAAAAAAACAACTAAAGTAAAAAAAATAGGGGTTGATCGTAGAGGGGTGACAATTAAGGGTTGTATGTATTTTTGTATGCTGTATCATAAAAAAACACGAAGTTTTGTCTAAAAAATAAAAATAAAAATTTATGGGTGGGACCACCCTTAACATTTAGGGGTTTGAAAGATAGATAGTAGCCGATTCTCAGACTAACTAAATATGCATAAAATAAAAATAATGAACATTGTGACACGAGAATTTTATATATTAGATTACGTTTGCCCGCTATAGACTCACTAAACTACTAAACCGATTTCAATCAAATTTGCACACCGTGTGCAATTTGATCTAACTTAAAAGATAGGATAGATTTCATATCATTCTATTGTACGTGTGTATGTCACTGAACTCTTAAACGGCTGCACCGATTTGAATGATTTTTTTTGGTTTTGGATTCACAATTCCGGAAGATGGCACTGCAGTCGCTACTTTCATACTTTGTTTAATATCCTAATCGCTTGAAATATCATGCAGGACAACGTCTGTCGGGTCCACTAGTACTATTATAAAAACGTTGTTTAAAGAATCAGTGTAATAATTCTTCGCCTCTTTCTATCAAATTGTGTTTACGTTGTGTTGAAAAGAGAAAGAAATAGTTTATTTCGAATAAATAAGCTTATTTTTTTTAAATCTCATTTCAGGTATCTACTAAAAACACTGAAATTATATCTGGTTACATTATCTGGAATAATGAGGGCGGGCCTGACGTCACCAATCCAGATGACCAGGAATTATCTCTGACGTCTGATGATATCTACAAGTTGTTGAAGACCAAAGAGTACAATTATTGGTAAGAAACAGATATTTAAGTAAAATTAAAAAAAAAATCAGTGGCGTTCTGTATCTATTTCATGATCATTTGTCAATCTAGTAGGCCTGTGCCTGACACACGTCGACTTGTTGGGTCTAAGGCAAGCCGGTTTCTCACGATGTTTTCCTTCACCGTTCGAGTGAAACTTAAAAAATAAATATTTAAACTCAAACTGAAATCTTTATTGCATTCCTTATGTACATATTTTACACGTGATAAGTTATAATTTATTATCATAAGGACCTTGGTTAGGCACAGCAATGTTGTGAGAAGACATGATTTATTATAGTTAATTCTATTCTTATAAGATCCATTATTTATTTGGTATATTTGCTTTGGAAAAGGAGATTAAATGCGCCCAAAGAAAGTCCGTTGGTGGACAGCCGGGGATCGAACCTACGACCTTAGGGATGAGAGTCGCACACTGAAGCCATAAGACCAACACTGTTCTAACAAACAGTTCTTTAAGAGTAATTATTATGTGGATCTTGAGTCCAAGGTCCATTAAGCTTTAAACTTACTTAAACTAAAATGCTTTTATTAAAAGATCCGTTTCACCATCTATAGTCCAGTCAAATAATGTTTGCTTTTTAGCGGAGACTTTCGAAGCATCAGCAAAGCGTCCACGTCGCTCAGTCAAGCAAAAATTGTATGGAATAAGAACTGGGTGACGCTGATAGATGGGTTGATTCAACTAAACATGTTAAAGAAAAGCCATGGAGTTTCGGAGCTGGAATTTATTCGCCAAATTGATCTAGATGTCGATAAGATGCCCAAAGATGATGGAAGTGACAGTACTCTTCTAGATGCTTATGTCTCAGAAGTTTTGGAGGTTTCAAGGTGAGATAACACTCTGAACTAGGGATGCTCGATGATCATCGATTTTGAAAGCAAAAACATCGATGTTGCTATACGAAAAATATCGTAACATCGATGTTAACGGAATCGAACATCAATGTTAGCTCACGGCCTCGGCACGACCAATGCAACTTACGAAAAAATTTAAGTCTTCTATGAAAGCATCCACAAATCAGGTTTATTAAAATTCTGAACGCGTATTCATTCACTGCGCACCGGTCGTTCACTTCGTTCGTTCTTCTTGCTCGCTCTTTCTCTCTGACACGTCCTCACTACTCTTGATCAACAAAGATATAGATTAAAAGGTTCTTCTTTATCAAAATTACTTTAAATTCAGTCAGTTAATAAAAATATCGAAATACGTAATAATTTGTTCTGTTTCTTAATAAATGTCGAACCATTTCACTGTACGATGTTCGGTTTTCAATAAATTCGATTATGATATTGATGTTTTTCTAATATCGATCATCCGTACTCTGAACTGAATGAGATACTAACGAAAAATTTACATACAAATAATGTTTGTAACGAATGCATTTAAAAACTACTGGACCGATTACAAAAATTCTTACTATTAGTATGCTAATGTCTAAATAACATTGGTTCCAAAATATAAAACATTTATTTATTTCCACATAATTATTCTATCTTAACAGTACTAATAGGTAATTACCTACACCAAAAATCCTACAATTAAAAAAAAAAGTATATACCTAGATTTTATAACTAATAATATAGCTAGCAACTCTTGTGAACTCAGCGAGTGTACAAACAAATAGGTTTACCTCCATAGAATTCTATTTATTATATGTATAACATACTTCCACCATTTACTGAGCATATCATCTTTAACTGGCTCGAACCCGAAATCTAGGTTTGGATTTCTATATTAAAACTAGCCGATCCGGCAAACGTCGTTTTGCCATGTTTATCATTTATAATAAAAAATAGGGGTAGATTGTAGAGGGGTGAAAATTAGGGGTTGTATGTATTTTTTAATGCTGTATCATAAAAAAATAAAAAAATTAGGGTGGACTACCCTTAACATTTAGGGGGATGATATACCACGATAAATATGGTTCTCCAATAATAAGGGAAATAGAAATTTGTTACGAAAGTTGTACATTTTTTATTATTGTATGTCATAGCAATAATAGTTTTGTAAATTCAAATATAATAATGATAGAAAATCGTTCATATTTCCAGATGCTCTGGTGTAACCTTCCATAATGTGAGGTTCTGTTCTCGGCCAGCGAGCAGCGAGAACGTTTCTGTGAAGGCTTACAAATTTGTACCCCATTTCCCCAAGGGGGCAAAGTAACGTATGTATTTTCAAAATTATTTTAGTTTATTTTATTTAAAGAAGCTTTATTTTAATGTGAAGTACACTTGTAAAGGGAAGGCAATAATAAAATGTATCGTGACTTACTTTTATGACGCTCAAAATCGGATGTAGGGAACGAAAGTTTCATTGTTTAAACATATTATTATTAAGCCTTTATTGCTGACACCCAGTATAATATATACATATACAAACACTTATTGTAACATAATTAAATTAATTTAATACATCAGATGTGCCGGTATCCTGTGACACATAGCCCCTTCCAGTTTCCATCCTTTTCTAATGTTAGCTTTTCTTTTCCAAGTTCTGCCTCCTATTCTATTTATATCGCCTGCCCACCTCTTTCTTCCTCTTTTACTTTTTTACGTGGTTGCCATTGTGTAATAATTTTGTCCATTTCAACCTGCTATCTCTCGTCATGTGCCCGAGTCAGGGCCATTTCAATTGCAGTATTTTCTTTATAATGTCCTCTACTTTCGTCGTTAGTATTATCTGTTCTGCTCTTTTGCGATGTCTCACTGTTACACAGTGGGTTGTTCCCAACTTTAAAAGATGTTTCTGAGATAATGTCCCAGTCTGGCAGCTGTATGTGACACATGGTAAGATACATAAGTTGAACACCTTTTACTTAGCTACCATTGGGAAGCTTTACTTTCAAGTACTTCTTTAAGGTACCAATATCTTTGGTCTGTTTGGTCTTTAAATTATTTTATTTGCCCTGGATATACGTGGTGATCTACATATTCGATAGCATCACATATTACACCAAAATACTTGATATTGTCAATGCTTTATCAAAGTTCTTCCCGGAACATGTTTATATTGCATGCAGATTATAAAAATTATTTTTTTACAGGAATCGTCAGCTCTTTCAGTGTTCCTCCAAATAGTTGCTGAAAATGTTAACAAAAGCACAATCAATGCCCTAGTTGTTAACGAATCTGACTCTAAATACAGCGGATTGAAATCTGTCGTCGAACAAATTCCTGGGGTCAAAGTGAACTTAGCATGTATTGATAAGAGAGACCTCCTCAAACTGACCAATATTGATAATCAAGTTGATGTCTTATTCCTCAATGACTTATCGTTTGATGAATCTGTAAGTGTAATTTAAACTCTTAAGAAAAATCAGCACCTTTTAAACCTTCATCTTATGATAATATTTCTTCCAGCTCACGGAAGCCCTACACAACATCCTTCCACGCGATTTCTTCATCATAAACAAAGAATTTTCAGAACCAAAGCAGAGACCGGCTTCTCTCTACATCCCTGTGTCCTCTCACAACGTCTCCAATGCCCAAATCCAACTTATAAGTTGGCGTCCAAATCAATCCCGTTCCATTTCCAGCGCAGTTACAGTCCATTCTACTGAAGACCTTGCGTTATTAGAATGTAGTCTTTCCCTACTTCCTCCCGGGCAGAACCTCTTGATTGTGTCCACATATCCGAAAGTCCCAGGTTTGTCAGAACTTGTGAAGCAATGGAGCGAGGCTAGCAGTGGGTCTAACAAGAAGATATACGTGATTGAAATAAACCACAAGGTGTCCAACGAACAGTGTTTGAACGAATTGCCACCTCTAAATTTGACCTTCAATGTGTTAGATCACGTAAGTAGTGGGTCAGTGAATATTATACAAAACATTCTACCCTATTATTATTCTAAACTGTTGTTGTTGCATTTAATTTTGCTGATCAATATGCAAGGTCGCAGGATAACTTTCAGTTATATCGATTGGAACTTTTCCTTTCCTCAGTTTCAGTTATAAAAATTTAATAACTAATTTTGTAAAATGTTTTCTAATTTTTCTGAATGTGACGATGACTCTCCGAATTATTTAAACAGGGTATTTGGGGAGGCAAGTACTACCTTCCCGTGGAGCGTCAGGTAGAAAGCAAGGGTAATGCGATACTCCAGATTTCTCACGTTGGAGACATCGATTCATTGACCTGGGTTGAAACACCTGAGCCAACTGGACCAGGGATTAACGTGAAGGTTTGTAACAGTTAACTAATATATATTTTCCTATTGTGCTATAAGAAGCCTTTTGTACGATATGATATAGGTAATATTGCTGAATCTGCTTCCGTAATCATATAAATGTCAAGAGGAATTAAGGACCTTTCCTATCGCTAAACTCCAAAAAAGTACATTGTTTCTTTCCATTTTTCGTCATCGTTTCTTGAAGTAGGGCGAATGGAAAAAATATATGGTGGAGTTGAGTAGTTTATGTATCCATTTTGAAAGATCGATATACGATTTAAATAATAATAATAATTCGCTCGATAGAAAAAAAAATCCAAACATAGCCAATTTTTAACACTTTGAATTCATTTTATGACGAAAATGTATATAGAACATAATTTTGAAATTTACACGATATATTTAATCGCAAGCCAAGTAATCCATTTCAGAAAAAAAAAAATAAAATTACATCAATTTAATGTTTTACATAACTTAATTAACTTACTTAATTGTTATTACGGGCCGACGCGACGCGCCTGTCTGCGCACCGCAGTCCACCCCGAGACACTGACACAGCAATTCGTGCTGGGATAGGGCCTTAATACAGGATTTTTAAATCGAATTTTGTTTACAGGTACACTATTCTACTCTGAATAGCCTCGACACAAAGAGAAGTATGGGAGTAATACCCATCGATTTTGATACGGATTTAACCTTTGGAATGGACTTCAGTGGTGTGACGGAAAGGTATGTCTTCTCTTCTTGATCTGCGCTATAAACACGAGCATGTAAGTGCTTGCTCCTATTTCACCATGCCTCATGCTGATAGAGGACAAATCTTTGTTTTTTATTTATTTTATTTTTATTTATTACTTAAGATGTCATGTGGAACATGGTGTAATGGTTGCAGCTCCTAACAAACGTTGTGTAAAACAAAAACTTGGCGATTAAAAAGAGTGGCGGAGAGTTTATTGTCAGGTCTTCTCTTCCGTTCTACGCCCTTGATTTGAGAACTGGCAGTAAATGTAAAATTAGAAGCATTTAATGTATATTTCTTTTTTTTGACGTTCAAAAGTGTACATTGTGTTACCTACGTGAATAAATGATTTTTGATTTGATTTGAACACAGTGTCTATTTTCGATAGAACTTTTAGTTTCGTACTATTTTTTTAACGGGCTCAGAGTAAAACGTAGCCTGGATGAGGTGGCTTGAGAGAAAGACTACACTGCTTACGAACTAGTAGCCAATTTTGTACTAGTAATACTAGTTGGTTTATTATTGAAATTTTTCTTGCCAAAAATTTCCATATAGTCAGAGGCGGATCTACTTAAAGGCTTTTTGGGCTGTAGCCCAGGGCCCCGTGGAAAGAAAGAGCCCCCAGTGAAAACGATAGGCGATATTTTAAATTAAAAAAAATCCAATCATAAGGTTGGTATCCCTGAGATCAATCAACCCATGTGCGATGCGCGTCTATCGAACGGAACGGGGAATTACCCTATTACGGGGGACTTCCCCGTAATAGCCCAGAGCCCCACAAATTCACGATCCGCCCATATAGTCTAACAAATATACATTTTTTAGTGGTGTCCGTGTAATGGGTCTTGTTGAATCGGGTTCCGTGAGTACAATAGTGCGAGCCAAGACTGAGCAATTGTGGCCTGTGCCTGCGCACTGGACCCTAGAGGATGCCGCTACCGTGCCTTTGGCCTACTGTTTGGCTTTCTACTGCTTGGTATGTGCTTTTACGTAGTATTTTTTTTTTCTCTTAGTTATTATAAAATACTGTTTTCATGTCAAAAGGAAGAGACTGGCTGCCCACAACACAGGGAATCCTAGTGTGGGGGCCAGTGCACTTTACTTTATCTAAATACCTTGTATATTGTGCATAATAAAGTTTTTTCTTTCTTTCTTATTAGCTATAAAGATTTTATTTTAGGGCGATTCTAAATCTCAGATGTTCAGGTTGCTGCGATTATAACAAATTTTGGATGCGTTCAGATGACGTACCATCGGATATATATCTGATATATCGTTTACTACAAATGATCGTCGAAACTTCGTTTAGTTTCCATGAAAATTAGTATCTCATACAATTTATTTATGATCGCAAAGAATACATTTCAATTTACAACTAGATTCTTATTTAAATACATCTAATTCTGTAAAACATTCGAGCAAAAATCTCATCGAAAGTAAAAGTAAACTACGTAACATTTGTTAATAATTTCTTCATACTTTTAGAGCAATAAAAGCAGTATTTTACCCGGTATGAGCATTTTGGTACACGGTGGAACAGGTGCATTGGCCCAAGCTGCAATCTCCATTGCCCTTGCATTTGACTGCGAAGTATTTACCACTGTCAGTGATCTGAAGAAGAAGCAGTTCGTTAAGAAGCTCTTCCCTCAGTTGCAAGGTATGGCTATAATAACGTTTTTTCTCTATTATTGTTCTGCACGAAAGAAATATTCAAATTCTTCTTTGACTTCCTTATACTTTCGGGCCACTTAAATGGGAATATTGAAAGTTGTGGCTAACTTCACTTATCAAGGTTATGAATTTAATTCCAATTATTAAAGTTGAACCGAAAATAAAATCAATTCATTTCCCGTATTTATTTGTATTATATGAACGTTTCTCAACGTCACTAAAAACTAAGTTTGTTCAAGAACGCGCTCTAAGGAAAAGTCTCAAGTTGAGAGCTTAGCGCAAACTATGACTCTCGTATGTTAAGATACAGTACGGTTTGAGTTACGTTACGTACTCTAATGCCCGCCTTCCACTGCGAGTGAAACGGACCCATTACGGACTCCGCTATACTCGTAACGATGATTTTCATTTCCGTGGGAAACTCGGTTAACTCGCTAACCTCATATGTGACTCTTTCAACTCGGTCTCTCCGCTGCGCTCGTCTCCGCTTTGGTGGAAGCACATGTATGAAAATCATGTCATCATGTATAGCGGAGTCCGTAATGGGTCCGTCAGTGGAAGGCCTGCATTAGGGCAATAGCGCACTAGATTTCTTTGTAACCCTTGCTTGATCGCGGCCAAAACCGCAGCTACATTCGTCAGTGCAAATACTGCGCGCTTCAAAAAAGCCACGGGCCGCAGATGCGTCGCTTCGATCTCGTTGGCCGCTGGGGCTCGATGGGGCTGCTGGCCGCGTGCGGCAATGTGGGCGTGCTCCATGGCGATTTCATAATAATGTATCTATCTCGCTGGCCGCTTGTGCGCTATTGCCCTTAGCACCAGCCACGAAGTTCTGCCTGCTCTCTCTTTTCCAACCATATCTACAAACAATACCGTCTTCACCATAAGGGCACATGGGGCCCGTGCCCAGGGCCCCCATTCTCAGGGGGCCCCGAAGGACCGACAATTTCTCTCACACATTTATTCTCAAAACCTTTTGACGGGCACATTACACTTTTTCACAAATCAGTAATCATATCAGAAGGTATGTACAAGGCATATACTACGCCATTATATCGATAGCTGCGCCTATTCCTACTGTACTAATTTTATTAATAAGGATATAATAGAAGACTCATCAGAAATCTTAAAAGAAACCGTTATCGTAATCGTAACCAAAAAAACAGCAGCGTTCTAATATCATTAATGACATAATTAACTGTATTTGATGACCTATAATAAATGGTCATATTTAGTAAAATTTTTTTATTATAATTAGCTTTTTTTACTTTCCAAAAGGGCCCCAAATTCTTGTGTGCCCAATGGCCCCAGCCTAGTTTAAGACGGCCCTGTCTACAAATACTTGTTTTAATTAGTTATGTATCCAAACGTTAGTTAAGTTACAAATATATATATATGTTAATATTAAAAAGCGCAAACAAAATCTTAACAATCATATTACACTTGAAGCTAATGAATTGTAAAATGTCAGTTTTGGTAGTGATAAATGAGCCAATAATTCATAAATTCTCGTTTCCGAGAAAGTCAACATCACTTATATTATGTATAGGTAATAGATATGTCATATATTTAAAAATCTCTTTCATCTTTCCACAAACTAATTTTTATACGCTTTATATTAGCTTCACCTGTATGTATGTATGTAACCGACTCCTTCGGACTCGATTTTGACCCACATTTAACGGACAGATTTAATTCAAACTTTTCGCACCTGTCAAAGGTCGATGACAATGCAATAATCCGAAAAAAAAAAAATTTAACTAAAAAATAAATAATAGTTTAAAAAAACTAGAACACAGCTTTATATAGAAAACTAAACTAAAAAACAGAAAATAAATTTTAATAAATATTAATTAAGAATAATGTAAATAATTCCTAATTTAGGCTGAAAATGGTAATGAACAAAAAATACTGGTATTATTGTGAAAAAGCGTTGGTCGCTCTGTGCCATATTTTTCGTCTATCGCTTTTTCACAATAATACCAGTATTTTTTGTTCATTACCATTTTCAGCCTAAATTAGGAATTATTTACATTATTCTTAATTAATATTTATTAAAATTTATTCTATGAAATTTTTCTTTACAGATGACCACATCGGTGATTCTCGTCATCACACTTTCGCTGACATGGTGAGGTCTGCTACGAATGGTAGAGGCGTAGACATCATCATCAGCTGCGCGAATAAGGAGTTGAAGAATGTAATTATTCATTTTAAAGAAAAATCTTTCGATCTACATCAATTTCGATAACTTTTAATCTGAATTCCTTGGTTGTCTTTTTTTAATTTATTTAAAAAGAAATGTATTATCTATTGAAAGCAGTGTTGGCCTAGTCGCTTCAGCGTGCGACTCTCATACCTGAGGTCGTAGGTTCGATCCCCGGCTGTGCACCAATGGAATTTCTTTCTATGTGCGCATTTAACATTTGCTCGAACAATGAAGGAAAACATCGTGAGGAAACCGACATGTCTTAGACCCAAAAAGTTGACGGCGTGTGTCAGGCACTGGGGGCTGATCACCTACTTGCCTATTAGATTTAAAAATGATCATGAAACAGATTCAGAAATCTGAGGCCAAGACCTAAAGAGGTTGTAGCGCCACTGATTTATTTATTTTCATTATGTATTGAACTGACAAAAACTCTATTTGTTAGTGCGTATAGTAGTTAGTTAATTTTTTGATATTATCGATTTTCTAGTGTTTTTTATTAATCAATAAATTAAATAATAATTTTATCTAATATAATCTAACCTAAACCGTTGATTACATTATAAACAACATTAGAAAAGACTTTGCAAGTAGTAAATAACTTTTTGATTCTTATATTGTATTTTTTATTCCTTAGACCTTTATGTCAATTATCTTTTGAGAGTCAAATCATCATGTTAACTATTCGACAAGCGTAAATTAATTCGGAAGAATTCGGGTTATCCATCTTTGGATACAGTCTAACATCAAAATCAATTCAGTAGTTTTTGGAATGTAATCCGGGCTACGTCCTACCAATTCACAAGTATTTGAACTTGATTTAATTTTTCAAAACTACTTTTATATTTTTTTCAGGCCTCCATGGGATGTCTCGCAGAGTACGGCGTGTACTACGATGCCAGTTTGCTGATTGAGCGAGAAAACTTTAACCTCGGAATGAACCATTTCACTAAATGCCGCTCCTACGCCACCGTCGATATTCGCAGCATATTTCAGACTGAACACGATATGAAGGTAAATTTTGTTATTTTCTTGAAGATTTTTCAACATTTTTGAAGTTATACTTCTTTAGGCGCGTTATGAAAAATTTATGAGAGTGTAATTTTACGATGCGCGCGCACCTGAGACACAAAATTATCAGTGTGATTATAGCGTGCGCGAGCGAGATGGGAATAAGACAATCTACAAGTAAAAAGAAATAGAATATGCGTGAAGTTAGCAGCTATGCCAAGAATTTTGAATGATGACCTTTGTAGTACCTTTTAAACAAATAAAGGAGTTTTAATTGTGTTTTCTAAGAAATTTAGCAATGCTTTTTCACAAAGAGCTATTGTTACTTAGTTAAAAGGTTATGAAACAAACCTAGTTATTAAATTGAATGAATAATATAATAAAATAATAAATTATAATAATAATAATATTATTATTAATATTAATTAATAATTGAATAAAATTAAATATTATTAAGTTATGAACCTTAAATATTAATTATTTAAAAAAAATTAAGAAAGCCAAAGATATATAACATCTTACATAAGTACACGCACCCTTTTTTTTTATCTAGTAGTAGGCAAACGGGCAGAAGGCTCACCTGATGTTAAGTGATACCGCCGCCCATGGACACTCACATTGCCAGAAAACTTGGAAGTGCGTTGCCTTTGAAGAATTGGTACGCTCTTTTATTGAAGGGCCCTAAGTCGAATTGGTTCGGAACTACTTCCTACAGCTGGTTCCATATAGTGGTGGTGCGCGGCGAAAACTGCCTTAAAAACGCTCAGTTGTGGAACGACGGATGTCGAGATGATACGGATGGTATTTTGTATTCTACCTTGACGTCCAATGGATTAAGTTAGAGGTTAGACAAGTACTAAGTATCCTAAGTAAAAGTGGCGCTACAACGTTTTTTTGGGTCTTAGATTTCTGTATCTGTATGTATGAGACACGCCATCGCGAGTGTTAGATGCACATATATACAGAAAGTATTGGTGTACAGCCGGCCTCAAACCTACGACCTCAGGGAATAGAGTCCCCCCTAGAAGCTACTAGGCCAATACTGCTCCTAAAATACAAAATATAGTTTAATTAAAACAATACTTATTAGGAAGTATTTTTTAAATTGGAAGTAAGCGGAAGTTTTACGAACTTATATATTTATTAAAGTCCATACACACATACTATTTAACTACGACTCATTTGTCAAAAACATTATATAACTGACATACAGAACTCATATTTGGCTGTGCGTCTCGACTCTGAATTTTATTCTAAATGTACAATATGAACCAGTATTTTATACTAAAACTTGATAAACCACCATTCCAGCGTTTGCAATTACTCGTAACCGAAGGAATAGGGCGTGGCTACGTGCGTCCTCTGTCCCGTGTTTCGTTCCCGCCCAGTGAGGTCTCTCGGGCCTTCCGTCTCTTGGCTGCAAGTAGACATCGCGGACGAGTGCTTCTTGACATGCAGCAGCCCATTCCTGATGTTAAACCCAGGTAACAATAAATACTATATCTTTAATGCTATTATTTAGCACATTATCAAATGTTTATTACGTATTATCTTGAATTTTCAGGCTCCAAATATCACCTGAATCGTGCAATTTGATCATATCAGATGACGATGTATTGGCGATACAGCTGGCTGATGGGCTGGTCGCACAAGGGGCTAAGCAACTGTACATTCAGGCGCCTTATTCTAACACATTCCTCGTTAAACAGAGGTAAAAAAATCTTAATCTTATTTAATCAATTACCTTCTAAAATTTGAAATATTAGCGCGTTTAACCAATTCAAAGGGGCATTAAAGATACATATCAGGATGAGAGTAGACTAAAATTGGGACGGTTGATGGCGACGTGTATCTCGTTCGTATATACCTATTAAGTTTCTCATGTAAATAAATACATTTTTTTGTCATGAGAAATAAAGTTCTTTAAACATTAAATCTTGTCTCCTCTAAGTATGTTATTGCAATGTCAAACATCTAACGGTGAATTTGGTAAAACTTTTTTTTAATATTAAAACAGTACAACAAATTTAGATTAACATTATTCTTTGCCTAGATTGTAATTATAATGATAATACTTATAGATGGAAGTCAAAGTCAAAGTCAAATCGTTTATTTCAATTAGACCATCTAAAATGGCACTTTTGAACGTCAAAAAAAAAAATATAAAGATGATTCTAGTTGCCCCTTCCAAAAGGTAGTTTCGTGTGGAGAAGAATGGGCAAGAAACTCCACACTTACTCTTTTAAAATAGGTTTACAATATTTTGTTACATTTGTTAAATAATTATATGTGAAGACAATGTACTCTTAGAATAAACTACTATACTAAAAAAGTTAGTATACATGTTCCTCACATATTTACAAATATCGAAACCTTAGAATATTAACATTAAAGAGTAATAAAAATATTAAAAAAACACAACAAAACAGTGTGTGAGATACAAAAAAAATAATTTAATTACATTTGTAGCATTATATAAATTAAAAAAATAATAATAATAATAACAAAAATTAACATATTTTTTTTTAGCAAAAAATCAGCAACCAATTTGATTTTGTCCAGGCTATAGAGCCAATCATAGGATTGTCCTATGGAACCTAAATAGATTTAAAATTTATTATTTTTGTATATTATCTAATAAATAACTTTGTAATAATTTAAAATAATACTGTAATATATTTATGTAAAATAATAATTCAAAAAAATAAAAATGCCTCGAACGGCCTAATAATGAAATATATAATAAATATTGGTGTGTATGTACGACGCTTAGTATATGTTGTTGTACGTCAATATGAGAATATAAGATTATTCTATTCACATAGGTTAACGATTATCTAGTTGATAAAAGGGCCTGGGACTAGTGCTAGACAGGATAATTCTAATTAATTTGCGATATTTTTTTTAAAATAAGTGTTGTTTGATGATTTGCTAATTTAAAAGAGTACCGAGAGTTTTTTACGCCGGCTTTTTCTCTCGGCCTACACCCTCTGTCTTCTTTGCCGATGAGTAGGGATTAATAATTTAATGACGGGATAAGTGATACCTGTATCTTATGTTCCATAATAAACATATATTTTTTTTAGGTCCTGGCAAGACGCTGGTGTACACGTTGTCATTGACAGACAAGAACTCTGGAACAAGAAGTATATAGAGTTCCTACTTAACAAAAGTAGTGTTCTGGGGAAAATCCAGATTATCTACATGATTGCCAGCAAAGCCCAGAACTACAATGACGCCACTACATATTTGGATGCATTGTATTCAGCTTCTAGAAAGTTAACACCACCTGTCGAGTAAGTTTTATATTTCTTAAGTAATTTTACATTTTTTAAATTTACAATTAAGTGTGTTAATACTATATTTGAAGCGTCTTACTTGCGAAAGTAATATTTGAATTCAATGAAATAATAATGACCACATGTATTTGTTAAGATTTAAAATGTCAAAAATAAACCCAAACAATTTAATAAAAAATCTCTAACACAATAGTGTTGCGAAATCTAATGAACAGGTAGAACGAAAAATAAAATCTCATGGGGTTTCCATTTTGTTCATTTGCTCTGCTGTTTATTAAGCATACATTTATTTGTTTCTTTATGAATTATTTAATCAGTTTAAATATGTCTATAGGGGCCTCATAGCATAGCAGTCTTATTAAGTGGCAGCTAGGTGAGGGGTACAGGGTTCGATTCCCGGTTCGAGGGCAACTTTTAATTTAATTTAAATTTATTCTCGGCCTTTGGGAGGGTTGTGCGGTACCGGGCGAGTGCCTAAACCGTACATGGAGGACAGGGTCGAATTTCTAAGACAAAAAGTACGAATTATAAAAATCTTATACTTGACGCTGGCTAATGCACAAACCGTGCCAGAGCCATAATTATAAAAAAAAATGTCTATACATGCACCAACAATCTTAAATAACATCTGAACCTGTCCAATGCTAAACAGAAAGTGTTCTTGTGCGACACTAGTTTAATGGAAAAATTGAGAGTGTAGAAATTATTACTTCAAGTACGTAAAATCATTAATATGTCAAACGGAAGAGATTAGTGCAGTTTCACTTTTAACCATACATCATTTTTTACTACATATTTGTATTATTAAGCTATTGCATAGATTTTATCGCGGGCTTTGAGCGCGGCAACCGAATCAAGAAATTCCGTAACGAAATAAACCTAACACACGATGACGTAATATAGGTGCGGCCAATACGCGTTAGAGCGGGACAGAACGCATACTGCGTCTCACTTTGGTGTAGCGTGATCGGATAGGCGTGTTAGTCTGAGTCTGGTAGAGTGGTAGATTGAATTAATATCAAAGAAAAAACTTGAATTTATATCAAAGAAAAAAAATACTGCAAAAAATAAATAAATAATTTTATATTGCATAAGTTGCAATATTGCAAAAATGCTATGCAATAGCTTTATCGCGGCAGTCCCCGAGTGCCACACGTTTTTTTTATGTAACAATATAACATATTATTGTTTACCAGCTTGTACCTATATAACACTTGTGTAAAGAAGTTCTTTTTCAATTTCAGACACCTTGCTGTAATCGACATCGGTAACCGCATAGGTGATGACGCATTCACGTCAGAATGTCCCTTTAAGAACAATTTGACTATCATCAAGTCACCTGAACTTGAATCGGTAAGTAGTATTTTTACAATAACGTTGTAGCAACAGTTCCAACGATGTACTCTGACACTGAAATGCGCTAACAAACTTCTCGACTTTAGACATTGAGGACTTTCGGGCTTAGAGTGGTCTATGATCAGTGGCGTAACAATAGGGGGACAGGGCTGGCAAAATGCACTCGATTCAAGAGGGCCTCTGCCCAAGAGATATTATGTTCTATGGATAAATGTGAAGTCTCCAATACGTATTGGGCTAGCCTGGGCACTACAGACCATTCCCTCTCGCCTCAGAGAGGAGGCCTTTGGTCATTAGTGGGACATAAACAACGTGTAATTGAGTACGCTGATTATCTCGAAGTTTATTAAAATTAAACTGTGTACAACGTGACGATTTTTACTGATAGGGCCCCATCAAAAGAATTTTCCACGGGCCCCAGATGCTATAGTTACGCCACTGTCTAGGATCCTCCTTTTAGAAGGAAGTCTACACCATCCTTCCTCCACAAAAGTAGGCACTAGACGGAACTACGCTTTAAGGCTAAGTTCAGATGACCGCGCGTAGCCGCGCGTCGCCGCGCGGTTGGAGCATTCACATGACGGTATATGTACGCGCGGCAGTGTGGCTTCAACATTGATTGACAATGGACGTGGAGGAGGCAATTTGCTTATGGATTTTATATAGAAGACTGAGACGTCGCAGAAGAAGACAAAGACGATACTAGGTGCATCCAATTTTAAGTGACAGACTTTCTTCCAGCCTGTTTGTCACTTTGTATACCGACTTGAGGTTACACGAAGATAATTTTTTTTAACTATTTCCGGATGTCAGTTGCATCCTTTGATTTTTTATACGATTCTATTGAAAATGATTTAAAATCCAGTGAAGATGCTATAAGATATTGCATATCACCAAATCCTTAATACCATATCTTCGGTACTAATTTTGCATCGATATATGTGTCTTTCCGTCTCAAGCCGCGCGGATCAACTGAACAGGTCCATACAGGTTTGCAAAACTTGTGCCGCGCGCGGCCGCGCGGTAATGTAGACGATAATTACCGTTTATATTGATCTTGTACCGCGCGGTCATCTGAACTTAGCCTAACAAGCGACGCGACATTTATCTGAAGTTTTGTACTGCAGTATTGTTAGTAAGTCGCCAATTTCTAAACGCGATTGATCTAATAGTTAATGCAGCCTAAAAATAAGAATATACCACGAGCTTTTCAAAATCACTAAGGTATAGTCAGCTTTATAAACATTTTATTTAATACATTTCTCGTTCTGATGTCGATTTTGTATGAAATATAAAGTGGTACGTCATGATACGAACCGCGCGTTACTGCATGATGTTCAGACGTGCACGTGTTTACATTGTACCAAAAAAGTAGTACTATTTAAAAAAAGATCCGAATGGTATTCTCTTTACATTGATGGCTGAAAATCTTATACTATCGAATCAAGGACTAATGTAACGTTCACAAAGTTTTTCTCAATTTTTAAAAATGATTCAACTTACTTTTCCCAGTTAAAAACTTTTTTTTTGTTTTGTCGACTCAGGTGCAAAGCTTGCTGTCATTTAAGACCGTACTGAATGTCTTAGAAGAAGGATTGAACTCCAAGGAGCCCGTGATTGTGGTGCACCCGGTTCCTAATAAGAAATCTTTGTTGGAAGACATCGCTGCTATTGCCAGTACGTCTTTAAACACCTTATTTTTTAGAAACCGATATGCAACTAAACAGAAATCTACGTTTCTATAGAAGCGTCAAAGTATTGGGTAGACCCAAACAATCCGCATGCCTTCTTAGGCTTGGTTTCTTCACGGTATTTTCCTCCATAGAACCTTTGACCTCAGGGATGACATTTGCACGTTGAAGTCACTAGGACAACACTGCATTATTTTAAATAACTGTATACATAAATAACATTTTTTAAATTTCAGAATTCGATCTACCAAACAATTTAGAAGGTACACTCACGCTGCAGGAATTATGCAAGGACAGTGCATTACTATTCCCAGTGAGAGAATACTTGCGGGACCAATATCACATCCTCCTGTCGCAAGAAGCCATTCTAGATCTTTCTATAAGCAAGTAAGTTGTATATTTTTTTATTTTTTTTATATACATGTGTCTTTACTAAGACATCATGGAACATTACAATCTAGCCTAACTTAAGACTAATAAGTAATTTAAGTCTAACCTAATTTATTACAAAGGATATTTAACATAAGAAAGTGTCCAATAACACTACTTACAGTCTCTATTAAAGGGAAGACACTTTGTTCTTGTGTTCTATTTTTTTCAATCACTGTTTAGCACTTAATACTAACGTGCACTAACACTAATTCACTAGTTCAAACGGTTTTGTCCTTTTCAATCTTCTCACTAGGCCCGTGGTGTCAAGGAGTTGAATAGCCTCGACATTCACGTGATGGTGGAGCCTATGTTCGTGGGCTCCGGCAGTCTTTTTTATTACTGTGGCGACGTCCTCTACATTAAGGTCCCGATGGAGGTCGTTATTGCGAATATACCAGGGAGCATTGACTATTCCCCTGAGCACTTTGTTTTGGAATCGTTGGATTACTTGGATGTTACTATTACTGGTACAGCCCCACAGCTGGCAACCATAAGTCCATACAGGTGTCAGGACTTGTTTGTAAATCAATAATTTATTTTGAACTGATAGCGCGGAATGCCTAGCGTGAACTGATTTAGACTGATTTAATCGTATCCGCCATTTTTTGGTCCACAAGCCAACAGTATTTATGGCTTTTTGTAGTTTCTACCGCATTTACCATGGAGAGTGTTCAGAGGAGTTGTTCGGTCTAATACCTGCAGCTGAGTTTCATCATCGGACGTCAAGGCAAAATACAAAATACCATCCGTATCACCTCGACGTCCGTCGTTCCACAACAGAGCGTTTTCTAAGGCAGTTTTTGCCGCGCACCACCACTATGTGGAACCAGCTGCCCACAGAAGTATTTCCGAACCAATTCGACTTAGGGTCCTTCAAGAAAAGAGCGTACCAATTCCTGAAAGGCCGGCAACGCACTTGCGAGCCTTCTGGCATTGTGAGTGTCCATGGGCGGCGGTATCACTTAACATCAGGTGAGCCTCCTGCCCGTTTGCCTCCTATTACATAAAAAAAAAAAATACGACAAGAAGGACCGGACCTAATACACTCCCTTGCGGCACCCCAGCTTTTATTTCTTTCAGTTCTGAATAATCATCTTCTTGTCGTACCTACCCTAAACATTCTTTGTGTTAAGTATGACTCAAGGATATTTGAAAATTGACGAGGCAGTAGTTTCTTTAATTTATAAACAAGTCCTCGGTGCCACACTTTGTCAAATGCCTGAGCTACATCCAGAAAGACCGTGGAGCAGACTTTTTGTTCTTCTAGTGCTTTTTCTATATTATTTGTAATTCTATGAACCTGCTCTATGGTAGAATGTTTTTCTCTGAAACCAAATTGGTAATCCGGTATGAGCTGCTTTTTGGCAATAATAGGGTTAAGACGTTTGAGAAATAGTTTCTCAAATAGTTTCGCTATAACAGGTAACAGTGAGATTGGTCTGTAAGACGTTACTTCGTGTGGTGGTTTTCCTGGCTTGGGAATCATTATAACTTCTGCAACTTTCCACATATTGGGAACATATTGAAGTCGAAATGAGGCATTAATTAAGGTTGTCATTTTAACTACGGCTTTACGGGGAAGGTGCTGTAATACCTCACCCGTAATTAAATCAAAACCTGGCGCCTTATTTTTAGTCAAACGTTTAATTTCACTGAAAACTTCTTTTGGTGTGACTAGCCGGATGTTTAGCTCTTCTGGCGATATTTCCCCGAAGTCAAGTAAATCTTCTTCATCGATTTGAAATATATTTTCTAGATGTTCAGCAAACCTCCTAACTTTTTGTATGTTACTTGCAGCCCAATTCCCATCAGACTCTCGCAAGGGAGGAATATGTGTAGTAGGTTTTTTGATATTTTTTATCGCTTTCCAGATGGAGTAATTGGTGGAACCATCAGAAGTAAATTGGTTTAGGTATCTCTTTATTGAAGTATCTTTATGTTTTGTAATCTCCCTCCTCAGTTGTTTAGTGAGGTTATTCAGACGTTTTTTGTCTTCAGGACATCTTGTGGAATGCCACCTTTTTCTTTGAGCTCGTTTTGTCTTTATCAGATTTTTAATCTCTTCTGGGAAGTAGTTGTTTTGTACTTTTATCTTAAATTTTGGAGTATTGCTCCAAGCAGCTTGCTGGATGTTCTTTGTAAATTTATTTACTTCTAATTATATTTGTTCCTCAGTCTTTAAAGGTACTCTTCGGTCTACCATATTCTCAAGATAAATTTTGAAGCTGTCCCAGTCCGTATGTGGGTTGACGAGAGATGGATTCAGTTTTCGCTTTATAGGGTCTTCGCCAATCGTGAGTAAGATTGGTGAGTGATCAGAGTTCATATCATAGGCTTCCTCTATTTGGAGCACATTTGGTGATACTTCTCTAAATATGAAGAAATCTATAAGATCTGGTATTTTATTCTTGTCTGTTGGCCAGTATGTAGGCTTTCCTGTCGAAATTGCATCACATCGCAAATCTTTCATTGCATTAAACAGTTCTTTTCCTTTAGTCGATATGAGTCTTGATCCCCAGTAGGTATGTTTTGCATTAAAGTCTCCTCCCAACACAAATCTATTTCCAAGACTTTCTAGCAGGGTTTTGTACTGGTCGTACTTAAGTGCATGTCTTGGTGGGCAGTAGATAGATGATATTGTTAATGGAAACCGCTTCATTGATAGGCTCACAGCAACAGCCTGAATGTGCTCTTTTTCGTATTTGAAGACCTCATGGTGTTTTAAACTGTCCTTTATTATAACTGTACTTCCCCCACTGGATTTATTGCTGGGATGAAGGGCATGGTAGGTTTTATATCCATTAAGTTGAATGTATGACTCCCTGGTAAAATGTGTTTCCGATACCAAGCAGATTTTAATGTTTTCATGTTTTAGAATTATATGGAGTTCTCTTTGGTGTTTTAAAAGCCCATTTGCATTCCATGCCATTATTTTTAAAGACATCATTGCTTAAGACGTTTAGAAGCTGCTATTTTGGTGCCGCTTTCTAGTTTTTTAAGTCTTTCATCAAAGGATGTCAATAATGAAAGTATGGTGTTAATCTTTTCATCTATGCCTGTGTTAGCTGTCTCATTTTGTTGTGTTGAGGAAAGAGTTTACCTTTAGTTACCTGAGCAAAGGAAACAGTTTTTGACACTAATTTTGCTGGTTTTACAGATTTGCCCGTTTCAGTCTTTGCTTTTGATTTTAAGCCGTTTCTGATTTTCTGTAATTCTTTTGCTACTACACAGCCTCTGTAATTAGCTGGATGTGCCTCACCACAGTGCACACACTTCGGTCTCGCGTCTCGTGGCTTGTTGCAATCAACAGTGAGATGTTTTCCAGTACATTTTACACACCTCGGCTCCTTGGAGCAGTATTTCTGTGTGTGCCCATAAGCCTGGCACCTCTTGCATTGGGGAATCAATTTAGGCGATTTCAGTGGCTGTATTTCAATTTTGCAGCCTAGTATCGATTTTATTTCATAAATATTTTTTATGTTTTCTTGATGGTGGAAAGAGAGAATGAATATGTTAAGCGGTTTCTTGTTTTTCCAGCTATATTTGACGGCTGCGTCTAAAATTTTAAACCCTTGGAGAATGAGGTCTTCAACAATCCTTTCTGGCTTGCAAGAAGCATGCAGATTTTTTGCCATTACTCTTATTGGCCTGCACTGCTTGTTTTCATATGAGAACCACGAGGCATCTTCTTCTTTAAGATGCTTTGTGATACATCTGAAGGTATCTTCACTGTTGGTGTTAATCTTCACCGATCCATTTCTGAGCATTTTCACGGTAAAAGAGTCTTTTTTTATTTCTTTTTTAAGTAAAGCATCGTAAAATGATTGGTATTCAGTCACATTTTCGACAACATTTGGGGGTGGAAGGGGTTCCTTTTTGGGCTTTTCTTTTGTTACTTTATTATTAGTAACTTCTTTCATGGGGGAAGGGGAGGTGTTTAGTTCCTCTGCTATCCTTTTCTTTCTGCTTTTTTGTCGCACCCATTCTGTTTCTTTTACCAGTTCTTCTTCGTCCGTCTCATACTGAATTGATTCAGCGACTGCCACGTCCCCTTGTGTTAAGGGCTGGTCTACTTTTCGTTCTAGCTCAGCGATTCGCTCCTTGAGTTGATAGACAATAGCTTCCAGGTCTGAGCATCGGGCTCTTTCCTTTTTAAGTTCACCAACAAGTAATTTCTCGTAATGGGTTTTAATTTCTATAACATTTGGAGATGCCATCATAAATATAATATAATAATTAAAATTATAAAGACAAAACCTCGCTTTAATTCATTACACAATAACAAATACTAGGTCAACGATTCATCGTAACGCGACCGCGGCGCTGCGTCAGCGCATTGCACTTTTTCGAACACAATAATTAATACGCGACGTTTCTAACCGAAATGAAAACAACAACAAGTTGTATATGATTTAATAACTGTTACTCTGTAACACACCCACTCGCCCACACATACACACACACGCGCGCACACACACCCAGAGACAGAGACACACACACGCGCGCGCGCACACACTCACACAAACACACACCCACACAAACACACACCAAATTTATTTTTACGACTCCGTTTGCAATATTTTCTTTTAGCACTTACTTATTTTCTTCTATTGTATCTTATGACAATGACCTAATTGTACGTGTTCCGATCCGGTGGTGGAGAGGCTGGCTATCTGTCACTAAGGTCTCCTGTTACAGAGACCAGTCCCTCACATACACTTCCTAATTTTATCATCTTAGTTTAACCATAATAACCTTGTATGTATATGTGAGAGAAGAAATAAAGATTATTATTATTATTCTATTTTTGATAATTTGTGTTCTATGATCCATTTTCACGTGATTGAATTATTCTTTTAACTGGAGTAAGCCAAGTACAAATTTGTTGTAATTAATTAAATAATAATTCTTAGTTTGCATCACAAATCCTGTCTAATTTTTTGTTTAGGATTAAAAACATTGAGGAAAACATGTTGGATGCAACATTCAAGGACATGGAAGGATTTGCGCAGTTTTACTCGTACGTAAATGAAGACGAACTTCGAAGTACCACGGAAATGGTGTTCCTACCCACGTTAGTGCAATCGGCTGCTGTGGTAAGTTTACATTTATATAATTATATTATAATAAATGCTGGTTAAAATTCGAATATACTCGTTTATTAGGTCAACGAACTCGTAAACGACGAAAAGTCAAAATAATTTTCATATAGGTAACAGAATGTACACTTATGAACGTAAAAAAAAAAAATTTTTTTTTAGTGTCAGTCAGTTTTACTTATTCAGAAAGTATTTGAATAAGTAAAACTGACTGACACTAAAAAACTTTCGTGCACTAATAATATTGTATTAAAATTTGAAGTCTCTTCACTAAATTCAAATTTCAATATCTATACTTATATACTTAATATTATAAAGAGGAAAGGTTTGATTTTTTGTTTGTATGAAATGAATAGGCTGCGAAACTACTGAACCGATTTCAAAAATTCTTTCACCGTTGGCAAGCTACACTATTCCCGAGTGACATAGGCTATGTTTCATTTTCAAAAAAATTTGGGATGCTTACTAACACTTGAATAATCTAACCCAAGGTGTAAAAAAAAAACAAAAACTTCCTTCAATCGTGTGCGCTGCGAAAACTATTAATGATAGAACAAATTGATCTATGACAATTTTTCAGGACACATCACTATCTATAAAAAAAGTCGCGACAGCATGTCTCTATCTTTTATAGTTACGTCAAAATCAGCGTCCTTTTATTAATTTTTGAAGTGAAACTTCTTTATCGGGGTTGGAAAAAAATTTAGTGTAACATTTTTCGGTTACGCGTCACATGTTTCGGTTACGCGTCAGTGTCACATTTGACCGTTACGCGCGTCTTTTTCTTGTCCCTACCACGGTTGATTCAAAGAGATTCTAAACCATTAATAACAAAAATTTATAATAACTATAACAATGATACTAAAAATTCTGTTACAATTTATGAAATTCTGTAATAATCTTAGTGGTAATAAGGTAAAATGAAATAATTGTATTTGTATTCATGTCTATGATAATAAAAGCCTTTTGTTAAACTTTATCTAATTTAACTTTATTTAACCAATTTCGTTAAGTTGCATATAGTAGATCATTTTTCGAAAAATAAGGTCATAAAGAAGTTTCACTTCTTACGTGTGTACACCTAGTACACGCACACATTTTTTTTAAATTAAATTACCACCGCTAGAATAGGCTCTTTATTCGTACCTAGGTATTGATCCTTATCAAAATAATTACCAACGTTTCACATAAGCTACAATTTATTGGCATAACCACCAAAAAAGCATGGTGGATTAGTGTTCTCCTGCCGTTTCCCTTGAATAGTTTACTACTATGTAATATAACAAAAATCTTAGCCACAGCAACGCTTGACCGGGTCTACTAGTATAATATAATTATGGGAGCTAAAATAGTAAATAAAAACATTTTTTTTGACAGATGGATGACGAGTTCGACGCGAACCAGAATTTCATATGTCTGATACCAGGTTTGGAAGGTCACAATGGAAGATTCGAACTCTTGGCTGAAAGACTGAAGCTGTTCGCTTTAGTACTGCAGCCGGGTCTTGCGCATCCTGATGAAACTCCTCAGGAAATGGCAGCTAGATTTGCAAAGGTGACTTTTTGAAGTGAAACTTCTTTATCGGGGTTGGAAAAAAATGTAGTGTAACATTTTTTCGTTACGCGTCACATTTTTCGGTTACGCGCCATGTTGCTTTTTGAAGTCAAACTTCTTTATCGGCGTTGGAATGAAAGTTCTTTATCGACGTATGGGAGAAATTTTGTAGCAAATCGTCACGTTTTTCGGTTACGCGCCATGTTGCTTTTTGAAGTCAAACTTCTTTATCGGCGTTAGAATGAATTTTTTATCGACGTATGGGAGAAATTTTGTAGCAAATCGTCATGTTTTTCGTTTACGCGTTATCTTTTTCTTGTCCCTACAACGGTTGATCCGAAGAGATTTGAAGCCATTAATAACAAAAATATATAATAACGATAACAATGATAGTAATAATTCTATTACAATTAATGAAATTCTGTAATAATCTTAGTAGTAATAAGGTAAAATGAAATACATAATTGTATTTGTATTCATAAAGAAGTTTCACTTCTTACGTGTGTACACCTAGTACACGCACACATTTTTTTTAGTTGTATTCATAGTAATGTCTTCAATATAGATATTTTTGCGATGTCTTTGGATTTTTCTTTGGGTAGTAAAGAAAAATATCGTGAGGAATGTCTGGATAAATTTCAGCGTCGAGACTTCGAGCTAACTATGACTTTTGACGATGAGTTTTATTTAGCCCCAAGTTCGACTCTGACCCTTACAAAATCGATTGTTTGTAAAAAGGAATAATTATTGTAACAGTTGTAGTTACTGTAAACTCTTCCAGTTAAACTAGAATATTCTTTTTTTACAGGTTCTAATTAAAAGAACTGGTATCAACGGTCACTTCTACCTTCTCGGGTATGAGACAGGAGTCATAGTAGCGCTTGAGATGGCCAAAATTCTTGAGGAACAAGGTAATTTTCGGGTGTATTTATTTCAACGTACATAAACTGTATAAGATTATAAAATAAGGAACAGCGTTATTGATCTATGTACGACTGCAGATTATTCAGTATCTAATCCCGGTCTATCTAACAGAACAGTAACCTCTTACATTGTCCTTTATTCATTCCCAAGGTTTAAAGAATTTTCCGAATTCCGGAGTTCAGGCACCTCTCATTCAAATCTTCGCGAATCTAACATAATAAAACACTACCTATCCAGAGCTTGAGCTTCAGTAGTGGGCTGAGCAATTAAAAAGGATAACATTGTTAAGTAGTCCCATACATAATGCACTGTTTTGTCTAAAATCTATTGATTGAGGAATTGGAAGTGTAATATTATTGTTTACGTTTACCATAATTGTCATATATTTTAGATGAAACAGCGTGTAACACACTAGGACCCACGTCCCATAGGGGGTCAATTTGATCGTTAAGAGGGGCAATCTCAAAATGGACTCGACGTTGTTTTGAAAATTTACTTACTGTGTTTCGTTAACAATTTCCTAGTGATTTCTTCCTTGAACCATTTAAAGTTTCTTAAGGACCTATCCGGTCGCCAAACTCCAAAAAAGTACATTGTTTCTTTCCATTTTTCGTCATCGTTTCTTGAAGTAGGGCGAATGGCAAAAATATATGGTGGAGTTGAGTAGTTTATGTATCCATTTTGAAAGATCGATACACGATTTAAATAACTTCGCTCGATAGAAAAAAAATCCAAACATAGCCAATTTTTGACACTTTGAATTCATTTATAACGAAAATGTACATAGAATATGATTTTGAAATGTATATGATATATTTTAGCGCAAGCCAAGTAGTCCATTTCCGATTTTTTTTTTATAAAATTACATTATATAACGTTTTACATAACTAATTGTTATTACGGGCCGGCGCGCCTCAGTGCTCCAGCACTCCTCTGCGCACCGCAGTCCACCCCGAGACACTGACACGGCGATTCGTGCTGGGATAGGGCCTTAAGTGAACAAACTAAGTGAACTGGGAAACACTGCAGTGTTACATAAACTGTAGATATATCATTATATATTACGTGGTGATAAATAAATATGAATAAATAAAATAAATCCCGATGGTAAATAAAAATATGCCAATTTACAAGATAAGAAAATCTTCCGTGTTTGAACAACTCGTGTAGTCACGTGAAGCACTCATGGGCACTAGCATTTTATTTCACGGTATATCATAAGTATAAGGACTTTGTCAATGTCGGCACATTAAGTATTCAATTAATTTTTTCAGATCTAACGGGTACTGTATTCTGCTTGGGTGGAACTCCTGAAGATATCGTATCAGAAATCAACCACGTTCTTGGCCAATACAAGTCCCAAGAAGACCTACAAGATGACCTTATCAGACACATGCTGCGAATGAACCTAAGCGATACAACGGTTCAGATAGAGTTCAAAGGCACATGGGAGGAGAAAGTGTCCTCATACGTCCACAACCTTATAGGAAAAGTGCCTTTGTCCTCACAATACAATCGAGACTACATAAAATGCGCGTACACACGGATAAAGCAAATCCAAAATTACAAAGTCCAAGCTACTCCCCTGAAATCTCAAGTGATATTCCTTAAGGCGAAATTGGCAGTGGAATCAAGTGATTCGCTACAGAAATATTCTGAGAAACCCGTTATTGTCTACGATTTGGAGACTTCATTGGCGAATGTGGCTAGAGATTTGCGGTGCACGGCGATTGTTAATCGTCACTTGGAGCCGAAGGTTTTGCAAGACTTCAACGAGGCCAACCTTTGTTTTACCTACACTATGAAGACCACAGATTGATTTTGTTGTTTAAGTAAGAAGTGGTGTATTAATGGATTAAAATTTTCTTGCATTTGATAATTTGTTTCAATTTTGGTATGTTATTAACATAAAATTAGTCAACTTCCTGAATTTTTTTGTATAAATTTATAAAGATTATCTGATTTAAGTATGAAAAGTAATTTTTTTTACACTAATTTTCTTTCGCATTTTTTAGGTTTTTCTAAAACTAAATTTATTTTTAGACCAGTACATCAGAATCGCAGAACAGTAATTTGGGGTTGCAAAGTATTAAATAAAAATATAAAAAGCCTTTTATTTCTTGCAAAATCAAACTCAACTTTATAAACTAGTTTTGACTAATTTTTATCTGTACTAAATAAATAATATATTTTATAATTAGTTTGCAAGAACCCCTCCGCAGTTGAAGGCCTCCTCCAAGGATTTTCAGCGATCTCTGCGACTGCTTTACGACTGATTTTAGCGCAACCGCCGCTGTGAAACCCGCTGTGTGAGTTCGAAAAGTGAGTTACAGAATGTCAAGGCTGGGAACATCATAACTGCTAGTTAAAACCAAATCACCCTTGTAACGCCTGCCTAAACGAATACGTTTAACAGCGTAGGATAACATACGTATTACTATAAATGATAAAGTCGAATTAGAAATCGAATTAGTCGACATTTCGTGATGTCATATTTTCTTCTATAATTTTATGCATACACGTTGTTTTAGACCTTATAAAAAAGGATTGTATGGTTTTATGAAACCACGGTAAAAGTGAAACTTTTTTTCACATTATAGACATTTAACTAAAATTTTTTGGAATAATATTCCATTAAGGGTATAAAAATCGCTTTATCAATCTTAATTTTATACTTGGAAAATTGGAATGATAATGGGAAATAATAAAATTAGACTTAGTCTATAATATTACTTGGAGACTAAGTCTCCAAGTAATATTTTTATTGAACTCTATGTCTTAGAGAGTACGACATACATAATACTTATTTAGATTATATACACATATTAATAACAATAATTTAGATTATATACACATATTAAATAATGGTCTATACACTACACGGTCAGCTGCTGCGAACTATAGGCGCCGCCATATTGGCCTTGGCTGCTATGACGAGCGCCTTTCACTTTATCCCTACTCCGCGGCCGACCGTCACGCGACATGCGGCACAGAGACGAAAAAGTCTGAGACGATGTAATAAAAGTTTCACTTTAATAAATAGATTCCTGTATCTACAAATTGACGTTCGGTCTTTTTAGGTTTCTCATCCAGCAGACGCAAATTGATTTCATATGTTAAGATTAAGAAGTGTTTGCCTGTGTTATAGCTTGCTTAAATTCCAGTCCACGACAGTAAACGTCGCGGACGCTGGGAAGAGAGCATAACTTCATAAAGTAACTAGTAAGATCGTAATGAAACGCCTAACCAGGTTATAATTTGAGGGTCGACAATTTCTTATTAATATTTTCAAAATTTTTATTCTGTTTGTAGAAAAAAACGACACTAACAATAGAAAAATTAAGTTTTAATTTTTCAACATATAAAAATGTGGATAGAAGTTGGTATGGTGTTTGTTGCTATGGTTTCGATATTTGTTTTTATATAAAATCTAGCTAACCCGGCAAACGTTGTTTTGCCATGTATATTATTTCTAGGAAACATTTTTTCAGTTCAATAAAAATAACTATCTACTAAATTAAATAAATAGGATTTAATCGTAGAGGGGTGAAAGTTAATGGTTGTATGTATTTTTAATGCCACAATAAAAAAATAAAAACAAAAAAAAAATCTACAAAATTTAATAAGAATCGGTCGAGCCGTTTCGGAGGAGTATGGGAACGAACATTGTGGCACGAGAATGTTATATATTAGATAATGGTAACCCTGTTAACAAATAATAATATATTTATCCAAATAAATGAGATAGTTGGTTTCAATAGTTTAAGTTTTAAAAGTAATACTCAGTTTCGTGTATATTTGTCTTTATTATATACAAATAATTAATATCAATTCCACATTAATTTTGTATCCTTGGTTAATCATAACTTATATATAAAATTCAATTCTACATTTATCCCGCTTTAAATTAATTCAAACCAGCAAATGTGTTATTATTTCTACTTAATATTAATAATCTTCACCAGAACTAGCCTTGCAACTGTATGTAAAGCAAAGATTGGTTCTGTTAAAAGCTTGCAGAATTTCCTCATCTAAATGCCTATTAACAATTGCCGTACACTGCAAATCTTTAGTCACATTGGCCAAAGAAGTATTCAGTTCATAAACAATCACAGGTTGTTCAGAATAGTTCTGGAACGAATCACAGAATTCAACTGAAACTCTGGATTTCAGGAATATGACCTGAGATTTTAGGGGTGTAACTTGGACTTTGCACTGTCGGATTTGCTTTATCCGGCCATATGCGCACAAGACGTAGTCTCGGCTGTATTGCAAAGATGAAGAAACTTTTCCCGTGAGATATTTGATATATGAAGATACTTTTTCCTCCCAGGTGCCTTTTAGCTCAATGTTGAAACTATCATTACCCAAGTTCATTCGTAGCATGTGTTGTATTAATTCATTTTGTAGTTCTTCTTCGCTCTTATATTGGTTAAGAATATGATTGACTTCCGCCAGAACATGTTTAGGTCCTCCACCCAAACAGAATACAGTTCCCTTGAGACCTAATAAAAAAGATTTCCTTTTAATAAAGTAAGTAAATATTGAACTAAAACTCAAAAAAACTTTATTATTATACTTATGAACGAGAAGTTATACTTCTTTGGCATTATTAAAAATAGTTTTTGATTGCATGCAAATAATTAATTACAATTAAATAATGAAAGACTGGAAAAGGAGTCATTATAGTCAATAAAGTTCAGTTTACATTTGAAAAATTAAATAAATAAATATTAATTATTATTCTCTTACATTAAGTGTAACATAAATTCTATTATTATTCGAATGTTGTTTTTAAATTATGTCCGATGCCGTAGCATCTTCCGTGGGCAACTTCATTCTGTTAATTTTGTGTCACGGTGCGCGCGCGTCGTAAAATTTCACTCTCATGAATTTTTCATAACGCGCCTAAAGAAGTATAACTTCAAAAAGTTAAATTAATCGTAAATTTACATTTACTACCAGTTCGCAAGACAATGGCGTAGAGCGGGCAAGATTGTAATCGGGTCTGATGAAAAGATTTCCTTGTACAGTGTATAGTGTTTTTATCAAATACTCCAAGAGAGAGTAATATAAGTGTAATACTTAAATTACACTTATATTTGCAAAGTAAATATACAGAAATAAAATTAGTGTTTACCATGTTCCTCGAGGATTTTAGCCATTTCTAACGCCACTATGACACCAGTCTCATATCCCATTAGATAAAAGTGACCGACAGTACCAGTTCTTTTCATCAAAACCTAAAAATAGGATAGCAATGAGTAAACATTTAAAAATATTCCATTAACACGTCTTTATCTTGCTATAATAAACCCTTGACACTAACCCCAGCAAATCTAGCTGCTAACTCCTGCAGTGTTTCATTTGGATGTGTCAAGGCAGGTTGGAGTACTAACGCTAATAACTTGAGTCTCTCACATAAAAGTGTGAATCTTCCATTGTGTCCTTCCAGACCTGGTACCACGCATAAGAACTTTTGGTTTACGTCAAATTCATCATGCCCCTGTGTTGTTAAAAATAGTTACATATTAGTTCATACTAAGGCTTGAAGAATTGATAATATTTCATGAAAGGATCATATCGCTGAATCGTATAGACATAACACTTATTACGAAACACACACACACAGAAACACAAAATAATAAAAAGAATGAAAAATCTTTTTTTTTTCCTTTAAAGAACAAGGTACATTTTAAGTGTGCAATGTGTGCTGTGACTGTAACTGGCCCTGGCTCAGCATAATGCTGAGGAGCAGACTGTTCCACAGCGCTGGTCATTCTGCCAGAGACCACAACAGCTAGTTTGCGCCTCAGACGCAGAGAAAATGAATGTAGTAATAATAATATTTAATAACGTAATAATAATAATTGTTAAGAAATAGATAAATAAATATTTTCGGGCGGCATAAAAACTAGATTTCATGGTATTTTGAAATGTTCTTTTAGTTCTAGTTCCTTTATAATTGCGACGATAATTTAATTTTAGTTGTATAATATGACTTTGTCTTTTAACGTTATTAGCAATTAATAACTTACCATATGAATCGATTTCAATAATGTGGGAAGAAAAACCATTTCCGTAGTACCATGAAGTTCATCGGCATCTATCGGTGAGTAAAAACTTGCAAAACCTTCGACCTCCGTAAATGTCAATTCTAAAAGACTTTCTTCAAGTTTCTTGATCCTGAAACAAAACTATATTATAGTGTTTCTTAAAGAGACAATTATAATAATGGAACAGAACATACCGGCTTATGGTAAGATCTGGTATCTCCTCTTCAGACAGTATGACGTGATACTTATCGCGCAAGTGCGCTCTCACTGGAATCAGTGCGATTGAGTCCTTGCAGAACTCCTTAAGAGTTAGGGTATTCATAAGATTTGTTGGTAGATAAAATTCTGAAAACAAAGTATCATCTGTACCGACGAAATAGTTTCTGAATGTTGTCGTAACCTACATCAAAAACTGAACATAATTTTTCCATGATTTGTTTATGGCCTACGTGCCTTTCTGTTTTTTGCGGGACTGGAATCCCGAGCTCCTTTTGAATTCAATTCACTAATTATTTATTCATATAGGTAACAAAATGCACACATATGAACGTCAAAAAATAAAATATAATTGCGTCTAATTTTCCATTTATTGCCAGTTCTCAAATCAAGGGCTGTTCAGATTTCATCATTTGAACATGAACGAACTGCTGACATGGATTCGATGTGTGCTAAATATTAACAGCTGAAGAGCAATTTTAATTATATTTTATTTAAATTTTAATCAGCTGTTGAGTCAGATCATATGTGTTCCATATTTTAATAGCTGAGGTTGCGCGATACACCAACAGCTCACTAGAAAAATATTATGTATGTGTGAATAGGTGTAATTAGTATTTAAGATATTGTTTTATAACAATAAATCAGATTTGAATATTGCTTTGTCTTGTTCATTTCTCGCTTCCTCTCAAAGTGGCGAAGACTACTTCAAGCCCTTAATTATCGTGGTGAGCCTGCCCGGTAGCTTTGAGATAATCCCACTACCTCGAACCTTTGATCCTACCCGTAGGGCTCCGTCTGTTACCTTAGGTCTCTTGGTGCAGACATCCCGTACTTATTTATATATTTATATATTCACTATTTATGTGTTAGGGTACGTCTGTAGGGCTTAGGGATCCGTAGGGTTGTTAGGTTCTTACGTCTCACCCTCTCATATATTTAGTCATTTAGTGCAGCTTGCTTATACATACATTACATTTACTATTCAGATACTCCTGACATTAAATACATATAAATCTTAAACACACTTTCCACAGTCCACTAAATAGCAAGCTGTTCAAGGGCGTAGAACGGAAGAGAAGAACTGGCAATAAACTCTCTGTCACTCTTAATCGCAAAGTTTTTTGTTTTACACAATGTTTGTAAGGAGCTGCAACTGCATCATGTTACACATGACATCTTAAGTAATTAATAATAATAAAATAAATTAAAAACAAAGATTTGTGCAGGAGACATGGTGAAATAGGAGCTCGCACTTACATTCTCGTGAGAACAACACACAAATACATAGTCGAAATAACTAATATCACCATCACCATCATACAAGAATTCAAGTCCGACCAGTCACCACATGTAGCACCCGTTCACGAGTATGACGCATGGCCAGCCATCGGCCCCCTCGCCATATTTTAGAGAGACAACCCGATGCATGGACGCCGCCACCTTGATAGTATACATCCTCTGTGCTACTAAGTAACAGAGGCTGTTTTAGTTTTGTTAATATCATCAAACATCAAACAAACATCAACATCAAACGTTTAGTTGTTTAAAAACTGCTCACACTCCATTATAGCATTAAAATCTTAAGATCCTTATAAAATATTTATTGAGTGACCTTTAATCTTTTTTAACGAATATAATCAACAGAAGCACTTAAAGAAGCAAAAGACTTACTAGCAATATTAGCGAGTTCTTCTAACAAATAATTCTCCTTAGGAAGCTCATATACCAGAACCACAGGTTCTTTGGATTTCAAACCTTGTTCCAGTACTTTTAGCATTGGCTTTATTGATAATGCACCTTGCTCCTACAAAATATGTTTAAAACCGTAAATAGTTAAATTATATTATATATACCTACAATGTGATCAAAGCTCAAGTTATTTAAAAAGCCATTACTGCTGCTAAGAATTTGGTTTGAAGTAAGTAAGTTCGTGAAAACGCATAAATTAAGCAACCTTATGTTAACTTCGTTCGATAATTCAGATTTTTTATTTCTAAATTCATTTATTTCTTTTTAGTATTATGAGTTGATATGAGTTTCCATTTAAGAGCAGTGTTGGCCTAGTGGGTTCAGCGTTCGACTCTCATCCCTGAGGTCGTAGGTTAGGTCTAGCAACAATGGACTTTCTTTTTATGTGCGCATTCAACATTCGCTCCATGAAGGAAAACATCGTGAGGAAACTGGCTTGTCTTAGACCCGAAAAGTCGATGTCGTGTGCAGGGCACAGGACTGATCACCCACTTGCCTATTAAATTGACAAATGATCATAAAACAGATACAGGAACCTAAATCCCAGAAACAAAAAGGTTGTCGCTACACTGATAAAATTCGCAAACTTACCGTTTCAAGTGCTCGTGATTTGATAATTGTTAAGTTTGGATAATGATCAATTGGTGATCTTATTTCGTCATCACTGATATTATTACCCACATCAATAACGGCAAGGTGTCTGAGTTCAATAAAAAAATCGTATTATGAGGATTGTTTACATAATTTCAATTGTTTTACTGATATCATTACTGATATTTATGTTTTCAAAATAAGAATATGGAGAAGAAATCGAAATCCTGTTACTGCCCGATAGACTGATACAATCATATATAACCAACGAGAGTATTTAAATCGATAACTCAGATGCATTTGAACAAAATTAGGCAAACAAAGGCGTATCCCTAGTGCCTACTAAGAGCGCATTTAATATGGAAGATGAATTTACAAGAGCGCAGGTTTATTAAAAGTGCTGGCCACTATCACCATTGCGTCCATGTGCAACGTACACTCTGCATCATAGGTAAAGCCACATCAGCATGAACAAATCACTTACTTGAGATTTGGGACTAAGGTTTCTACGACTGATATTAAATTGTTTAAATACTTAGTAACATCAGTGTTCTTCTGTTGTTTACAGACAATCGTGTATATCACCTCGATTTCCCCCAAAACTCTACTTTTTTTAATGAGAATATCACAATAATTTTTGTTCCAGAGTCCTTGTCTGTCGATTACTGAGTGTACTCCAGCCCTTTGCCACGATCTGGAAACAAACGTTTTTGTCGATATAAATAGTAATAAATAGTATACAAGCTGAATTTCACTTTTATTTTTTACTTAAGAAAAATAATTCTATTTTTGATTATTATTTTCGGTAAAACAAAAATACATAAATACAAAGCATACAAAAATACATACAACCCTTATTTTTTATTTGTTAATTAAGAAATTATAACTTGAACTCTGAGGTTTATATAAAGAAAAATCACAGAAAAACCTAAAAAGTTTGTAATCCGGAAAACCGAACCGTCTCTAGAGTAGCATAGCAAAATTTTCCATGTTGGTATGTACCAAAAAGATAGGCATTAAGGAGAAACGAAGTTCGCGGGGGCAGCTAGTAATAAATATTATTTAAAGAATGTTTTACAAAGTCTTTACCTCTGTTTAACGAGAAAGGCGTTAGAATAAGGCGCCTGAATGTATAGTTGTTTAGCTCCTTGTGTGACCAGCCCATCAGCCAGCTGTATCGCCAATACATCGTCGTCTGATATGATCAAATTGCATGATTCAGGTGATATTTGGAGCCTGAAAATTCAAGATAATACGTAAATATACATTTGATAATGTGTTAAATAAAAGCATTAGAGATATAGTATTTATTGTTACCTGGGTTTAACATCAGGAATGGGCTGCTGCATTTCAAGAAGCACTCGTCCGCGATGTCTACTTGCAGCCAAGAGACGGAAGGCCCGAGAGACGTCACTGGGCGGGAACGATACACGGGACAGAGGACGCACGTAGCCACGCGCTATTCCTTCGCTTACGAGTACTTGCAAGCGCTGGAAATATTATGACTACATCTTGTAGATGTGAAACCAACCTTTCCACGAGTTATTCAAGGATAGGCGAAGTCACGTATAAAACTGAATCCATTTCTTATAAGGAATGAAAGTCATGACCTGTTGTTGAGTGATATCGCCGCACATGAACACTGCCTAGAGTCTCGGGAATCGTCGAATTGTCGATGGGTATTTCTATTATAGTAACATTTTTATTCTCAAAATTCTGTCCCGTAATAAGTATACAAATAAAATATAAAATAAAATATAAATTTTAGTTGAATAATTTGTTAAAATTTTAGTTAAATAATTTGTTAAAATTTAAGTTGAATAATTTGTTAAAATTTACCTTCATATCATTTTCATTGTCAAAAATACCGCGTAGATCAATGGTGGCATAAGAGCGGCATTTTGTAAAGTGATTCATTCCCAGGAAAAAGTTTTCATGTTCGTGTAATAGACTAGCATCGTAATAGACCCCGTATTCGCCCAGACATCTAATTGACACCTGGAAATATACGAAATTTTGTCGCCGAACTTTTTTTTATATAAGGTTTCGTCTGGCCAAAAGATTCAATAGCCAAATAATATTTAATAAATGAGTTTTCCAGAAGAAATTAATTTCTAATTCATGTCTTTACTTTACGTGTTATATTTCTGATAATATTTACCCATTCTGGCTAATGTGATCTTATTATAGGATATTTTATTTAATAGGGCTCTTATTTTGGACCAAACCAACTTGGTTTAAAGTTTCACAAAGTTCTGGTTTTTTTTATAGAACATGGGGCAAACGGCCAGGCGTTTCATCTGATGTTAAGTGATACCGTCGCCCATGGACACTCTCAATATCAGAGTACTCGCGAGTGCGTTGCCGGCCTATTAAGAATAGCTACGCTCTTTTATTGAAGGACCCTAAGTGGAATTGGTTTGGAAATACATTCTTTCTAAACGTACATTCTTTAACTCCTTATTTGCGCAGCTGATGATGATTTCGCAACCCCTACCGTTCGTAGCTGACATCACCATGTCTCCAAAGGTGTGGTCTCGGGAGTTACCGATATGGTCCTCTTAAAAAAAAACCTCAAATAAATTAAAACTTAGACGCTCCAGTATACGTAATCCCTATTCCTTAAAGTATTTTTGAAGTTCCTTAAATACGGTTGTTACATTTTTCTATCCTAGTTTTGGGATAATAAATATATTTTCAATGGTGCTACAACCTCTTTAGGTCTGGGCCTCAGATTTCTGTATCTGTTTCATGATCATTGGTTAATCTAATAGGCTAGTAGCGTAGTGGCCCACGCCGTCGACTTTTTGGGTCTAAGGCAAGCCTCACGATATTTTCCTTCACCGTTCGAGCGAATGTTAAATGCGCACATAGAAAGACAGTCCATTGGTGCACAGCTGGGAATCGAACCTACGACCTCAGGGATGAGAGTCGCACGATGAGGTCACTAGGCCAACAGTTTTGGGTTAATACTTTGTAAAATACCTTTCAATTGAGGGAAGAGTTTTCTAACGAATTGCTTCTTCGCCTGGTCACTGACCGTGGTAAAAACTTCACAGCCAAAGGCGAGTGCAATGGAGATTGTAGCTTGGCCTAATGCTCCTGTTCCACCATGAACTAGAATTCTCATACCAGGTACTAAGCGACTCCTGCTGGTCTGTTAACAATGGTTTTGGTTACATTTTATACTTCTATAATCTCTGAAAGATAAATTCAAGGAGATTAATATATTTTAATTATTTAATTATTACCTTTCATTCGCAATTTATTTATGAAAATATTATGTGTGTACCTATACAAAAATAGTGATAAGATAACTAGAATAGAACATACGCATAATGTTAATACTCGGAAGAAACGCAGGCTGCAATTTCCCCTTACTAGACTATTTAAAGTTAGTATATAATTAGTTTTTAGGAAAAGGGATACTTTTGTTTAATAAAATCCCAGAGGCTCTTTTATCTCTGCCTATTAATAAATTTAAGAAATGTATTAAAGGAAAGCTGTGTAAAAAGGCATATAATACTAGGCTGTTCTATAAAAAAAAATGAAAAAGATACTGATGCGATTAAGATATATTTGATTTATTCCAGTTATCTTATTTCTTGAATAGAAATATAATTAAATTAGACTATACAGTAAGACAAAGCACCTACCAAGCAGTAGAAGGCCAAACAGTAGGCCAAAGGCACGGTAGCGGCATCCTCAAGGGTCCAATGCGCAGGCACAGGCCATAATTGCTCACTCTTGGCTCGCACCATTTTACTCACGGAACCCGATTTAATAATACCCATCACACGGACTCCACTGAAACAGATATATCTTTTATAAAAGAGGAGAATGAAGAACTCTTGGGATATAATAAACAAACATCTAAGATTCGAAAATTGCTACATAAAATGGATCAAAATGACCTCTATAGTACATATAGTTAGGGGTTATGTTACTACCTACCTATATTTATATAAATAAACCATAATTAAACTTATTTTAACCAAATATTTTTTGCCTGTATATTTTACCAGGCGCTGGGAATTGTAATAACATTGTTCGATATCTTAATTCCATGATAGGTACAGCATCGAGGATGGAAAACCTAGGAAGAAGCAAATAGGAAGCAAAATATGAACTATGAAATAATCTATAATTCATTATAGTGAGTACAATAGGATAGGTGACCAGCCATTCTGACGTCAGAATGGACGGTCATTAAAACTGTTGTGGTTCTCCCAAGATACTAAGGAAGCAATTGTCTTGTAGTAGGAATCAAATAGAAGCAATTGGGAAGTAATTTTTAAACGACATTTTAACCTTTTACACGACTAGTGACCGGCCATTCTGACGCTCACTGATTGTTTCTCTTAAGATCTGATACATCCACAGAATTGTTACCTACGAAGTGGGAAACGAAAGAGAGGCAGGCAGAAAAGAAGATTTGAGGACGATATAAAAAACGTATCGGGTCCAATGTAATCCACTAGAGAACGCCATGATTAGACAAATATAGAAGAAACCTTTGTCTAATGACAAACTGTGATTTAATAAATACTACTTGTATATTAATCAACGTTTAAAATATCATACTTTTCAGTCACACCACTAAAGTCCATTCCAAACGTTAGGTCCGAATTAAAATCAACAGGTATCGCTCCCATGCACCTTTTTGCATCGAGGCTATTCAATGTAGAATAGTGTACCTGTTAACAATAAATAAACGCTAAATAATAATAATAATAATAATATTTATTTCTTCTCTCATATATACATTATACATATAAGGTTATTATGATTAAACTAAGATGATAACATTAAGAAGTGTATGTGAGACTGGTCTCTGTAACAGGAGACCTGAGTGACAGATAGCCAGCCTCTCCACCACCGGACCGGAACACGTACAATCAGGTCATTGTCATAAGATACAATAGAAGAAAATAAGTAATTGCTAAAAGAAAACATTGCAAACGGAGTCGTAAAAATAAATTTGGTGTGTGTTTGTGTGTGTGTGTGTATGTGTGAGTGTGTGTAAATGCGCGCGCGCACGCGTGTGTATGTCTCTCTCTCTGGGCGTGTGTGTGCGTGCGTGGGTGTGTGTATATGTGTGGGGGAGTGGGTGGCGGTTACAGAGTAACAGTTATTAAATCTTCTGTTTCATCATAACTCAACGTCTTCAGCCAAGTAGTAACCATTTTTTTACATTCATATTTAGATAGTGGGTAAATGTTAGGAAACCAAATAATCTTTTCGATAAAGAAGTTGTCCATTATGTAATACAACAGCAAACTTTATGTTTAATATTTACTAAGCTTTTGAGAAAAAAATCATTCAATTTTTAATCATCGTTTCACTACTAAACTTTTCATTTGACTTTATTGAAATACAGTATCCCGAGTAGAGATTTTTACGATAAAAGGCAGTGAGTTTGATTTAATTTTATGCACACCTCTACATCAATCCCTGCTCCCGAAAGCTCAGGGGCTTCAACCCAGGTCAATGAATCGATGTCTCCAATGTTAGAGGTCTGGAGTATTGCATTTCTCGTGAATTGCGCTTGACTTTCTACCGGCAGGTAGTATTTGCCTCCCAGGACGCCCTAGAGGAACAAATCAAATCAAATAGAGATTAAAGTAATATTAGAGTTAATATTATAATTATAATGGTTTTAATTACACGCAGTGTTTTACACCTCTCACAGTAGATCCAATTATATCACAAGTAGTAGATGAGGACACTCATGATTGTCGAGAGATTGCAAATAGTAAGTGAGGATAATGATACTTATTATTCAGAGCCACAAGGGTCTCACTACTGAATAAAAATTTAATTAAAAATAACAATATAATAAATCAATAAAAACTTACGTGATCCAATGTATTGAAAGTTAGATTTAGAGATGGTAGAGTTCTCAAACTCTTTTCTTTCAAACTTTGGTTTAGTTCCATCAAGAATATATTTTTATCGTTTCCGACGCTCACATTCCTCCGTTGTTGTACTAACTGTTTCAACTCTGAGATATATGGATATGTGGATACTATAACGAGGTTATGATTAGGAGGAAGTTGGGAAAGCCTGGTGTTTAACAAAGCAATATCCTTAGTAGACTGAACAGCGACTGTGCTAGAAATGGAACAGGATGGGGTTGGGCGCCAACGCAGCAGTTGGACTTTAGCATTAGAAGTGTTGTGCATTGACAATGGGCTGTAGAGAGAAGCCAATCTTTGTTTTGGTTCCGAGAATTCCTTGTTTATGATAAAGAAACCACGTGGAAGGATGTTATGTAGGGTTTCTGTAATCTGAAAACAAAACACATCTGAACGTTTTTACTATGGATTGTAAAAAAAATTGTTTCATTAAGTATATTTGCCATTTTTTTAAAGAAAAAGTTATTTTTGTTTTCTATTTATTTATTTGGTAACACTTGCAATGCAGAAACATTGTACAATTGACATAATTAAATGAAAAGAAGGGCAACTGGAGGCCTTATCGCTTTCGAGCGATCTCTTCCAGCGATTTCTTCTTCTTTCTCTCTCATCTATTTTTGTTTTAGTTAGACACTAAACTCACTAGAATAACTATTTAAATGTTAAACTAAATTATTGTAATATTTTGGTTTCTCTAACTTAAATTTCTAACCACTTTTAAAAAACTTACAGATTCCTGGAATGATAGGTCAGATAGAAGCAATACATGAAATTGGTTTTCAATATTGGTGAGTTTGTTAAGACTACTCTTTTCTACACATGCAAGGTTTACTTTGACCCCCGGAATCTCTCGAGTAATGGCTTTCAATTGACCAAACTTAGGGCCGGCCTCGTCAACAACTAATGCATGTATTGTGCTTTTGTTTAAATTTTCAGCTATTATTTGGAAGAACACCGAAAGCGCGGATGTTTCCTGTAATAAATGTACATTTCAATGTACCTATAAAGAAATAGAAAGATAGCTACTTTTTTGCTCCCATATCAACGTAGAACAGAAGATTCGGTTTAATTTAGTACAAATATAAATTAAGATCTATAGGTCCATAAATTTCTAAGATCAATTTATCTAATGGTGATATAACTATATGTTTTCTCATATATTAAATAGGATAAAAAACTCACATTACTTATTCCCTTAGGGAAATGAGGCACAAATTTGTTTACTTTTAAAGAAACATTCCCGTTGCTCGCTTGGAGAGAACGGAATCTGACATTATGAAGTGATACTCCAGGACACCTAGTAAATTAAACATTTTCCCTCTTATTTTTTCTTTAATAGTAAGGTTCTATCATTACATGAGAATCGTTGTTTTGGGATGAATAACTTTTCCTTCGTCACATTTCTACTTTGATTTCGTGGATAAGCAAGTTAGTCTAGGCGTAATCTTCTGTGCCTTCAATTATTGATTGGCCGGGAATCCAAATCTAGACACACTTCAATATCTTTTATTATAGAACGGGGTTCAGTAATACCGCCTCCCATGGACACTCTCAATTCAAGAGGGCTCGCGAGTGCGTTGCCGTTTTAAGAATTGGTATTCTTTTCGTGAACAACCCTAAGGTCATTTCAATCCTATAAGCGAGACAAACTGATGGAGATAAAGCAGAAGGAAATCACTACAATTCTTACCAAGAAACGTCTAGGGTATCCGAAACATAACCATCAACCAGAACTGAATTGTTATTATTAATTTGATCCGTCTCAATATTAAATAGTTCTTTTACATTCAGGTCAATTTGACGGATGTAATCCAACTCAGAAACGCCCGATCTTTGCTGTAGCATAGTTAATTGAAGTAAGCCGTCAATCAGCGTCACCCAATTATTTTTCCAGAGTATTTTAGCTTGATTAAAAGATGTGGCCGCATTTTTGATGCTTAAAAAGTCTCCGCTGAAGGTTTAATATGATAAATTATTAAAAAAGCTCAAATTTTTATGATAGGTATGGGGATTATTATGATTATATACTGATTGTTTATAAAACACATTAAAAAAAATTAGTTTAACCTATGTGGTAGGTATTCGAAATGAATGTAGTAATGATTATTCCTTACGAGAAATTATATTCCTTGGTCTTCAATAGTTTGGAGACATCCTCCGACGTTAAAATTAATTCTTCATTAAATTCTTCTTTAAACACCCCTCTTTCATATTTCCGAATTATATACCCAGATATAATTTCTGAATTGTCTGTAGTTACCTGAAGAAAAACAAAAATTAGACGCAGATACAGACCACGTGTTGCCCCATGACCGCTACCACCTCCTTCAATTATGAGCAGCTTAGCTTAAGTGAATGTAGTGATACTTGCAGTAGCACTTCATTAAGTATAAATAATTTAAATTAGATAGTGTGACAATAGAGGCAAACTCTAGCAATAATTTAGTACAACTCAGCTCAACACAAACATGTTATATTACTAACAACAACTGTTTAAACTTGATGCATCAAAACATGCAAGGTATGTTGGGCAAAGAATTAGAATTGGAGTTGTTTTTAAAATCAAGTAAAATTGATGTCCTATGCATTACCGAACATTGGCTTAGAGAATGCCAAATCATCTTTAACTTTGATCAGCACCAAGTTGCAAGTTCGTTTTGCAGATTGTCGGCGATTCATGGGGGCTCTTTGATTATTGTTAATAAAAATTTAAAGTATAAAGAGCGTAATGACATCGTGTGTCTGTCTGTAGAACACTCTTTGGAAGTAGCCTGTATAGAGATTGAGAATTGCATTATTTTAAGTGTTTACAGACCACCAAGTGCATCTTACGATTTTTTTGAAGAAAAGTTGGAGGAAATTTTGTGTAAAGTTAGTTTTAAGAACAATAAGTATATTATTGTATGTGGTGACTTCAATATAAATTTATTAGAAAATACCTCCATTAGTAAAAAATTCAATCTGTTATTAAAATCTTACAATCTTGTTAACTTGTTTCTTGAGCCCACTAGAATTACAAGCTCCACTGCTACATGTATAGATAATGTATTTACAGATGCAGAGGCAATGCAAACCTCAATTACAACTGATCTTAGCTCAGATCATTGTGGACAGTTAGTGGCGCTAAAATGTAAAGTGGTGAAACAAGTAAATAAGAGCAGTGTGTTTGTTCCAGTGAATAAAAAGCGAATGGTGAGATTTAGACATAATATAGGTAAACGCCTACCTTTATTACCGGTAGGTACTACCGTTGATACACAATACAACAATCTAAGTGATTGTATTAATAAAGAGTTCAACACCATCTTTACCCCAAAGAAAGTCTCTCATTCGCAGTGTAAATCGTTTAGTGATTGGGCGACAGCGGGAATTTATAAAAGTAGACAACGGTTGTATGACCTTTACGCTGAAAAGTCATACAATCATAATGAAGAATTTATTCTTTATGTTCGAAATTATTCGAAATTATTTAAGAAAGTTTGTTACGCGGCCAAGTCCTTAAATATCAAAAACAAGATTAAAAATAGTACCAATAAAACTAAAATGACTTGGAAGATAATTGATAGTGAAACTGGAAGAGTCAGGGATCGCAATCAAGACATCGAACTATGTGTCGATAACACTATAATCAAATCTAACGAAGAGATAGCGATTGTTTTTGATAAGTACTTTTCTGACATTCCAATTTCGACTACTAAGTCTCTTCAATCATCTCCCGCCCTCGCCGAATCGCTGCTCAAAGATAATGTAAACGAGTGCAAGGTCAGTTTTTCATTCCGACCCATTGGTGCCGACGATATAGTGAGGATATTTAGAACCATAGATATTAAGAACACTACCGATCTTTGGGGTATTTCTGTAAAAATAATTAGTAGCATAATTGATGTAATTGCTCCCCATCTAGCTATAATTTTCAACAATTGTATTAAAAGTGGCGAGTTTCCCGATCTAATGAAACATAGTAAAGTTATTCCTTTATTTAAAGCAGGTAGTATGTCCGACCCCAGTAACTTTAGACCAATTTCCGTACTACCTACTTGTAGTAAAATATTTGAAAAAATTATATTAAATCAACTGGTAAGTCATTTTAACGTAAACAAATTATTACATAATAATCAGTTCGGTTTTACCAAGGGTCGCTCGACAGCCGATGCCGGTGTTGAGTTATATAGATATATAGTTAAGGCTTGGGAGGAGTCGCATGACGCTTTAGGTGTTTTCTGCGACTTATCCAAAGCATTTGATTGTGTCCAACACGAGACCTTAATCGGGAAACTCCGCCACTATGGCATCAAGAATACCGCACTGAATCTTCTGACTTCCTATTTACACGGAAGAACTCAGAAGGTTGAAGTGAATGGTAAGAGGTCCTCTGGGTCGGCAGTAGATATGGGGGTACCACTGGGCTCAATTCTTGGCCCTTTCCTCTTTCTTGTTTATATAAATGATCTACCTTTCATGGTAGAGAGAAAACATCAGATAGTTTTGTTTGCTGATGACACGTCCTTGATTTTTAAAATCAAACGACAAATAACAAATTTTGACGATGTGAACAATGCTCTGTCTTCGATTGTCCATTGGTTTAGTATGAATAACCTTCTACTTAATGCAAAAAAGACAAAATGCATTAAATTTTGTGCAAAAAATGCAAGGGTTATGGATACTAGACCAATTATAAACGGTGAGGAATTGAATCTGGATGATACAACTGTATTTCTCGGAATCACCATGGATTCAAAACTTCAGTGGTCCCCTCATATTAACGGATTGGCGAAGAGACTTAGTTCTGCAGCCTACGCGGTTAAAAAAATTCGCTCACTAACTGATGTCGATACAGCTAGACTTGTTTATTTTAGTTACTTTCATAGCTTAATGACTTATGGCTTATTATTATGGGGTCATGCTGCTGATGTCGAAACTATTTTCATCCTGCAGAAGAGGGCTATTCGTGCAATCTATAATTTAAAATGTAGGGAATCTCTTAGAGATAAATTCAAGGAAATTAATAAACTTACCTTTCCCTCGCAATATATTTATGAAAATATTATGTATGTATACAAAAATAGTGATAAGTTTACTAGAATAGAACATACGCACAATGTTAATACACGGAACAAACGCAGGCTGCAATTTCCCCGTACTAGACTATCTAAAGTTAGTAATTCTTTTTTGGGGAAAGGGATACTCTTCTTTAATAAAATCCCAGAGGCTCTTTTATCACTGCCTTTCAATAAATTTAAGAAATGTATTAAAGAAAAGCTGTGTAAAAAGGCTTACTATAAAGTCAACGATTATCTAGTTGATAAAAGGGCCTGGGACTAGTGCTAGACAGGCTACTTCTAATCAATTTGCGATATTTGTTTTAAATAAGTGTTGTTTGATGATTTGCTGTTTTAAAAGAGTACCGAGAGTTTTTTACGCCGGCTTTTTCTCTCGGCCTACACCCTCTGTCTTCTTTGCCGATGAGTAGGGATGCCTTCAAATTTAATGACGTGGAATAAGTGATACATGTATCTTATGTTCCATAATAAACATATTTTATTTATTTTTATTTTATTTTTTTTCAATTAATTACAATGGGTAAAATCCAGGGTAAAAGGCGTGTTAGTAGAAGGAAGAAATCATGGCTTCGCAACGTTAGGGAGTGGACCGTTGCTGCATCTGGCACAGGACATGACTCTTCAAGAGATTGACGACCAATCTCCAGTAATGGAGAGGTCACTAAAACAATACATAATACTTCAAAACTGTACTTACCTCAAACCTTCCAGTACCACGATGCAAATTGACATTCAGGCGTAACTGATGCTGCTCATGCAACAAAGGTTGTACTTTGAAGTGAACATCCTGGAATCTTACTGATATATGCTGTCGCTCCACCCCATATACCATCGACAGAGTGTCCCACACGCACATTAGTGCTCCCGCATATGGGTACACGGTTACATCTACAAAATAAAATTATATGCTTTATGAGTACAACCAATTTTCTGACGAATCAAGGCCAAATAAAAACTTTGTGTACTTATGTACTGTGTGTGTATGTAAAATCTTTCCTAAAAGTTATATTATCGTTTTATTCTACGTTTGTAGAAAAAAACGACTATCAATAAAAAAAACTAAAATGTTGACTTCAGGGTTGCGGTTTTTTGTGACGGTGTGCGAGCGCATCGTATAAAATTTACTCTCATCATTTTTCCCTAACGCGCCAAAAGAAGTATAACTTCAAAAATAAATCGTTTATTTTAAACAAGTGGTACATTCAGATTTATTAATTATAAAAAGAAACGCACAATCAGCCATATAAAAATAGGCATGCAAATGTCATATTATCATAATAAGAACAGTTAAGTTATAATTATTGTTGTCAAACCTTGTGGTCTAAATACATGCTATTAGCACCTTGTCTTTACAAATTTACACAAACCTTTCACAACATGCCCTCGGAGGTATTTATGTTCATCGTCATGTATGGAAATGACAAAACGGCACGCGGCTGCATTCTTACGATTTTCCATCTTGAATAGGGGTAGTGGCCTGGAACAGTTGTTTATATGTTACTGTAAAAGCTCGAACTGCAGTAAATCCTAAGATATTCCAGTAAAACCTAAGATCTACCAATTCCTAATGGTAAATGTCCCAAAAGGTTTGTGATTCGAACTATTACCACCATTCCGTTGGTAAATCTTAGGATTTAGATTAATGGCACGGTAAATGTTGAAAAACAAAAATAATTATTAAGTTAGACTAGCTTATGTAAGCATTATGTTTGTATTTCATTGTTAAATTCCAAATAGAGAACTACTGATTAAGTTTGATAGATATGATACAGATTGAGATATTCAGAGATTATGTGTTTTTTCAAAATAATTTAAGTAAGTTGGTATTAGTTTGTACTTATTACTATCATATGATACCTTTATAATACTATGTACCTGTTTTGTCTAATAGTTAATTAAAGTAAATAATTAAGAATTACTCATTGTTTTATTCCTAAAACCAACATCTACCAGCTGACAGTAATACCTAGCATATACTGAATTCTAATGGTAAAAGCTCGAAGAAATCGTCGTATTTTTAGAAATACTTACATTTACCAACTCATGTCGGTAAATCCTAAGGCTTACACTTAAATCTTAAGATTAACCGTAGTTCGAACTTTTACAGTAACATATATACGTACAGTTTGTAAATGTTACATTATTGCCAATACTACACATATCGCTCATGAATGAATCATACGCTTAATATTAAACTATAATTACTAGGTATAAATAGACTAACCAAGTCTCAGATTGTGCCCACTCAACATGGTGTGCGAGCATTGGGGTGCCAGTGGATACAGGAAACACGATTTTCGGATATAATTCTTGAATCTTAGGGTGGTAGCCTTCCATATAAATCCTGTTATAATAAATAAAAATAACAGTCTAACTTTAGAGCTTCCTCTGGGTTAGTGTTCGATATTTAAGAGAATCAGTCGGTATTTTAAATTTATATAACATACTAGCGGCCCGTCCCGGCTTCGCACGGGTGGACATTCTTTGTAGGTATTGATACGACTCGTATGTTCTTTAATATTGTGGAACATTCTTTTTTCTATCATCAATAGTTTTCGCAGCGCATGCGATGAAATAAATTTTAGGGCGTGACCACAGGGCGTGCAAGGTGCGCGGCAGCAACATGCGGCATTCGTAGGACCCAACGAATGCTCCATGCGAATTAGGGATGCTCGATGATCATCAATGTTGAAAGCAAAAACATCAATGTTTTTACATCGATGTTGCTATACGAAAAATATATATTGCATAAACTGCCGTGCGCGGCACGCCGCGCTCGAATGCTGCGCTACATTTGGTCACGCCTTATAAGCATTTTTTTACACCTTGGGTAACATTGTTAGTAGGGATACATAATTTTTTTTTTGCAGTTAAAACAGTACTAATCAGTGATAATGTAGCATTCAAATGGTAAAAGAATTTTTAGAATCGGTACATTAGAGCCATTTCGTTACAAACACAACAAATATTTCCTCTTTATATTATTGTATAGATTAGAATAAAATTAGTTTAAATTAGTTTCTATCTTACTTTTTACAAAACACTTAGATAATATACAAACCCGAAACAGATTACATAGCTAAACCAAATATATGAAACAGAAAACATAAGTAAGTACATTAATATACAAAATGAACAAAAAGAAAACTGAAATTAAACTTTAAAAGGTTGTCTCTTTTTTACAAAGTACATTTAAATTATTATTTTAGTAAAAACATAATTCAGTACAAGCCATACTCACTGTCCAATCGCTTCTAATAAAAACCTCGCATTGTCTGGGTGTCCTCGGCGTGTAAGGGAAATGTTCTGGCAACTTTCGGGTAAGGATCTCTTGAGAATGGCTTGAAGTAGCCCGTGAGGAGCTATTTCTATGAGCACAGCGTTAGCGGGAATATGGCGAGATGTCTCTTCGAAAAGGACCGGATTCTGTAGAAAAAAGATATGATGGAGATTTACGCCGGCAAAGGAAAGTCATATACAATGCAATACAAATAATATAATGATTTAATGATAGTAACGCAACTCGTCAAGTTAAGAGTTTATTTATTTATTTATAAGTTCTAAAACAATATGCATGCTTGTAAAAGAAAATATGACATTATAAATTTTACATACACATAGATTGTAGAACATAGAAATTACACTATATAAAATTAATGGTTTAATGGAAAACACATAAAAGCAAGGAACATAAATATAACGCCGGAAAATGTTTAATTTTTTTTCTCTATTTATCATTGTAATGTTTCCCTCTAAATGTTGTGCACACATGTCATGCACATGCTTGTATTGTGTCTTTGTATTTCGTGTGTACTCTGTAAGTGTTTAGTGTGCCTTTTTAAAATAAATAAATAAATAATATTAATCTATGATGCATTTGTTCAATGATTGCATTAAGCAATGGAAGATACATGTTATCTTAATAATGTTAATAATTAAATCAGTCTGATGGCGATATAGATCCAATACGAAATACCAATAAAGTATTCACCAATAGGTTATTAGTGTGATATTCTGGAGATGAATACTTGGCTGATTCCTCGTCCCATCTGCTTTCTGGAACTGAGGTGGAGAGCCAACGTTCACTGCGCGGCTTTGGGTTTGTAATGATTTCACTTAAGTACTTCTGTAAGCCGGGACCTTAAAGCGAATATTGAATTAAGTCTTCACCCAAACTAAGAGGTAAGTATAATCTTACCGTGGCATTACCTGCTTCCGCAATATAACGAGAATGATACGCGATGTTGGAACAGGGAACCTCTTTGGCGAAAATGTTCTGAGCTGTTAATTTTGCAACAAATTCTTTCATAACATCAACAGGGCCTGATATGGTGCAAGACTCGGAACTGTTGTGACACGCCACTTGTATTTGAGGTGGACATAGTTTAGAAATCTGATGGAGATAATGATCATATATTATATTATTTCATTATTTTCTTTTGGACGTTCTATTAGAGTATAAATATGATTACCTGAGTATGACCCAAACCAACAGCAGCCATGGAGCCTTTAATGAACGGTGTTTGTTTGGAGACAAGGCCACGGCAGTAAGCAGAAAGGACCATTTCTTCGGCTGTAAAACAGCCATCTGCGTATGCGCATCCCAACTCGCCTACACTGTGACCTGAAAACGTGGTACTTATTGTACGAGCACACGAAGCACGGGGATGTTCAAATAACACTAACTTTCAATCAATCTTAAACTTATCTTAAACTTATATATGTCACTGAAGATTTTATCGGGAACTCGGGGACTCGGGAATCAAGCCCGAGATCGCATGATCTGCTGTCAAACACACTGCCCCTAGATGTCATATCTGTCGGTTTAAATGAAGGCAAACACCGAAAACCTTTCTTCGTTATAAATTTATCGGATGGTGTTTGATTAATCTCAATTGTAAACATGACAGCTATTAACATACTGTGAACTTATGATTGATACTATATGACATACCAATAATTTTATCCGGGAAGATTCCTATAGATGATAAAACATCTGTGAGACCAATTTGTACAGCGGCAATACCTACGAAGGAGTGTAAGATGTTATCGAAGGTTGTTTTATCTGGTGACGTGATTATGTCCACAATATCTATGCCTTTTGGCTTCAGCACACCGTGACACCTGTAAATGTTTTAATATAATATAAAAACTAATTAACGACATTACATATACATCGTTTTATTTAAAAAAAATGTGTTTAATTTGTAGAAAGTAAACGAAGCTAATCTGTAATAAATTATAATAAAGTCTTCTTAAATTTTGATGATAATAATGATGATGATTTTTCCTACTTACTAATGCATCTCGTAGAAAAAACAAAGCAGAAAAGAAAAAATGATAAGAAAAGAAAAAAAACAACGGGAGCACTCCGGGAGTGCCGGCAGAAGTGAAAACTTCAATATTAACGTTGTGTTTAATTATAAGTATAAAAGTACTATCATTTATGAGGTAGAATACAATGTTTATTTATTGCGCTATCGTACACAAATATGACAATTTATATGTTGTTATTTATAATATTATATCGTTATTTATATATTACATTAAATTTTATCTCTCAGAAAAATCAACTTCCATCCATAATTTCGACGACTTTTACACCATCGTTATTATCAGAATCATCATCGCAAATTTTTACAACTGATACAATTGGTTTATGATAACTGAAGTAAGAAACAAACAGTTTTGATTCGAACCTATTTAAGTGTCTAATAAAGACCGTACTCATTTGCTTTCACTACTTCATCATCACTTTTTTCATTAATAGATTCACTTTGTTCGATTTCCATAATTTAAACAATTCACAACAGTGTATTTACTACACAACAGTGAACAGTCAAGCAATCAGCTGTCACCATCCTTGGATACGCGTGGGACGCTGTACATAAACACACACGGTCATTCGCGCAAGCGCCCTGTGCCGCCTAAACAGAGCAGCACACTCAGGCACGGTAGAAAGAGTGGGAGATACTAGTTCCTCTCCCTTCCCCTCGATCTTACGCTTTTTCGATCAGCATCACGTGACCCTGACGCAAGTTTGAAAGTTTTTACCCATACAAAAAGTGCTCAGCGCCGCCGCTAAAGAAGTTTTCACTTCAAAAAAAAATCGTTTAAGAAAAAATATTTCAAGTGGTTAATCTAAAGTAGAAGCATACTTCTCAATTGCAGCTGCAAAAACTGGAATGCGCATGAGTTGAGTACCCATGCCGGTCCATTGCGATCCCATACCACTATAGACGAACCAGAGAGGGCGACCGGCGTTATCGAAGTAATCGCATTTCTCACATAGGGTCACCGTTTCATTGTCTTCATTTGTGTCTAAAAATTGTTTGTAAAAGCTAAAAATATGTTCTGGCTAAATTCACAAGAGTTGCATTATTTATAACTAGTAGACTTGGCCAAGCGTTGCTGTGGCTATGATTTTTGTTATATTACACAGTAGTAAACTATTCAAGAGAAACGGCAGGAGAACACCAATCCACCATGCTTTTTTGGTGGTTATGCCATTAAATTGTAGCTTATGTGAAACGTTGGTATTTATTTTGATAAGGATCAATACCTAGGTACGAATAAAGAGCCTTTTCTAGCGGTGGTTCTTTAATAAAAAAACGTAATAAAAGGACGCTTATTGTGACGTAACTATAAAAGATAGAGACATGCTGTCGCGGCATTTTTTATAGATAGTGATGTGTCCTGAAAAATTTTGATACATCATTTTGTTCTATCATTAATAGTTTTCGCAGCGCACGCGATTGAAAGAATTGTTTTGTTCATTTTTTTACACCTTGGGTTAGATTAGATTATTAGATAGATTATTCAAGTTTTAGTAAGCATCCTTAATTATTTAAAAATGATATAGCCTATGTCACTCGGGAATAGTGTAGCTTGCCAACGGTGAAAGAATTTTTGAAATCGGTCCAGTAGTTTCGGAGTCTATTCATTTCAAACAAACAAAAAATCAAATCTTTCCTCTTTATAATATTAGTATAGATTGGTTAAAAAAGGTTTAGGTTTTTGTTTTGTTTATATTATGTTTTCTATTGTATTACTATTAAGATACTGTAGGAAATAAATAAATCAATGTTTTATATCAAATTGCTTAGAGATTTGAGTTATTATTTAAAACAGAAGTATATCATGGGTGGCGAATGTTCATGAACCAGACCAGATTTCAGATTAGGTGGATTAAGAAGTTATATATTTATTTAAAGTTATAGTATTTTATGTAAAAAAAGTTTCATCGGGAAAAGGAATTAATGAAGAAAATATTACCAAGAAGCAAATATCCACGTCCCAAATGTCCGGCGATGTGGGCCTTATGAATATTACGAAAGAGAGCCAGTTCCTCGGGATCCACTGGCCGACTCTTTAGATCGTTGAAAATCTTTCTCACTGAAGAGTCCTGTCTCCCGGATATCAGAACCAGGTGGGGAATGCTGCTTTTGTATCGGGGTATGTCCTGTAGGATAGATTAATATGAACAATAGCCAAATAACCACCTGTCGGCTAAATCTCTCTTTATAGGAGTTGATGTAGGTTGTGAATAAAAAATAAATCAGTGGCGCTATTAGGTCTGAGCCTCAGATTTCTGAATCTGTTTCATGATCATTTTTCAATCTAATAGGCAAGTAGGTGATCAGCCTCCTGTGCCTGACACACGCCGTTGACTTTGGGTTTAAGACATGTCGGTTTTCTCACGATGTTTTCCTTCACCGTTCGAGCGAATGTTAAATGCACATAGAAAGAAAGTCCATTGGTGCACAGTCGGGGATCGAACTTACGACATCAAGGATGAGAGTCGCACGCTGAAGGCACTAGCTGCTGCATATGTTGTGAATACTTAAACTTAAACAACTTTAATGTTTTGATGTATTACTAAAGTAGTTTTTTATTTTCTCTAAACGCTCTGCTACGATTTAGTGTCATCTCAAACATATTATTATTTATTGCCATATAATACGTGAAATTTTACATTTGATTACAATAAATTATTCGTAAAAAAATTCGTTGGTTGTCGTTGGTTATTCAGAGAAATAAAACGTTTAAATTAACTATGAAACAAAGTAGCAGCGACTTAAGGAAATGTGCCTAGTATATAATTTGAAAACCATATTAATTAATTGCAAACCTTTGGTTTATAACGTCCTTTAAGAAGTACGTGGGCATTTGAGCCCATAACTGAGAAAGTGTTGACTGCAACATAGCCATGATTCGTTGGATAATGATCCGTGATCACTTTAATTCGACCATCACGGATTGCTGCTACGTCATCCCGTGGCATTTCAAGGTTGATGTTCGCTGCGAATTCACCTCTTTCAAAACCCAGTAGGACCTGGAAAGAGAATATAGGAACTCCAGATATTTCATGTATTAAAGTATTAAGTTCAGGAATTGGACGATCAAGAGTCATGTTTAGACGTATATGATTATTCATAATATAGCTACTAAGACGGATATTTACTCTTCTAACCTTAGTTATAGAAGATATCCCACAAGCTGCCTCACTATAACCAATATTGGACATAACACTGCCGATGGGTAGCGAGTCAGTACGGCCTTTGCAGAAAACTTCATCAATAGCCTCTAGTTCAGCTTCATCGGCTTCCACCATCCCTAAAAATTGTCAATTATACGGGTGATATAATGTTAGGTAACGCTATCGTGACAGATGGGTCAAAATGACCGTTACTAGGAATGGCCCAGAAGCCAGAAAAAAGAGAGGGTGCCAACCAGAACTCTGGGAAGAGGCATAACGGGGATAATAGTAGCGAAGAGAAGAATTTGGAGGAGGTCTTGTACTAGTATTAATTATATGACATAAATTTTATGTATCTAATCCTTATTATATTACTCTAATATTATAGTTATTTATATAATTATTTAGACATTTACATGAAAATAATACAAAAAGAATTTGTTATATCGTCTACATGTTTCAATCTGTCGGGCTAGTGGCAACTTTCAGTCCTGAATACACGATGTATATTCGTATTATAGCTTTATTTTTTGCTTGTTGGTTGAAGGAAAACATCGCAAGCAATTCGGAATACTTAACTCTAAAAATCACCGACCTGTGTTAGCACAGAAACCTAATCTCATACTTCTAATCCAAGACCAGAATACGTTTTAGCCAGCACTGATTTTACATACTTTGCAAAGTTATTAAGATATGTTAAGTCAACTCATTGTATTTTTACTGCACTATATTCTATAAGATAGATTTTACCAGAACCAAACGCTTCAACAAATTCGATTTCTTTCGGTGAAACCTTGGCATCGTCGTAAAACTTCTTCATGAAGTTAGCAACTTCTTTTGGGTTACGGTAGAAACCAAATCTTGGACCTTCTTCGCCTTCCACAAATGATGTAAATTCTGATCTTACATGCACCAATTCTGCGTAGACTCTGTTGGATTTAGTTTATATTCAATAAGGGTGTACACCCAAGCTTAATAGAATTTTCTGAATATAATTTATATTACCTGACAGCATCTTTCGCTTTTTGTAAGAAGATTACGTTAATCGCATCAGATTTAGCACATCCACATCCTTTCTGATCAAAAGATCTTGTTTTTCCATCCTTGCTTAAAGGCATGATTCTGCAAATAAGATACAATTAAATCTTAATAGAACGGATGACTGATACTACTGGTGACTGATGATACTTTTATCGCTGCAGTACCTTCAGACAAATGCTATAATTTCACAGCCTCTTAGTAGCCTCAATATACATACTAGCTGAATAAAGAACTTGATTGCTGTAGTCCTTATACCGTTTCTATAATTGTTCTTATTTCTAGCATTACTTAATTTAAATTTGACATATTTACTATACTTCATATAACCAGTATTAGCTACTAGATTTTAAGATGAGACTGTTAATCCTGTAGATCATCAGGAATGGGCCCTTCTGTGAGATGTTACCCGTACGGTAAAAAACGTGAACGTGTGTCAGAAACAAAAGGCTGATCAACTTCTTATGTACAAAAATAAACCGACAAAGAAACAGATGGAACCTGAGGCAAAACCCTATGGGTACGCCTTATAATAAAAATCAGGAAGAAAGCGCGAAATTACTAAGCGAAAAAACTTAAAAGTTTATAAGACGGACCTAATATGAAACGTAGTGTTACTATTAAAATACATGTTTACAATTTAAAAATAATTAATTGTTATACAATTATCATATCGTAAGCATTATACTTTTACATTAAATAATAATAAAAACTAATTTGTAACAAAATTTGCATACAAAAGACAATTGATAATGCAAATATTCAAATTAACCTAATTAATTTACGTGCGATTTACTTGACCTAATTTTGGAAAGTCTAAAACGTATTAGGAACCGAACTTAGCGCTCATTTCTGCCGTTATTCAAAAACGTTTTGAATTTTGACTGGATTGAATACTTCACTCTACGGCTTTCTTATCTTGAACTAAGGTTGCGCAGCATCCGAGTTGGCTCAGAGCTCAAGGATCGAAGGTTGAAATGCATAGAACAAAATGATTTATATGTACGTGTCTTAAATATCTAAAACAGTATTTTATGTGTCTACCCCATTAACAGGCAGGACTTAATTTTAAATATTAAAGCGTCATGGAGGAAGAACTGATACTAACTTCTTTCTAGAATAACCGCGTTGGAACTAAGCTGCATCTCTTGCGCTCAAAATATCTTATCTTTGATTATTACTTACCTTCCATAATGTATGAAAGAATGTGGATGAAGACATAGAACAGAGCCCCCTACAAGAGCAGCCTCACAATCGCCACGTTTGATTGCTTGGTAAGCAAGTTCTAGAGCCACAGAGGAACTGCAGCAGGCCTGGTCCACAACCATTGATGGCCCCTTGGAGTTCAACCAATAGGAGATACGGTTCGCGAACATAGCTTTACTACATCTGCAAGATTATAAAATCATAAAACAGTTGATTAATTCATAATTAATAATTAAATGTGTAAAGGTTATGTCAATCAAAGAATATAAAAAGAGTATAAAAGAAATATTTTGTTTAGTTTTTAATAACGAACGATAGTTTATCTTAGTATTAATGTAAAATTAGATATTAGTTGATTATGAATGTGAAAGCTGCGCTTCGAAAAAAACATTACAGGCATTACAAAAAATAATTAATAAAAGGAGAGAGAGAGAGAGAGAGGAGATACGACTAAAAGAAGTTAATTTAAGAACGTTTATAAAAATATACTTTTTTATAGAACAGGGGGCAAACGGGCAGGAGGCTCACCTGATGTTAAGTGGTGGCTCATGGACACTCTCAATGGTAGAGGACTCGCAAGTGCGTGGTCGTCCTTTTAAAAATAGGTATACTCTTTTCATAAAAGACCCTTAGTCGAATTAGTTCGAAAATACTTCAGTGGGCAGCTGGTTCCAGAAAGTGGTGGTGCGCAGCAAAATCTGCCTTAAAAAACGCCTCAGTTGTGGAACGAAGTACGTCGAGGTGATAACTCCTCTGAGCAGTCTCTATGGTAAGTAAATATGACATATTTCAAACGAAAAATTATCGGAAGCCAAGAAGTAGGCATTTTTAATGAAGCGAGCAGGCAAGAGTATATAAGGATTTTCTATTATTTTTATATATTCTAAGTTTTTTAAGGTTGAGAAAAAGGATTCCGGGCAATGTGGCCGAAATATTGCATCACTCTCTGGAGTCAAATGTAGTAAAAAAAATATGTACATACCCAGAAATACCCAAGCCACCATTAATATTATTGACATAAACACACGACTTCTCAGTCTCCGAAAAAGAGCTCCCAAGGTAGACGCCCACTTTTTTGCCAGAAAGGTATTCACAGTTTACACCTGCAATATAAACACCGTGTTTAAATAGCTTGATAGCACAATTGTTAAATTTATAAAATATAATTTTAATACGGTGTAGTAATTGCTTATTATGATTTTTCAACAAGAACTAAAACTTAGTCTAAGCAATAAATACAAAAAACACGCCAGGAGTCACATCGCACTAATATATTTTAACCTCGTGCTGGGACTCACTCAAATTTAAAATTGCGATTAAGTACAACTCATATATGTCGGAGCAATTACGTTTTTGACATACAGAAGTCACACCTAACTCTAAAATGCAACACCTGCAACCCTTATGCTCCTCATCACATGTTAAATCAGTTATTTATTCTAATAATAATAAAATAGATTTATTGGCAGTCACAATTTATTTTTAAATCAGATAGTATGTACATTGTTAGGTATAAGCAAGTGTTGACCAGTAGCTTATGAGTATAAGAGTCGCACAATGAACCTACTAAGGTTCGATCCCCGACTGTACACCAATGAAATTTTATGTGCGCACACTTGCACCTACGTTGAAGGAAAACATCTTGAGAACACTGGTATGCCTTAGATGAGTCAGAAGGCTGATCACCAACTCACTCATTAGAAAAAAAAAGGGTGCGTGTACCTATGTACGCGCGTAAGAAGTTATACTTCTTTGGCATTATTAAGAATAGTTTTTGATTGCATGCAAATAATTAAAATTACAATTAAATAATCAAAGACTGGAAAAGGAGTCATTATAGTCAATAAAGTACAGCCCTGCGTCCAAAAGTCATTTTATGATTTGGCATTCTGAAAAGGTGGGAGCTTGTAGTTTATTGTTTATCAGAATACCAAATCATAAAATGACTGCTTCACGACTGATTTGAGAGCGACCGCCAATGCGAAAACCGCTGTGTGAGTACGAAAAGTGAGTTACAGAATCGCAGGGCAGTTTACATTTGAAAAATTAAATAAATAAATATTTACATTAAGTGTAACATAAATTCTATTATTATTCGAATGTTGTTTTTAAATTATGTCCAATGCCGTAGCATCTTCCGGCAACTTCATTCTGTTAATTTTGTGTCACGGTGCACGCGCATCGTAAAATTTCACTCTCATCAATTTTTCATAACGCGCCTAAAGAAGTATAACTTCAATAAATGTGACAGTAATCTGAGGCCCGGGCCTTAAAAGGTTGATGTGCCACTGGGTTTTTATTTAAATTGTTAAAATACACTTGAACTTGAACTCAAAATAATTCTCGAATTAATAAAATACTACCTGCGTCATAAATAGCCTGGTAAGATTGTTCCAAAATCTTTCTAGACATGGAATCCATGCTAGAGGCTTGGCGATAATGCACCTTGAAGAACTGAGCATCGAAGTGTTCTATGTCAGGTGCTTTTCCAATGGAGTCAATTACCTCTGGATGATTGTATTCCCAACGTGGATTTTCGGCAGATATAGGGTTGACCTGGAAAACAATATGTGACATATTTACACATCAAGACATTTACAGGTTCCGTCCTTCTACTTCCTATGCAAGAGTAGTAAAATTATAACGTAGAATTGCTCTTTCCGCTTGACCGCATTCAACGAAGAGCGATTCGAATCGTCGAAGAGCGATTCGAATCGTCGACGACCAGTCACTTTCGCAGCGGCTTGATCCCTTGGCGTTACGTAGAGATGTGGGATCTTCTACCGAATTTACAATGGAGAGTGTTCAGAGTTGTTCGGACTAATACTTGCAGCTGAGGTTCATCATCGGACGTCAAGGCAGAATACTAAAACCATCCGTATCATCTCGACGTCCACAACTGAGCGTTTCTTAAGGCAATATTGCCGCGAACCACCACTATGTGGAACTTGCTGCCCACTGAAGTATTTCAGCGCTAACCCACCTCCTTTGGCAATTATCAGTTTCTTGAAATTATAAATAGGTAATTTTAGCATAAATTATTGTCAGCTTTTTCCTGCTTTTATCCGAGACAGTTAAATTTACGATTCAAAAATGTTGTCAGCGTTATAAACGCCTTTAGTACACCTACGCGTTCGTATGCGGCTGCGAATCTTTGCGAAATAATTGCGGTAGCGAAATATCTGCGGAACGTTAGTACACTGCAGGTTTTTCGCAAGGATATGTCATTGTAGCTTTCGTGGGCTGTAGGTGCAGACGTCGTTTCAGAATGTCATCTGAGTCGTCCCAGTCGTCGCTTTCAGATTCTGAAGAGGATTTTGTAATCAACATGCCCAACTAAATATAATTCGAGATAATTTCGAATCAAATTCAATAATAATTCAATATTTTCGGCTTCCATTGTGCGAAATTCTGTCCTCACTGACAGAACGCGTGGTGACGCCTTGCGATGCGAAACTTTACTAGCGAAACGTCTGCGTCTGTGTAACAGCCATTTCGCAGTTACTTGCGAAACAATACCGACAAGGACGCAACTATTTCATCTAGCTATATATTAGAGCGAGACAAAACACATGCGAAACGTTGCCATACAACTTACAGTTTTTTCGTCGTTTCGCTGCCGCATGCGATTGCGTAGGTGTACTAAAGGCGAAATGAACTTAAAATTTCCTTATATTTACAATCAGGGTATTTACGCCATCCTGACTGGATGACCCGGGTATTGAAAAATAATATATTTCAAGAAATCGAGTTTAACGTAGCAATAATTTTAATATTCTTATTAATTTGTTTAAACATTTTCTTGTGATTTCTTTTCAAACTCTTATATATATATGTTACTGTAAAAGCTCGAACTGCAGTAAATCCTAAGATATTCCAGTAAAACCTAAGATCTACCAATTCCTAATGTTAAATGTCCCAAAAGGTTTGCGATTCGAACTCTTACCACCATTCCGTTGGTAAATCTTAGGATTTACATTAATGGCACGGCAAATGTTGAAAAACAAAACATGACTAGCTTATGTAAGCTATGTTTGTATTTCGTTGTTAAATTCCAAATAGAGAACTGCTGATTCAGTTAGACAGATATGATAGAGATTGAGATATTCAGACATATACGTTATATGTTTTTTCAAAATAATTTAAATAAGTTGGTATTAGTTTGTACTTATTACTATCATATGATACCTTTATTATACTATGTACCTGTTTGTCTAATAGTTCATTAAAGTAAATAATTAAGTAACTCATTGTTTTATTCCTAAAACCAACATCTACCAGCTGACAGTGGTAAAACCTGAGTAGCATATACTGAATTCAAATGGTATAAGCTCGAAAAAATCGTCGTATTTTCAGAAATACTTACATTTACCAACTCGGTACGGTAAATCCTAAGACTGACACTTAAATCTTAAGATTAACCGTAGTTCGAGCTTTTACAGTAACATATAGATTAGTTAAATAAATATTATAAAATAAACACCTTATTGTATAGCACATCCGAGAGCTCCTTAACACTGTGACAGTCAGGGTAGAGTCCTGACATACCAGAGATGACAACCGCATCGTCAAGACAGACCTGGCACTCATCTTTCTTTGAACCCACGAAATCTTGAGGTTTTGGCGCCATCTATGCAAAAGAACCAACCAGAAACGCCATCCTACATTATAATATTCACAATACAATTAAAAATAAACAGTTTTAAATATATATTATTTTTATTGTATAATCTATGCAAAAGAAACCATCATGGTATCAAAATCCTACATTATAATATTCACAAAACAATTAAAAAAATAAAACAGTTTTAAATATATGTCATGCTTAACCCTTGATTGTATATTGAATTTTCACTAACCCAATTCAATCGCAATTCCCAGAAAATTTAAATAAATTACCATTATTGTATGTAAAAAAAACATTGTAAACTCGTGAAAAACGCAGGTCATGCGACTATGTAATTGATTACTTAAGTACTTAAAGGTCATATGTTGAAGGAGTCGTAAGGAAAATGTCTCAGACCGTTTAATTTCGACTGCGTGTATCAGGCTAATTAAGCCGAACACATGTCTAAGAAGAAAAATGATAAAAGAAAATAGATCTAGTTCCAATACCATAATACTGTTTAAAATTAGCACTATAGTAACACGATAATATTTTTTTAAATGCTTCGGCGTTTACACGATAATGGAAAATCACTTACTATTACTAAAGACAAATTTCTTACAATTATTTTCCTTACGTAGCACTAACTAATAAAGAAAGTACATTGAGTCACTTATATTAACAATTAATTATAATAAATGTCAATAGGTTCGTGAATTTGAATTTTATTCGAGACTGATAAATTATTAGATAATACAGGATGCTTAAAAACAGGAATACTATAATACTATGTGGTAAGGATATTATAAATATTGTTTATTTGTGTGTTGGAAAAAAAATTATCCAAGATTATAAACTGACATGCCAGGACTATATATGAATAAATTATATTTCATTTTGATATTTTTTTTATTACTTTTTATTACTAGCTGAATAAAACTAAATTTTATTTGTTTCGCCATAAAAACCTTCATCTGAGCGGTCTTCGAGTTTTGCGTTTAGCAACATATTTTGCGATAAATTTTTATTTATATATAGATTATACATATAAATGGTATGATTTAACTCGGTACTCACTCTAAACCAATTCATTAGGGCTGGTATAATATTAAATAAAATAGCGAAGGCTACATGAAATTATGGGATTTTTAATAAGCACTGGTACTCTGTAACTTCTAATATCGATACCCGTTCAGACGTGTTTGTACGATTTTTTTTAATTCTCTTAATATCCGTAGCGCACTTTTGGTATCACGCGATACAAAAATTCATTATGTATTGCTAACAGTGGTAAGTGAAACAAATAGAACGCAAGAACAGAGTATCTTCCATTTATTAGAGACTGTAATTAGTCAGATAAGAAATGTTAAATATCCTTATTAGCAAATTAGGTTAGCCTTAAATTACTTAGTAGTGTTAATTTTGGTTAGATCATAATTTTCCATGACTTAGTAAAGACACTTGTGTTAAAAAAAAGCCATGTGTAATAATAATAATAAATAATCTTTATTTCTTCTCTCACATATACATACAAGGTTATTATGATTAAACTAAGATGATAACATTTGGAAATGTATGTGAGTGACTGGTCTCTATAACAGGAGACCTGAGTGACAGATAGCCAGCCTCTCCACCACCGGACCGGAACACGTACAATCATGTCGTTGTCATAAGATACAATAGAAGAAAATTAGTAAGTGCTAAAAGAAAACATTGCAAACGGAGTCGTAAAAATAAATTTGGTGTGTTTTTGTGTTTGTGTGTGTGTGTATGGGCGTGTGTGTGTGAGAGTGTGTATGTGTTACAGAGTAACAGTTATTAAATCTTCTGTTTCATCATAACTAAACGTCTTCAGCCAAGTAGTAACCGTTTTTTTACATTCATATTTAGATAGTGGGTAAATGTTAAATTTTTCATTTAATTTATTATATAGGTACGCCTACTGTGCGTACCTATAACATGTACACACGTTAGAAGTTATACTTCTTTGGCGTAACAAGATAAAAATCTTTAAAAAAAAATTACTCTACGTTTGTAAAAAAAACTTAACTAACAATAGAAAAAAAATACTCTCATCACTTTCCCCTAACGCGCCAAAAGAAGTATAACTTCAAAAAAATCTAAAATGTTGACTATAGCTAACAACAGGGTGTCGCTTTTTTGTGACGGTGTGTTGAAGTCAGTATTGGAAGTTACGGAATGTCGTCGCTATGTCGTTGGGATACACCTGTGTATCTTACATCTACGGACTATATTTAACTCTTTTTAAAACCTCACAATCCGTAGACTTACATTAGAATTTAATTACATATTAAAAAAAACTGGAACAAATATGTTAATAATAAAAAAACAAAAGGTCTAAATACTCCAACAGCCACTAATGCAAGTTGAATTTGTATGAAAATGATAGTATCTATTATAGTTGCAAAACAATTTAGGAATAGGTATGCCGTTTATAAGGTTCAAAAGGCCGTAGCCGCACTGAAATTTTTCCACTTTCACGTCATAATTGGCAGGCTCAAACTAAAGTTACAAAGTATATCGTAATTAAAGCAGCGCGCGCCGCATTTACTTGCTATGTTAATTAAAACGATATTAGAAAGTTTAGAACATCGAAGCAACAACTAAGTACACTTTTACTACGACATCTATTAGTACTACTAGTATATCTAAGTAAGTGATTTAATTGTGAATTAAAGTAATAAAAATTGTTTAATTGCCTGTACTAAGTCAAGTGAGTACTAAACAAGTGATATAAACGTGAAATTATTACTTTTGTAACGTCGAACGATTGACATTTGTTTAAGAATTTATTTCTATAAAAGAGGTCACCGCCGAAAATATATTGGATGTCTTTTTCCCCAACCGATATATTAAAATCGTGTGTTTGTTTGTGGTAACGCATTACTCTGAAACGATAATATTGTGCGAAAACGATCGTGGTCAAAGTGCCGTGAATCATTTCAAACGGTGGCCAAGGCGTTGCATTTGGTGGGAGTGGAAGGGAATCATTTATTATGAGTAATTGTTTCCACATACAAACACTAAATTCGCATATCTACTGTCAACTACCGTTTAAAACTAGTGGTTGACCAGTAACGGCCAGAATTCACATAAGAAGTGTTGTGTTCCAGTAGGACACACGTCACAGTGAAACAGAAACTCCGGGAGCTTGATTGGCATCAAGAGAAGATGGTGAAAATAGATTATTAGAGTTTTCTTCTTTCTTACTTAACTTATAATCGACCTTTACAATGACAATAAATTATAGAGTAAGCGATGTATATTTGACCCAAATCGGAGTTCTTTTGATTATAAATGGATTCGTAGTGTGCAATGTGCATTGTGCATGTTATATTAATTATATATTTTGATTATTATTATACTATGTAGGTTAAGAATATTGTAAATACTTAGTTATAATAAGTTATCATTATGATAATATTAAAAAAAATTGTAATTGTTAAAGAATAAATCAAAAGTCGATGTCTTAAATAAAAAAATTGATATTATTACATAATATTGTTTAACATAATTTGATATATATTTTCAGGTTGGTATATGTATACAAATAAGTACATACAGCGTAGTGGTGAGGTTGTTATACTCAACCCTGTGGTCATACTTTCGAACCCCGTCTGGGCACAAGAGCACAAAATAAATACGCCACGAGGCGACCGGCATGTACAAGCAATAATCGAGAACATGTCTACACTAACATTGTAAAGTGCACTGGGGACAAACCGGTTTTTTTATATCTTTCACAAATATAAAGCTACATCCTCGTACATCATCAGCGAGTTTAAAAAACTAAATTCAGTGGCGTTACAACCTTTTTAGGTCTGAGCCTCAGATTTCTGTATCTGTTTCATGATCATTTATCAACCTAACAGGTAAGGAGGTGATCAGCTTCCTGTGTCTCCTTTGCCTGACACGCGCCGTCGACTTTTTGGGTCTAAGGCTAGCCGGTTACCTTACGATGTTTATCTTAACCGTTCGAGGGAATGTTAAATGCGCACATATAAAGAAAGTACATTGGTGAACAGCCGGAGATCGAACCTACGACCTAGAGTCGCACGCTGAAGCCTCTGACCGGGTATAAAACCTGCTGAGAAGTGTTGACCTAGGCCCTAGAGGCTATATTAAAAAGTCAAGGTTCAAAAGGAGCTATTCAAAAGGAGTATATCAATGAAATATTTTGCCTTAAATGGGTAAATTTATTTAGGAGAATTTCCTGCCTTAGTGGAACGCTTTTGTGATTGATTTTAGGAACTACTAGTTTAAATTTAAATATTTTTCGACGATTATCCCGTTTATTGAAAAAGGATTTAGGCTATCAAGCCTTCGACATATTTGAATTAAAGCCTGTAAAATAGCAGGGCTCGGTATTAAATAAATGCAACCTACTAATGATATAAGAATCTAGTATACCCGTATGATAAGTAATAGCATCACTAGGTAAAATTCGTAAAATTGGCTTTTTATTCGATTAAATTCAAGTAGTATTGCGTTTCGAGTAAATTAATGAAAAATTAATGTATAATTCAAGCAGATTTTTACATGTTTACATATGCATGAATGATACTACAATCAATGAATTATGTTTAGTTTAATTTTTAATTCTTTTAGTTTATTGGTTAATTTTAAGCATTTTTATAGTCGCACAAGAAAAGTGTCTTCTATCATGAGATCCATCGATTCCATTGTTCAAAAAATATTTGAGTAATTTTTTGATCAGTGGCAAACGGCTAGTGGCTTACCAGATGTTAAGTGATAATGCTCACGGACCACATGGCATGCTTTTTTTATAGAGCCTACTAAGCGCCTAAAATGGGCGTTTGTTATCATGAGTGTTGGCGTTTGAGGGAGGGGTATGATCTTTTCTACCAGGGAAGACCAACAACGGGAGTCGATGCCACAATTCCCAACAAAATGTCTTCAGAAGACTTCACGCCATCAAGGTGATGGGGATGAAATTTTGAGTGGCTGTAGCGTAGCTGGTCATAACCCACCATAACAAAGACGAGATTTGTTGCCATCTGTTTGTTGTAGACCTTCATTTTCAACCGATCTTAAAAGAAAACATCCTACGAAGCCATCCTGCTCCCTCAGTTCTATTTATAAAAATTGGTACTTTTTTGTAAAGTGGACAAATTTCTTTAAATCGCACTATCGAGAAGATTCTTCACTTAAAACAGGTATGTTCCAGAAACACAGGTGTGTCTTTTCTAAGATGAGCCACGGGAGAGCACCAAGATATTTGTACTGTGCCTGCTTTTGAGAATATCTAAGGACTCATACGTGGTATCAATGAATCAGCCTAGAGAATTTTATTAACAATTTTTTTTTAATGATTAAGCTTAGCTCGAACTAACCCGAAAGTGAAGGTGGAAGGAGTGAAAGAATTATTATTTCTCGAGTTTTATTAACAATAGCAACGTTGGTTATGTTTGTGATGTACTAGATATCTTGTATTGTTTTAAACCTTATTAGATTAGGTTACAGCTTTACGTCCAGTTGCAAGACAAAAACTACCCAACATTTTTATCATAGTTATGAACAAGAAACAATAATAACATATATAACGAATAGAAATAAACTAAAGCGGCATAATATACGCACGAATAAAAATAAACTAATTATCGTTGGTATAAATAGTATGAGTTATAATTAAATAACAAAGAAAACGCAAAATCAATTAGAAATAAATTTATTAGGTTTTACACATAATTATGCAAAATACTGAGTATTACTTGATAAAAAGGAACTATTTTACACCGAATATGTACTTTTTTAAGATCCTTTTGAAATGCTCTTACTTATTGCCATGGTTACCATTAGTTGTTGACATCGTAACTATGGCAACAAACAAGGTACTACGTTAATCCACGTTTTATAAGTCTCTCATTTGTATTTGTAATACTCCTTGCTGAACAACATAGGCTTGACTCTTTGCAAAGCTTTTTACATAGTTAGGGGCCGTTCAAGTATTACGTAACCATTATTGGTTGACATCGTAACTATGGCAACAAACAAGGTACTACCTGTAATCTAAGTTAAAGTCTCTTATTTATATTAGTAAGACTCCTTGCTGAACAATATAGGCTTGACTCTTTGCAAAGGTTTTTACATACTTCCTTTTTTTTCCTTTGATGTTCTTATTTGTAGATTACGTCAACAGTAATTATTTACTTTTTTACAAATATAACCCACACATGCTTGAAAACGAAATGCATTTTCAAGGATTCCTACAAAATATTAATACGTTTATATACTATTATTTTTGAGAGCTTTGCTTACTTTTGCTGCCAAGAGGAAGGGGGGGGGGCGATAAAAATGAATATAAATCGAAGGAAATCTGCTTACGTAATACTTGAACGGCCCCAAAACGGTACATGAATTTAGCAGTGTAGTAGTTTCAGTTCATGGCAGGACGAGTTCATATTACCAAGGCTAGAAAACTTAATGTTCTAACGATATCTAAGATAAGTTTATCACATTAAGACTTATTGTAGAATAAATTATGGTAACCATTCAGCATCAGCGTCCAAGTTACGACCCTGGTGAGGCGTTTCAGTAAGATCTTCCTTGCTGCTTGCTACTTTGTGATATACTTTCTTGCCAGCATCCACGACGTATTCTACTCCGTCAGCTGGAATAAACATGGCTATATGTAATGGTTTTGCTAATACTTTTAAATGTTATTGAAGAGTTTTGGAATAGTGGATTCAATGTGATGTTTCTTTCCACGTGCTAATAAGTGTTAATTGACACTACTCAAGAGACAAACATCGTGAGGAAACAGGCATTTTTTTAACCCAAAAATCAACATTCAGTCACAAAAGGCAGATCTACTGGTCTATGAAATTAAAATGAGAAAATACTGTTTCTTTCATACGTAATGATGTAATATGACGCCGAGATCCGAGATAGAGGAGGGTAGGGCCACGAAATATTTTATTTAAGGCTATTTTAAATACTTCTAAATGAATAGATAATTAAAGAAGTTTAAAAGTCAGACAGTATTTTTAGTTTAGGTTCTCCCGAAACAGTTCTCAGAGCAGTTTGCGACCACGGTTTAGAACTTAAATATGGCTGTAGGTGTGGTGGCGTTAATAGGTAAGTGTCTTGGTAGATTTCTGGTGGGTGAAAAAAAATGAGAGAGGACCACATACCTAGTAAGAGGTAATAAAAGGGATAGCGGGGAAATATTGGACAATGGAAGCGAGAATGAGAGACAAGTGGAAGAATTTGGAGGAGGCCTTCACTTCGTCAATGGACGTCGTGTATATCATACATAACGACATGGACTTTAAAAAAAATAAAAAAATATTGATAAATGCTCGCTAATGCACGGTACACTCATAAAATGGTAAAAGAACCACAATATACAATTGGCAAACATGACATACACGAAGAGATAATACAAATATTAAACAAAACAAATAATATTACAAAAACTAAAAGAAAACCGATTTCAAAGTGTGAGGGGAGCAACTATGGATATCCAGACCCAGCTCGTTTATCAGAATGCTCAATCTGGACATCGGTGAGCTTTGATCAAAACGCGAACGAAAGGACGGACAAATGGAATAGACTTAATGTACTCCTAAATATGTAGTTACTCGAAGTTATTTATCTTTGAAGATACAGGCATATATTAAATGTCGACTTTACAGATTATAGCATACATATCTCGTTTAGGCTTTACAAAAGTGAAGTGAAAGTTTGTATGGATCCTGTTATTTAGGTAAACATTTATGCTCACCAATGACACCTCCAGTTTTCCTCACAGCCTCTCCAATGTTATGTGATGAGAATGTGTTAGGGTCAATGTTTATGTTTACCCCTTCACTGGTACCGTTCGGGTGTTTGGGACATTCACTCTGAGAGATGAGTGATAAATCGTACGGATCGACACTGAAGGATGCTAATTTGGTGCGCATCTGAAAAATATCATATTTAGTTATTATTTCAATATTTCATTTTATAACTAATTTTAACTTCTAAAAATATTATTCTGTTAAAATATCAGTCAATATTTTATAGTCTAGTCGACAAGTTGAAAATGGAACAAAATAGAGATACTGCTCTTAAAATTATGTGCGATAGCTCATTGGATCCGGAATGACGTGTAGAAAAATGTGCTAAAAGCGTGTATTAGCACATAAAAAATTGCAAAACTTATAGACAATTAAAGATGAAAAAAAAATGGCATTTAGTTTTTTGCCAATATTTAATAAACTATTAATATTTAAGAAATTTCAAATAAAGATTCTGAAAGAGGAGGAAATTTCCAATAAAAAACTCCCGGAACTCTATCTCCATTATTTATAATTTTAATTTAACGCTGAAAATAGGTCTGCGGGTGACATTTTTAGGATTCGCGCGTGGCGTCAAAAGCGACTACGGCACATTAATTAATTTATTTAAGGTATTGAATATTTTTTTTTAAATTTGAAAAAATTATGGTGTGTTCTGAACACTATAATTAATTTATTCCCGTTGAAAATTTTACTTAAAGTTAATTTTTCAACAAGTTAAATAATTGTTAACTAACGAAATTTTCTCGAACGACCGTCTTAATTGTAAGTGAAAAAAAATGTTTAAACAATGGTCGTAAAAATATTTCGCTTCGTAGAGCCTTTCTTACATACATACTTAACAAGATCGTGCCATAAAAGTTAAAAAAATATTTATACTTTGTTTATAACAATTTTTTTACTTAAACAAAAACTTAAAAATCCATGTAATGTTGTTAAAAATTTTTTTTTCTAAATCATCATATAATCGTTTTTTTATTAATACAAGATATTTATTGATTTGCAAAAAAAAAAATTCCCGCCATTTGTTGATAATTTTTTTTTAAACAAATTGATTAAATCAATTTTTTTTTTTAAATTTAACACAACTTTATTACATTAAAAATTTTATGATTTTAAAAAAAATTTTTTGCAGTGGCAGTAAATGTAAATTTAAAGCCATTTACTTTTTAATGATGTTCATAAGTGTACTTCAACCTACATGAATAAATAATATTTTGATTCGTAAATGTTTTAACCAAAATAGTTTGTGTAATTCAATCCAATTAGCTAATTCCTAAGTATCTTAATGAATCAGCCACTGCTATTATTAGATTAAAATAAATAAATAAAAATTTCCCGTACCTTGTCAACAAATATCTTATCTAGTTCCTTACTCCTGGAGAGAATGGTAGCTGATTGCCGATGTGCGAATGACATCTTCTGGCAAGTAAAGATTGCCGCGTATTTGGTATAATCTGTGGCTAACACAGTATAACTAGCTGAACCAGCAACACCTGTATAAAAGCCCATTATTGACACTGATACATCTTTTGGTGCTGACGTTGAATATACACGTCTGAAATCAATATTCTTTTATAATAAAACTAGCTGAACCAGCAACACCTGTAAACATGCTTATTATTGACACTGATACATCTGATGTTGAATATACGTCAATATTCTTTTATATTAAAACTAGCTGCCCCCGCGAACTTCGTTTCTCCTTCATTTTGCTATGCTACATGGATCATTTTGCTATGCTAAAATAAAAAAAATAAAAAATTAAGGGTTGTATGTATTTTTGTATGCTGTATCGTAAAAAAATAAAAACAATAATTTTTGTCAAAAAAATAAATAATTTTTATTCTTTGGGGTGAGCACCACTTATCACTAAGGGATTTGAAAGGTAGATATTAGCCAATTGTCAGATTTACTGAATATGCATACAAAATTTCATAAGAATAGGTCGAGCCATTTCGGAGAAGTATGGGAACGAACATTATGACATGAGAATTTTATATATATATATAGATTGTATACAGGATACATTTAATTTTACTTACTAAGTGGAAACCGGACTCTCATGCGCGCAGGCACCGAGGGATCAGCTACTGTCAAAATGCCTGTATATCTGGAATGAAATAAAAATATATTTATTATATAATTTGATAATACAGTTAAAATCTGTTATAACATCGAAGGGACTACCCATATTTGGTCGTAAAATCCGATAGTCGCAACAGCTGATGACGTTGTTATTAAGTAACTTATACGATAGAATTTAGCCGGGACCTTTGATTTTTGGTCAATATAACCGGTATGTTGTTCTAAACGATGTTGTCGTAAACGGTTTTGACTGTATTATTAAATATTCGTTTTTTGTAAATAAATAAAACGAGTACCGTCAACGTGTCCGCTTAGTTCAGTATCAGTGATTAAGTGCTTTTATAAATATTAATTGTGGTTATTTATTGTGAAAAGTGTTGTTAAAGTCAAGAACTATATCAGGCTCACGTCATCCATTATTATTTCAACGAAACACACAACATTTTTACAACTATCACATAAAAATTTGTTTTTTGCATCACAAATCAAGATACCCTCATTTGTTATCTTGTTATTTTTTTTTTTGTTGAAATTACAACTTTGTGATACCGTCACAGCACTGACAAGCACAGACTACTGATAAGAGACGACAAGATACACGTATTGTTGCCATCGAAACCATAGTGCATAAGCTTGCGAGGATACGTTTTCCTTATTCAACAAGCTTGATAACGGGATGAAGTGCAAAGCTTGCAATAAAATTGTGAAGCCAATTGAAGACAAAGTTTGTTCTCAGTGTGTTGGGCACTATCACTACCAATGCTTGGGTACTACAACGGAGAACTTTCACAAAGAATCTAAGCAGGCAAAAGCTAATTGGAAGTGTCCCAATTGTAAAAGTATAGAAAAGAAAGGTGATAGCACCCCAGTAAGGCAAGAGAATCCGAGTGCTGTAGTTTGTTCACCCTCATCATTGAGCGGTGTAGGTGATTCTTACATGGATGAGCTTAAACAGTACATAGAGGCCAAACTCCAGGAGACAACTGCCACTATTCTAGCAGAAGTTAGGCAGCAGATAACATTGGAAAATAAGTCAATTCACGAGGATTTTGAGCAGCTGAAAGAAAAACTTAACTACTTTTCATCACAATTTGAAGGTATAAATAAGAAAGTAAGCGAGAACACAAAAGTCATAGAAACGCTTCAGGCAGAGAACAGAGCTTTGTGGATTCATCTTAATGCCCTGGATCAGCGTTCAAGGTCCTGTAATATAGAAATTCAATGTGTCCCTGAAAATAAACAGGAAAATTTAATAAACACTGTAATGCAGCTAGGAAAAGTGATCAAGTGCCCTATTAGCGAGACGCAAATTCACTACTGCTCCCGACTAGCTAAGATGAACAACTCTAGTCCTCGCCCCCGTTCAATACTCGTGAAATTTAATAGCCCACGTCTTCGTGACGAGTTTCTAGCAGCAACTAGTAAATTTAACAAACACAATCGTGAAGACAAGTTGAATACCAGTCATTTGGGTATTGGTGCTAACAGGAAGGCTGCTATTTATGTAGCGGAACACCTTACCCATGAGAACAAGCGCTTGCACGTAGCTGCCCGTTCTAAAGCCAAAGAACTTGGATATAAATTTGTTTGGGTGCGAGACGCGAGGATATACATGCGGAAGGATGAGCAGTCAAGTCATATCTACGTTAAAGACATTGATTTAGTAAATTAGTTGTCATAATGCCGCTAAATTTGACATTGTTTTTTACTAAGGGCATCTTAAACTGTTTTTATCAAAATGTTAGAGGATTAAAAACCAAAACTATTGAACTATTTAGTAATGTTTTGTGCTGTAATTTTGATGTAATAGTTTTTACAGAGACGTGGTTAAACAGCAGTGTATCGGATAATGAATTATTTGACGATCGTTATGTAGTGTATAGGCGCGATCGGGAAAGCAGTGGTTTTCACAGCAATAAATTAGGGGGTGAGGTATTGATAGCTGTTTCCAAGCGCTTTCAGTCACACCGTATTTGTGCCTACGAATCAGACTGTGAGGATATCTGGGTTAAGCTGGAACTAATTAACAGTAAGGGTGAAATCGATCTTTTGTACATATGTGCTGCGTATATTCCCCCTCCTGTACAAAAGCATATTTTAAAGCACTTTATTCATAACGCTAATTGTATTATTGAAAATCTCAGCTCTAACATCATCGTTCTTGGTGATTTTAACATGAGTAGCCTATGTTGGAACGGGACACTTAATTCCACGTTAATACCAATAACGACAAATAGTATGTTAAATAACATGATTATAGACTTTATGTCGTTAAATAATCTTTCATAATTTAATAATTGCCTTAACAGCAAAAACCGAATTCTAGATCTAATAATGAGCTCTATGGTAATCTCTCATGTAAGTGAGAGCAAAGATCCTCTTTCAAGTGTTGACCCTCTGCATCCTCCGATTGAATTTTGTATTGATATTGTCCATAAAGAAAAACTCAATTCCCATGAAGAAGCCAGGTTTCGATTCCATAAAGCAGATTATGAAAAAATTACAAGTGATCTAAATAATATTCCTTGGCACACTGACCTTTCCAATTGTGCTAGCGTTGACGATATGGTAGCACAGTTCTATAAAATTCTTAGAGTTATAATATCTAAACATGTTCCAAAATCCAAACCACGTTCTTGTAAATATCCAACATGGTTCTCCGCGGCATTGGTGAAGGTAATCAACGAAAAATTCAAATATCGCACCAAATATCGCAAATACGGCAATCCTCGTGATTTAATTACTTTTGAAATGCTACGGGAAAGATGTACAAAACTCCATAACTTAAGCTATAGATTATATTTAAAACGCTTAGAGACTTCATTATCTACGAATCCAAAACTTATATGGAGCTTTATCAAGCAAAAAGAGGAAGGATAAGCTCTTACCCTGCCCGGATGTCTTTAGGTGATGAAGTAGCTTCGTCGGGGTCAGACATTTGCAATCTTTTCGCATCACATTTTTCTTCGGTATACAACTCGGACAACATATCGATCAGTGGCCAGTCTAGTTCGTTAACCAATTGTTTAACTTCAATATCGGTAACTACTGATCAAGTTTTCAGAGTTTTAAAAAGACTTGACCCTTCGAAAGGTGCTGGTTCCGATGGAATACCTTCTATTTTTGCGATAAAATGTGCTAGTGAACTAGCACTACCACTCAGCATTATTATTAATAGCTCTCTTAACTCTGGAATATTCCCAACGGTTTGGAAAAGTGCTCTTGTAATACCATTGTTCAAAAGTGGTGACACGAGTACGGTATTAAATTATAGACCTATATCTATACTTCCAACTTTCGCGAAGGTTTTTGAATCTATTTTGTGCCCAATAATATATAATCACTTCAAACATTTTATCGCAGCTGAACAGCATGGATTCGTTAAGTCACGTTCCACGTCGACTAATTTGGTTTCCTTCGTGGAGGATCTTGCTGAGGGGGTTGATCGTGGGCAATCATATGATGCAATATACACCGATTTCAGCAAGGCCTTCGACAGGGTGAGCCATGTTATGTTGATACACAAACTCTCCTCTATTGGAATTGATGGCATATTTTTAAATTGGTGCAGATCATACCTGTCAAATAGGCAGTCAGTAGTTGTAGTTGGTGGGTACAAATCCAAAGAATTCACTGCCATATCTGGAGTGCCTCAAGGGTCACACTTAGGTCCATTATTCTTTAATATCTTCATCAACGACATCGGAAACTGCGTTCAAGGGTCTAAATTCTTGATGTTCGCTGATGATTTAAAATTATATAGGACTGTGAACTCACCCGAGGAAGCAATGTCACTGCAAAATGATCTGGACAATTTGATAATGTGGTGTAGTTTAAACGGAATGAATTTGAATCCTGAAAAATGTCATGTTGTTCGATTCAGCAGGAAAAAACGCTCGCCAACCAGAGTCTATCATATTAATCAGGCATTACTTAAGGAAGTCAGCCATATTCGGGATTTAGGTGTGATTCTGGATGGTAAATTGCGTTTTAACTTGCTTGTTGATGATATTACAAATAGGGCTTTTAGGATGTTGGGCTTCGTCCTGCGTAATTGTAAGGAATTTAGGAATCCCAGCACTAAAGTTACAATTTACACATGTCTCGTACGTAGTATTCTCGAATATTGCAGTCCTGTGTGGAATCCGCATTACGGTATCTATATCAAGCGCTTAGAGAATGTACAGAAGTGATTTTTATGGCACCTATCCTATGGTTGCAACATGGCTAGGAAACTTCCTAGTTACAACGATCGTCTATTACATTTTCACCTTAAATCACTTCGTCATCGTAGAGAGCTGCTTGATATCATGTTTCTGTATAAACTTATAAATGGAATTTTGGATACCCCTGATATCTTGTCCAGAGTAAACATTTCTGTTCCTAAAAGCTGCAACGATTTGCAAAGCCTCCTTTCAGAATTAAGTTTGCAAAATCAAATCTGGGTCAGAATGCTCCATTAAATAGATCTTTAAGGAGTTATAATTTAATTCATAGCGTTGAAATTGGTGGTGGTATTGGATCGCAATGGGGGGGTCGTGAATTCCCCCAAATAGATATGTTTTCAAACACCCCATCAATTTTCAAAAAGTTAGCGGCTCAGCTGATTACTCATTAAGATTTTATCGGGGTTATTCAATTAACTCAATTAATTTTGTAATGTTTTTATTTTGGTTTATCTTAACTTAATTTTTTCTTATTTTAATGTACTTATAAAAATTTAGAATGTGGTATGCGCCTATAATTGGGGTAGCACTTGGCTTGTGTTTGTGTTACATTACTTGTATTAGTGTCTACTTTGTTGGTGCATAAAATAAATAAATAAATAAATAAATCAAGTAAAATAATAAAAGAAATCGTAACCTTCATATGTTTCTTTTTCTTGTCGTCGAGTAACAATTAGTTATTAAATAATGCAGTTTTAAGAGCGTCAAACAATTTGCTTAAAGAAATAAATTAAAAAAATAACATTTTTGACAAACCTTACGCCATAATTAATAAATTTAAAGGTAAATACGTGATACTGTGGATCGCACATGAAATGTTAATTTTAGCATTTTCGTAAAAATTAAAATAAAATCACCATAATTCTAACGGAATCTAAAATAGGGGACCATCGCTCTATACTTTCTAAAATCCATTAATTATAATTATTTCAATATTAGAGATAAGATTTGTATACAATAGAGTTCAACTGTTTTTCTTGTTAAATGAATTTAATAAGGACTTCAATCCCTTATAGACCACAAGCCCATGAACAAAAAATACCTGTGAAATGACCCAACGTGAATTACGCTTAGAAGGCTGTTACTATATCTGAAAATAGCTCTGAGCACTATGCCGTCATTTCTGAGCGGTACATGTGAGTACGTGAGTGAATGGACTTTCTCATGTACAATGGGGAAATTTCGACTAATTATTAATGTACGGCTTTGTTATAAGTGTATAGATGATTAAAAATAAATGTCGAAAAACCTAGTGCCGTACAAAAGTGATGGTGCCGGAAGTCGGTGCAAATTTTTAATTCGACGACAGTTGCAGGAGCAATATAGGTCATTTATTACTGTACGGCATTTGTGTCATTCCTTTTGGACACATATACAGATACTTTACCCGTAAACGCCGTACATATTCCCAGCGGAGCGGTCGAAAGCCAAGGGTCGCAACATATGTCTGATTAGCATATAGGTGATGATGATATGAATCAACATAAAATTAAATGATCTTGAGAGTACTTCACAAATAGATAACATTTTCCAGCATGCCGTACATTTTTTGTGGAACACATAGGTGTATGGGGCCAATTACTTTTCTCAGAAAAGAGTCATTTTCCGGTGACTTTTATCTGTACGGCAATAACACAGGTTATTAATACTTTAGACAATCTTCAATAAAATATAAATGCCGTACACTTTCGATAGTCCGCTACCACCGCCTACCAATACAGGGCGTCCCAAAGTTATGGGAAATGAAGGGAAAGTACCTTAAATATCGTAGATAGGGTATTTTACTAAAAGAAGACTTTATGTTATTTTTAAAAGTTATTAATTCTGCATTCAAAGATTTTTTAAAAATTACTTGCCTCGTCTGGGAATCGAACTGACTTAAATGTAAAAAAAAAAACCCCTACTTTTATGATGCCAATCGAAAGAATGGCCAAAAACTAATAACTCTTCTTAAGTAACATAGTATTTTAAAAGAAAGGAACAGCGTGAATATATCTTTTTAATCAAATTAAAAACATTATCTATCGTATTCGGCCTAAAAAAATCCCCTACGAGTCTGTTACTTTAGAAAAGTTATTAGGTTTTGGCCATTCTTTCGATTGGCATCATAAAAGTAGGGTGTTTTTTTTAATTTAAGCCGGTTCGATTTCCAGACGAGGCAAGTAGTTTTAAAAAAATCTTTGAATGCAGAATTACTAACTTTTATAAATAACATAAAGTCTTCTTTTAGTAAAATACCCTATCTGCGATATTTAAGGTACTTTCCCTTCATTTTTGTTAAAAATATTTTTCCTTTACCTCTCTCTGCTGGTACGATAAGGCTGTAAATATACTTTACAGCCTTATGGTAGTATACTCAGATTTGTACAGTTATTAATGACCTTAAGGGACACCTCAAACGTCGTCGAAGTTTTTATCAGCTGTAAAGAATAATCTGGAGTAAAATGTACGGCATCTGGTTTTTTTGTTTATTTATATTTGTTACGTATAAAATAACAATAATCTTTGAAAATATTACTCCCCATATTACTCTAGGAGCATTTGAAAAGTCATCTAAATTTCGGAAATTTCATATATTTTTTATCATTATATTTTTATTTGTTACCATTTATAATGAACGGCTATAATGTACAACGGTAATATTTAGTAACATTATGTAAAAAAACAAGTTGCCGTACATTATTCTCTGATCTTACAGCAGTAAAAACTTGGTAAATCCTGAAATTTCGATAAATATTTAATTACACAAATATTAACTATAATATTTGGACGGCATAATTATAAAACATTATTGTCCGTGTTAAATAATATTTTGAACATGTTGCCGTACATTTTACAATGACCTTAGGGTATATGGGTGTAGGGGTAGGGTTCCGACCCTTGGCTTTCGACCGCTCCGCTGGAAATATGTACGGCGTTTACGGGTAAAGTATCTGTATATGTGTCCAAAAGGAATGACACAAATGCCGTACAGTAATAAATGACCTATATTGCTCCTGCAACTGTCGTCGAATTAAAAATTTGCACCGACTTCCGGCACCATCACTTTTGTACGGCAATAGGTTTTTCGACATTTATTTTTAATCATCTATACACTTATAACAAAGCCGTACATTAATAATTAGTCGAAATTCCCCCATTGTACATGAGAAAGTCCATTCACTCACGTACTCACATGTACCGCTCAGAAATGACGGCATAGTGCTCAGAGCTATTTTCAGATATAGTAACAGCCTTCTAAGCGTAATTCAGGTTGGGTCATTTCACAGGTATTTTTTGTTCATGGGCTTGTGGTCTATTATGTAAACAAGGGCTTCTGTTTACGATAAAGCCAATAAGATTATTTGTTTTTGACAGCTGGAACTAATACATTTTTCATACAATTTGTAAGCGTTTGCTACTGCGTAGTTCTTAATATGACCATGCGTACCTAATTTTTCGATTCACAAATAAAAATCAGTGGCGCTACAACCTCTTTAGGTGTTGGCCTCAGATTTCTGAATCTGTTTCATGATCATTTTTAAATCTAATGGGTAAGTAGGTGATCAGCCTCAAGTGCCTGACACACGCCGTCGACCTTTTGGGTCTTAGGCTGCTGCCTCGAATTTTGCGGGCAGCGGGGCGGCGGCGGCGGCGGCGCGGGAGCCGGCGATTTCACCTCTCGTTACCCACCCTCGCGCCGCTGCCACGCCGCTGTTTTCGAGAACCGGTCCATTTGATTTTACGCATAAGATCCTGCCGCTCCCGCGCCGCCGCCGCTGCCGCCCCGCTGCCCGCAAAATTCGAGGCAGCAGCCTTAGACATGTCGGTTTCCTCACGATGTTTTCCTTCACCGTTCGAGCAAATGTTAAATGCGCACATAGAAAGAACGTCAGCTGGGGATCGAACCTACGACCTCAGGTATGAGAGTCGCACGCTGAAGCCAACTAGGCCAACATTGCTCTATTCATAAATCTATTTTATTATGCAATGTACTGTTCGTGGGACATATTCCAGCAGATCCTTTGTCATGTAGCGTAAACTAACCTGTAGTCATGTTTGAGTGGTGTCAGCCCCAATATGAAGTGCTGTGATACCTGTTCCAGCTGGTATGTGCCAGGTTCATCTGTTCTTGTGAAGTTATATGTGATGCAGTGAGAGGCGGTAGACGTTTTCTGTATTACATACCAAACTCCGAGCATCTAGAAAATGTCGATAAATATAAACATTTAAAATTATACAAATGTACGCTCGAAGTTTATTTAAAATCAGCCCCGCGATTCTGTAACTCACTTTTCGAACTCACACAGCGGTTTTCGGAGCGGCGGTCGCTCTCAAATCAGTCGTGAAGCAGTCATTTTATGATTTGGCATTCTGAGAAGGTGGGAGCTTGTAGTTTATTGTTTATTAGAATGTCAAATCATAAAATGACTGCTTCACGACTGATTTGAGAGCGACCGCCGATCCGAAAACCGCTGTGTGAGTTCGAAAAGTGAGTTACAGAATCGCGGGGCTGATATCAGACGAGCTCAGTCTTTAAATGTATTTAATAATCTTTCTCATTTTGATCATTTTTCTTCTGCCTCGTAATAAGCTATTACTTATAAATATATATATATTAATTGTGACTTAATTAACGTTTGGATTAGCTTTTACATTTTTGTTTATACATATTATTATTTATATTTTTTCTTTAGATTTTGCTTTATTTAATTTTAGTTATAGTTACATGCGTTTTGAGTTTTTTTTGTTAATTAATTATGCACTTCTTTTACTTTACCCGCTGTAGGTGTTTCTTTTTTTATTGTTCCATATTAGGGTTGCCTGAAAGAAATCGTTTGTTGGCGATAAGGCCGCCAACCTGCTTTTTTTGTTTTTTATATGTATGATTTTGTATATTAAGGTAACGAAGTGTAAATAAATAAATAAAATTAAACTGAGTACAACGTGTCGATTTTTACTGATAGGGCCATCAAAAGAATTTTCCACGGGCCCCAGATGGTATACTACACGCCACTGCTGACTGCAGTAAGTAATCCATATCATATAATCAACTACGTACCACATCGTTCCACATCCACTAAGGGTAATTTAACCATAATACAAAATTATGAAGAGAAAAGATGTCTATTTAATGAACTCAAAAAGTGCTGGACTAATACCAAATATTCTTACACGAATAAAATGCATTAACATTATACATTAACTCTGAGTAACATAGACTATATTTGCTTCCATAACTACCATATAGGTACTATAAATATTGGCTAGTGTTTAGTGAAATTAGTTTTTTATTTTATTTCGTCCTGATTAACGAAAAAGGGTTATTCTTCCAAACTGGAATGTCTGAACACACCAACGACAGCAATGGACGAGATTGAAGAAGTCTAAATAAATAAATATCTTAACTCTATAACAGAGAACCAAGTATGTTCACATACAGTAATATATTTGTTCTTTTAAAGTCATAATACCGTTCGTTACAAATGACACTGTTAGTCAATGAATCATTGTTTATCAGTGAGACAGGGGTCAAGTCTCTCTTGTGTACATATAACTGTGAACAATGTACATAGATCGATAAACCTTTTCTGTATTGATAACAAGAATAATATGTAACAAACACGTAACTAGTATTTAAATATATTGGTTATATAGTTTCAAAACATATAACAAAAATCCGTATATTTCATTTTAAAACTTTATAATATGTACAGATTTGTTGAGGACCTATCTTATTTATAGATAAACGAAACCTTTAATAGCCATTTATTGTCCTTAGTATTTCTTTACCAATAAAAATAATGCTTTAGTAATTTATTATATTTAAATCCGTACTTATTTAATTATTAAGTTTGACTAAACAATGCACTTTTACACAACGCATTATAATTTACAAGAATTTCGAATAATAATTTTAAGCATTTATAATTGACTGGTCGAGGTACGTAAGACGCTATACTAAAATTCATCAAAAAAGTTTTATAAGAACACAATATCTTCCATGACATCTCCAAGAAAGGTGACATCAAAATAATCTAAAAAGTTCTTTAAAAGAAAAAAAAATGTTCATTCTTTTTTTTATTATTGTTGTTTTGTGTGTTTCTGTGTGTGTGTGTGTGTGTTTAATTAGTAATAAATGTTATGTTTATGTCTATGTCTAAATTTAATTTTAAATCTGAGACAACGTTGCAACAGTTTATATATTTATATTCTATATTATAAACGAAAATCTTATCGATGTAGAAAATAACTAGCTACAAACAAAGTCTATTTCAAGAAATAAAACCGGTTACCTGATTCATATCGAAACCTGGCATCGGTTCCACAACAGGACAAGCTCCAAGATGATACGTGTGGGTCAGTACAACACCACATAGTGCCAAAACACCTAAACACACTCGCAACATAGTGACACAACCTTCGTGAATGAAACTCGACGGTACACTGCTTCTTTATGACGCAGCGCAATAATATAAATAAGATGATTACGTTTCTAGGAATTGTTTGTAAGCCGCTTCTAGTGGAACCTAAAGAGATTGACCCCTTATTGAATTACCTTATAGTAATACAAAGCAAAAATATAGTTGTTTGGTTAGAAAGTAGCTTGTAGGTGAAAGTAATTAATTGATTTTATAGAACGTTTATTTTCTAAATTTAAACTAATGTCGTTTCGAACTATGGAATAGATAAGGGGTCATATTGACGTCTGTGGTCAACGATAAACATAAACATCTTATTTTCCTGTTTATATCTACCAGAGTTAATGAGGTAAAGTAGGAGAAATATATCTTATTCTATTAAAATTATGAACAGTTTTATGAATACAAGTTGTACAATTTTAGATGTTTGTTATAAATAAAAATTTATCATGGTGCTACCTTTTTAGGTCTGGGCCTCAGATTTCTGAAAGTAATAGGCAAGTAGGTGATCAGCCTCCTGTGCTTGACACATGCCGTCGACTTTTTGAGTCTAAGGCAAGCTGGTTTCCTCACGATGTTTTCCTACACTGTTCGTGCGATTGTTAAATGTGCACATAGAAAATGTCCATTGGTGCACAGCCGGGGATCGAACCTACGAAGGGATGATTCGCACGCTGAAGCCACTAGGCCAATACTGCCCAATGTTTAATTTAAGGATGTAGTAAAAGTTTTTAGATTTTTTCTACTAGATATATGCCGTCTTTACCGTGCAAAATATGGCGAGATTGCATACCCCTACTCTACGACTTCCAAAAATAGCTTAACATATTAAGTTTCCTATAATATAATAATATTCATACTCCATATAGATATAATAATTAAAAGACCAATCAATAGAAATAAGAAATATTTTTGTATTTTGGAACTTATTACAAGAAAAAATACACATTTAATATTAATAATAATTTATTTGCAAGAATATGGTACAAAAATGTCATGGTGGTACAATCTGTGGTAGCGGTTGCAAATTTGTCTTAAAAGGAAATTTACATAGAAGTTACATTATGAGTCATGTCATTACAGTCAATTATTATATTATTTGTAGTAATAAATTATTACATTATTAAAATATATTATTACGTTATTAAATTACAATTTTGAATTATATTATTAAAAGGAGTCCCTAGGCAAGGTTCCGAAGATACTAGCAGCGTTCCCCTATAAATAGCTAGACTAAAAAAATAAAAATATTATTTATAATGCTTCACGCAAATAAACATTAAAAGAACTTTTTGTTCCAAAAGTAGTACATTGAGTCAATTTAAAAAAAACTCTAGTAGTCTTTTAATGTTTTTGGTTTACCAACTTTCTTTTTTGGTTTGTTAAAACCTTGATTGCCATACATAACGTCTTTTTCACATACAATTCCAGATTGATTTTTGGCACAACCAATTTCCCCCATGTCTACTTCGACAGATGTCTAATTCCGTTGAGTTAAAAATATTTCTGTTTTAGTGAACGAATCAGGAGATTTCTAAAATATACATACAGGGAAGAGATACAGTTTTGAGCTATAACATATATAATAACTTCTTATTCAATCGACGAAATACAAAGGTGTTTTTATAGAAAGTCTTAATACAATCCAGTCGTTAATAGCTGGTCTTGCTTGTTCTCATGACTATTGTTCAATTGTGGCTCTGACACATCTTCCGGTCCGTTAATATAATAATAGATCGGACATAAGCTGTACTTGATCAAACAAGAGGGCAGGATTTTAATGAATCAAGACCTGTTTTTCGAATATTTATAATATATATATATATAAAAAACCTTTTCGATGTGCAATCAAAAGTGGTGCTGTGAAGTTTTAGTGGTAGTTTATTTATGCACAGTAGCCAACCTCCACCAGTACAATCTTAAGTAGCCCTCCACCTCAATGCTGTCGCGCCGTGGGAAAGCGTTACGCATTTTGAAGGAAAACGTCATCAAAAATCTAGAAGTGTCAGGCACAGAAGGCTGATCAAGTACTTTGTCATTATGAAGAAAAAAAACGAATACAAATAGATATATAAACCTGAGGTAAAGACCAAGTGATTTGCCACTGATTTTTAAGCTATTCATCCAAATTTATAAAAACAGTTGTGCCAATCTTACTCTAAAAGCTCGAACTGCAGTAAATCCTAAGATATTCCAGTAAAACCTAAGATCTACCAATTCCTAATGGTAAATGTCCCAAAAGGTTTGCGATTCGAACTCTTACCACCATTCCGTTGGTAAATCTTAGGATTTACATTAATGGCACGGTAAATGTTGAAAAACAAAAAAATTCACCTGCAGATCATCAGGATTACTTTGTAGTTCTGAATGCCACAATAGCAATCCGTGTTGTAACAAGTGAAATGTTTTTTTTAGGTACCTTATGTAGGTGAGATATTCAGAGATATACGTTATGTGTTTTTTCAAAATAATTTAAGTAAGTTGGTATTAGTTTGTACTTATTACTATCATATGATACCTTTATAATACTATGTACCTGTTTTGTCTAATAGTTCATTAAAGTAAATAATAAAGAATTACTCATTGTTTTATTCCTAAAACCAACATCTACCAGCTGACAGTAATACCTAGCATATACTGAATTCGAATGGTAAAAGCTCGAAAAAATCGTCGTATTTTTAGAAATACTTACATTTACCAACTCATGTCGGTAAATCCTAAGGCTTACACTTAAATCTTAAGATTAACCGTAGTTCGAGCTTTTACAGTAACATATATACAGATCATCCATTATCAATGCTTTTTTGACAGAATGTATATTTTAAGGATCTAAATAGGCTATGTTATCTATGTGTACCCGTGTAGTATTGATAAAAACTAGTGACCATACAACCTTTTTAGGTCTGGGCGCCTGATTTCTGTTCTGTTTCGTGACCACTTATCTTCTTTAAAATTAGATGATCAGCCTTCTGTACCAGACAAACGCCATCGACAACTGTTCAGTGTGTAGTATTTTTTTTTGTATTAGTTAGACATAGTATTTCATATTTTTTATAGATATTGATTCTATAAAACTTTAGTACATCACTTTGCTATATTGTCAATAGTATTCAAATCGTACGCTATATAGGGATTTTATTCACACCTTTTGTTACTTAAAGTTATCATACGGATCCCTAACTTTTTTGAAAATATTCTATAACGATGTTCCTCTGGGATAATTTAGGATTCTAATGGTGAAAGTATTTTTCAAATCGGTCCAGTAGTTTTGGAGCCAATTATGTAAACAAACAAATATTTCCTTCCTTTCTTTATAATATTAATGTTGATTGTTTTTGAAGTTTGATCTACTTAAGTCTATGCAAATTGATTCGTCACCGTTACGTGGAAGCCTAACAAGGTCGAGCACAGATTAATTCAAGCAGTTTCAAATACAATTTAAGAATACTCTAGATACCCCAGGCATACCATCATTCCGTTTGTCCCTCAGAAGAACGCGTTTTGGCTAAAACTCAACCAAATCTAGAGCATTCTGATAAATAAGCTAGGTTTGGATGTCCATAGTTGCTCCCCTCGCATTAAAATCGATTTTTGTTTAGTTTCTGTACTTTTAATTGATTTGTTTAATATTTGTATTATCTCTTCGTGTATATCATGTTTGCCTATAAGTGCTTGTCACATTAAAAATTGTATATTTTATGGTTATTTTAACAATTTATCAGTGTGCCGAGAATTAGCAAGATTAAAAAAAAATATTATTTATAATTATATTGACTAAGTTTTTCGATTGTATTAGTGTTGACGTATAGTCATAGAAGTACGTTCTATATGTTTTGGAGTTGTCGATTGATGAAATCTCAAGGAACTAATTTGGTACAACATTATTTTTTAAGTGCAAAAACAGCAAAAACTCTAACCACCTTGGTGCCTGAAAGGCTACACCAATTAAGAAATTTAAATTTTTTAGCAACGACAGAGTTAAAAAATACAAAAAACTAAACGACATTACAACAAACGGAGAGAAAAAAAAGTTTTATTATAACTTGTATTGCATTAATTAGAATTCCTTATTTAATTAAGTAAGTTCTAATCAGTGGCGTAACAAAAGGGTGGCAGGGCTGGCAAAATGCCACGGGCCCCGACCCAAGAGGGCCCCTGCCCAAGCGATATTATGTTCTTTGGATGAATGTGAAGTCTCCAATACGCATTGGGCTAGCGTGGGGACTACAGACCATTCCCTCTCGCCTAAGAGAGGAGGCCTATGGCCATTAGTGGGACATATATACGTACAACGTGTAATTGAGTACGCTGAAAATCTCGAAGTTAATTAAAATTAAACTGAGTACATCGTGAAGGTTTTAACTGATAGGGCCCCATCAAAAGAATTTGGCACGGGCCCCAGATCGTATAGTTACGCCACTGGTTCTAATATACAATGCGTCCTCTTCTAGGTTCTTCTTTATATTGTAGAGGTGTAATTATTGTCTATATAGAAATTTCGCAATTTCATTTGTAATATTTTCGACGTATCGTTATTTCGTAATTCCACTTGCACGTGGATGAATCAGTCGCCCTAAAACCGCCATGTAAGTCAGAGGACAATAAAGTCAGTGAATTCTATTTCGGTTTTCATTGGGTGTACCTCAAACACTAAAATATTATAAGCATTATTGATACGCCCTCCAATGTCAGTACTGATTTGTTTATTCTATGACTTTACCGAGTCACAAGGAACCCATGCAAGCGTCATCTCGTTTGATGACTCAGCAAATGCTTTCTTATTTACGTAGAATTTGCATTGCTTATAAATGAAGTTTGTATTTTGATCATCAAAAGTATTTAGTTTAGAATTTGTTTGTGTTTTGTTATGTTGCGTTGGCCTAGTGGCATCAACATGCAGCCGTAGCTTCGATCCCTGGCTTTGCACCAAGGGATATTCTGTCTATATGCGTTTTAATACTCGCTCGTACTGCTATTATACAGCCTTG